AAAAAAATGCCGCTTACAAGGTTAAAAAAATTATTTAAAAAAAAAAAAAAAAAAAAAAAAACTGTTTAATTCTTAAAAATATAGTACACTTTGTGTAATCCTAATGTTTTGTTAAAAAAAAAAACTATTTTTGCTATTTTTACATTGCCAAGTTTTTGGCAAAGAAAAAAGATATAAAAAAAAAAAAAAAAAAAAATCACAATTTAGCCTGTCACCAAATGGGTGCTACATTTTCAAATGAACTACAATTTGTGAATTATAAAAGAAAAAAAAAAAAAAAAAAAAAAAAAAAAAAAAAAAAACCCACTTTTTTCTTAGCTGTGTTCATATTTTTTTTTCGATTTTTTTTTTTTTTTTTTTTCCACCATAACTATTATTATTTTTTAATATATTTATTTATTTTTTTTTTTTAAAATCCCCTTCCCCTCCATATCTTCAATCGTTAAAAAAGTGCATTTCTCCAAAGACAATTAAAAAAAATCCTGTTGTTATAATCCCTGTTAAACTAGTTTTTCGCATGTTCAAAGGAATAATTTAGGGATAACGGTTTAGCCTAATTTTCCTAACAAATGCAGTGAACACATGCACAGTGGAAGTTGGGGTGAATGACAAATCACCTGAACGGCAATAAATTACATGACTTGTACAGGTAAAAAAAAAAAAAAAAAATTTACAGTTAATCTATCAAATATTTTTTTTTTTTTTTTTTTTTTTTGCTTTTTTTTGTTTTATTTTGAAAAATGATGCACCAAGAATTGGTGGGAGGAAAAAAAGATTAGGGTAGTACGGGGCTATTTATACAATATACATTAAAATTATGAATACACAAAAAATGTACGAATAAAGTAACAAAAGCAATTTTCTTAGATTTCTTATTTACAACGTAATATGCGTTAGAGAGAGGGGAAGAAGGTGTGTTTTCTCATATGTGAAAAAACCTTTATTTATATCTCACACACGGAAAGGTATATAATATATATATATCTCCACTTTCATTTATTCATAGCCACATGCCTTTTTGTACATATATAAAAAAAGTTCCTTCCCATATTCCAAATTTATTTATTTATTTATTTTTTTTTTTTTTTTTTTTTTTTTTTCTTTTTTTTACCATTGCTATAGTATTAAGAGGTTTTCTGATTTATACTTAAAAGAAAAATGCAGAAAATTCATGAACATATATCTCCTCTCCTATAGCCATGAAACATTTTTCATTTTTGAAAAAATGGACATAAACACACACCACATAAATAGAGATTAAAAAAAAAAAAAAATTCCTATCCTTTAATGTTAAACAGATCGTTGAGGGATTCCTTCTGATGGATACGTCTAATAGCGTCTGCAACCAGCACAGAAACACTCAATTTGGTAATTTTTTTACAATTCTCAATATTTTTGTTCGATTTAACCGTATCTGTAACTACAACTTCTTGAAGGGGTGAATTTTCTATTCGATCAATTGCTGGGCCTGAGAAGAGTCCATGAGTAGCAAAGGCAAACACTCTTCTGGCACCATGTTTTTTCAATTGTTTTGCAGCTTCACATAGTGTACCTGATGTGTCTATCATATCATCAACTATGATAACATCTGAATCGTATACATTTCCAACTAAATCCATTTTTTCAATTTCGTTAGGTTTTGTTCTTTGTTTTATTAACATAGCAATACCACAGTCACTTATGCCTCTATGATTTAGACCATCTTGAAATTTCCTGGCACGATAGACTCCCCCTGCATCTGGAGATACAATGACAGGTTTATAGAGATCCTTTTTTGTGAAATAATCTAATCCTATTAATTGTGCTTCTAAATTATCTACTGGTACTCTAGGTCCAAAAAAACCTTGAATCTGTCCTGAATGTAAATCGATAGCAACAACTCTATCTACTCCCATTGCTTCTATCATTCGTGCTACATCTGCTGCTGATATAGGAACCCTAGAACTTAGTTTTCTATCTTGTCTTGCATAACCATAATATGGAATAACAGCAGTGATTTTCTTAGCAGAGGCTCTTCGACAAGTAGAAATCATTAATAATAATTCAATTAAATTTTCATTCACTGGAGGGCATGTTGGTTGTATAATATAAACATCCTTCCCTCTTATACTTTCCAGAAATTGCATTGATACTTCACCATCTGCAAATCGCTTTAAATTTACTCTTCCTAAACTGGTACCTAAATGGTCAGCTATATTTTTGCTTAACAACGGATTCGATGAACCACTAAATAAAATTGCATTTTCCATTTTTTCAATTGGTCTTTTTTCTTCTGATCTCCACAAAGGGTGCCGAAATCCTTTTTTGTTATTATCACATAATACACTATCATTATTGTCTAATAAAATGGCATTCTTAATTTTACTATATTTTGATAGAATATTTATTGCATCCCTTCTTACGTCCCTACAATGAGATCTAATCTCTTGTCTCCTTTCTTCATCTTTGAATATATAGTAACACACGAAACTACTGCTTAGCAATACTGGTAGTACCCGTTCATAATTTCCTTGTCCTGTAAAATTGTTTTTCTTATACCACTTTGACATGCATCCTTTTGGAAAAAAAAAATTCATTTTACTTTCTAGGGGTGGGCAACAAGATGGTGAGCAGATAAAATTATTAAAAAAATGAGAAGAAATCAGGAAATTGTAAAATTGTGTAAAAGTTGTAAGAACTGTAAAAATCGTGGAAAAAAAAATTAAATTCAGCGAGGCTGTTCTACTGGATTTGCTATGTACTAAATGAACACTTCTACAGGTGGCAGAAAAAAAAAAAAAAAAAAAAAAAAAAAAAAAAGCAGTAGTAATTGCGCACCTCTGGAAAAAAAGAAAAAAAAAAAAAAAAGGACACAGTTTCTTGAATGATCACAGTGTCGTTGTGTCGTGGCATGAGAAAAAGAAGCTACGTAAAAATAATGTGTGAAATTTTGCGATATGTACTAGAACGGTTAAATGTGAAATGCATTGTATGGGTAGTACCCGAACTGAGCCAATAAAGGGGAAAAAAAAAAAAAAAAATAAAAGGAAAGGAAAAAAATAAAGTATGGGATAATAGTCCTAGGTAAACAAAACAACCGCAGTAAATGAAACATCCGTACCAACCTCAGCAAGCGTAACGAACTTCTTAAGCAGGAGCGTGCATCACAAATTTTTCGTGCGATTCATACGCTCCTACTCTTAGGGCATGAATATAAAATCCCTTGTTCGAAGAAAAAAATTAAAAAAATTAAAAAAAAATAAAGTAAAATAAAACAAAATAAAATGAAATACCCACGTTTTAAAAAAGGGGGCACAAGTCATAAAATAGGAAAAGAAAGAGAAACCTTATTATGGGCTTCATTGTGGCGTTATTATGGCGTTATTATGGCGTTATTATTGCGTTATTGTGGCGTTATTATGGCGTTATTGTGGCGTTATTGTGGCGTTATTATGGCGTTATTGTGGCGTTATTATGGCGTTATTGTGGCGTTATTATGGCGTTATTGTGGCGTTATTTATTTAATTTTTTTTTTTTTTTTCCTATATATATTGTGTGCATATATATTCTAGAAAATTCTCCCACCCTTTCTCAGAAGTTGCACATAGAAGCAATGTAATATAACCTCCCGCTCACCAATATAAAATTGCGTGCAAGAGTGAGGTGACTAATTTAGAAATTAAGTAGGTGTAATCAAAAGAACAATCGTGGGGAATAATCGCATTTATCAGCAAATCTCATATGTAGGTACGTATAAAGCGCTAAGATAGTTGTATACACAAATGTACACATAAATGTATACGCATAGAGAATATACATTTTCAACACTGTTATGAATATTTTTAGTCCATTTTGAAACAAATTGTATGAATTGAGATTCGCCCTTTTTCTCACGTCAATCCACCCCCACCCCCATCTACCACTCTCGAAAAAATTTTAAACCATGCGTATGAAAAAAAAAGGCGTACAAATTTAAAACATCTTGTGGGGAGGAGGAGTGCATTTTTTTAAGGCGGTAAAAAACTAACAAAAGGGGAAAAGGATTCTAAAAAAAAAAAAAAAAAAAAAAAAAAAAACAATCTCTTAAGTTCAGCAACGAATGGTGAAAATTTTTAAAATGTGATATGTATAAACATAAAATGAATTATTAAATAAAAGGAATGAAGCCATAACCATTTTTTTGTACATTCACGTTGGGTTATGCTTAAGTATATTCAATGTATGCATACATTTATATGTATACTTATGGTATAAAAACGAATATGTAGAAATACGCAATATTCAATGTTAGGGTACAGTTGTTGGGCAAAATTCACACAACCTTGATCCCTGTACAGTAGAAAAAAAAAAAAAAAAAAAAAAAAAAAAACTATATTTTCGCTTGTTCATCACAGAGAAACAAAATTGACCATCTAGGAATATACGTTTTGTATCAATTTTTATAAATGCGAAGATTTAATTTAACTCCCAAATTTCCAAAATTTTTCCAGTGACATGTGCAAAAAGTGAAGTAGAACCATTACACTGATATATTCCGGTTTCGTATTTATGTGTATACACAGAATGGTAAAAATATTATGAACAGGTCATATATTTTTTTTTTTTTTTTTCTTATTTTTCCATTTTGTCCAAATCGCTAGTTTGACTTTAAAAAAAAAAAAATGTAGAAAAATGATGAATGTTTTTTTAACCAAGATTTTTTTTTTTTTTTTACGCAAATTTATCTCTTTCTACATTTCAGTAGAATATTATATGTCTATCAAAGAGTTGCACATATTAAGTTCACATTGCGATTACCACAAAGATTGCGTGTGTGTGTGTGTGTCAATTTTTTGAGATATAAATGGACTTGTTCTAAATTAATCTTTATCACATTTGTTTTTAGTTCATACGGAAAATGTAAAAATATCATATGGTTATTCCCTTACGTTGGGTAATTTAATTAAAGGGAGTGAGTGTTTTTTTTTTTTTTTTTTTTTTTTTTTTTTTGTCATTTTGGCATAAAAGACTATTTTCGGTTTCAGGGAAATGTAGAAAAAAGGTAAATATTTTCTTAATCGAGGATATGTAAACATCTGTGTGTGAATTTCTCTCTTTTTTTTTTTTTTTTTTTTTTTTTTTTTACAAATATTTCTGAAACTACATTAAAAACGTTCCTCCCTGTGCACTTCACCCTTTTAATTAAAAAATAGGCGAACATGTAACACTGATGTGATTTTTCCAAGGTGTGCAAGCATATAATGGAGTGATAAAATAACAGGACATGGGTAATAATAAAGGCGCTAATGGTCGCAGTGGTCGAAGTAACAGTCATAGTAGGAGTGAAAAAAAAAAAAAAAAAAAAAAAAAAAATGAAGGTAAACTCACGAGTGAAACGCACTAGTTAGGCTTAGCCTCATCTTCTATGACAGCCTCGTGTTTGTAATTCTCAAACAAGTAGCTAATATGTTTTAGGGAATCGTCAAAGAGTTCTTTTTCTTGGGTATTCAGATCAAGTTCAATAATCTTCTCAATGCCCTTACCTCCAATGACACATGGGACACCAGCAAACACTCCCTTGTGTCCATATTGACCATTCAATGGTACAGAACATACCAGAACTCTCTTCAAGTCCTTCAAATAAGCTTCAATGATTTCTACAATAGCCAAAGATGGTGCAAAACAAACTGATCCTTCAGGTAGTAATTCTAACAACTCTAAACCTGTGTTCTTGGTTTTTTCAACAATTTGATTAATTTCCTTTTCTGTAATAGCCCCCTTCTTGGTAAAATCGTGTAATGGAATTCCGTTCACGCAACAGTATCGTGGCAATGGAACCATCTTATCTCCATGCGCACCTATGACGAACCCTTGGACATCTCCTGGGTTTACCTGCAGTGTGAGAAATAAAATAAAAAATAGAAAAAAATAAAATAAGAAAAATAGGAAAAATAGAAAAAATAGAAAAAATAAAAAAAATAGCAAAAAATAAAATAAGAAAAAATAAGAAAAAATAAGAAAAAATAAGAAAAAATAAGAAAAAATAAGAAAAAATAAGAAAAAATAAGAAAAAATAAGAAAAAATAAGAAAAAATAAGAAAAAATAATAAGAATGCCACAATTTATTCATGTTGGAGATATACAAGTGTGATACTATGTGTGATAGATGCCTATTTTAGAAAATCATGCACAAGGAGAAAAATCATAGTAAATGTGATCAATTTATTATATATGTATATATCTCCCTCTCTGGATGTATATAATATTCTCCTTTGATTTTTTTTTTTTTTTTTTTTTTTTTTTTTTTTTTGTGTCTGCTTTTTTTTCCATGATGAAAATAACATACTCTAAGTTTTTCGGCTAAGTTGTGTCTCAATCTTGCACTGTGTAAAACCCCTGCCATTCCACATATTTTATGAGATGGAATATTTGCATGTTCCTGTAAAACTTTAGCCATACAATCAACAGGGTTCGTAGTAACTACAACAAAAGCTTGTGGACAATGCTTTTTAATTGATTTTGATATTTCCTTTAAAAGTTTGACGTTAGAAGTGTAAACCTGTTTTTCTATATCTTCTTCATCAAATTCTGCAAACTCCCGTTCGGACACTTCAATTGTAACCACCACAACTAGCGAATCTTTAATATCTGTTATTTCGTTGGTTCCAAGAATGTTGATTCTTGATCTATTCAATGGTCTTGTGTGTAGAATGTCCAGGGCTCTTCCCTTGGGCAGGTCTGCAGGGTGCGGGCACCGTCCGGGTACGTGAAGGCGAGAAAAATAAAATCGAATAAAATCGAATAAAATCGAATATGTGTACAGGTGTACATTCATGAATACATCCGTATATACACACACATTCGCATGCATCACTTTTTCCATTTTAATATATATGCCACGCAGAGAGTACATAAATGGTAGTGGCAGCAGTGGCATCATCGGCTGACGTTGAAACTTTGGCAAGAGACGCAAAGTGCAAATTACCTTTTCGAAAATCGTGCAAAACCACATCACCCAAGTTTTTCTCACAAATCATATGTGCCAAAGTACAACCTATATCTCCTGCACCAAGAACACTAATTTTGGGATGCTTAACTGATGTCATTTTCGATACGTGATGGATACTTAAGGGTTGGAATTTGCCAAGGTTCTCTCGAGGTCTAATATATATATATATATATATATATATGCGTGTAGACGTGGGAGAGACACAGATTATGTGTTCATTAATGTGTTTTTTTTTTTTTTTTTTTTTTTTTGCCCTTTTGGTTTGCTAGGTGATACTGCGAGGAAGGTAGAGAAGATGTGGTATTATATAGTAATGTATGTTACATACATATGAGAAGTAAAAAAATATTGTAATGTTAAATATATCTATGAACATCCACAAGGTGATTCATGCATAATATGGAAAAATAAAACACGCTCGAATACGTGACTTTGGGTTGGGGGAGGATGATGATGATGAGGGTAATATATCTTAGGATAGTAACATGCAAAGAGAAGAATTACCTTTTTTTTAGAATTGAAGAACAATTATATATTTTGTGAAATTTTCGAAAGAGATATCTGATAATGTCATAGGAGAATTACAAATGCAAATGATGAAAAGTTCATGATTGTAAACATATACACATGTGTAGATATGTAGATAACATACATCACGTTGTGTTATTCCTGATTTATTACTTCTTTTTTGTGCTCCTATATGTATTTCTTTTGTTTGTTTGTTTGTGTGTGTGTGTGTGTGTGTATGTATGTATGTATGTGACATTTTTCTTTTATTTTCACATTTACCTACCCTTCACAGTGGTGGGATGAGTGGAATTTTAATTTTCAGAATCGATACAGCGTGTAATGGAAAAGTGGGACACGCAGGAAATTAAAAAAAAAAAAAAAAAAAACATATATACATATGTACACATATATAAACAGAGAGCTAAGAAAATGCGTGAGTGGCAATAAAAAATGCACACATAAATGTGAGAAAAATATGTAGAAAAATATGTAGAAGAATATGTGGGAAAAAATGTGGGAAAAAACGTGGGAAAAAATGTGGGAAATAAATGCAAATGTGGAAAATTGTGAATCGAAATAAAAATTAAAGGAACAAGCGAAACGCAGAGGCAAATGTGATCTTCGAAAGTGGAACCAATGAACCCGTGAAATTCGTTTTGGTAGAAAAAGCTACATGAAGTTAGCGTTACCTTGAGCAGGTACATGTGCTTATCAAACATGAGTATTCACAGATATTTATTTGCGTACACATATATAATTTACACTAGTGTATCCCTTGCGTGTGTCTGAAATAAGGCACGCGAAGGAACTAATTACATTAATTTGGGCAATGTAGAAGACACTGCTTTTGTTATTATTACTTTATTTTTTTATTATTTATTATTATAATTTTATTTTATTATTATTTTATTATTATTTATCATTATTATTGTTATTTTATTTTATTTTATTTATTTATTTTTTTTCACGGTATCTAACAGCTAGTTCGTTCATGTGCATCAGAAATGGCTACATTTTAATGTCAATGTATCTCTAAGGATAAGCTAAAGTATACTTACAAATAACTTAGTGTGTTTCTACATTAGATTCACATGGATATGTAAATTATTATTGATATTTGGATAATTTTTTTTTTTTTTTCTTTTTCGACGCAAGCCTTTTTTTTTTTTTTTTTTTTTTATGTGCACCTTTTTTTGCAATACCTCAGCAGGGGTTAAAAAAAAAAAAAAAAAAAAAAAAAAAAAAAAAGAGATATTATAATTCCGTGTACGATTCAACGATGTGCTGATGCGATTGGATAGTTTATAACCATTGGTTTAAGACACCACTAGCTTAAAACTTCATCAGCTTAAGACCTCATCAGCTCAAGATTTCACTGGCTTAGTAGGCATGTTAGCTGTGGGATTGATGACACGGGTAAATGTGATTAGAGTCCCTCTTGCAGGAATAATGTGTATGCATACGGGTGGGTGCATGATCATAGTGTGATTTTTCTCATCATGTGCACACGAATGTGTGTGCATTTTATGAGCCTCTAGATTGTGCAGAGTCATAAAATGAAAAATAGGATTTCGGAGAGACATAATTGGTGACTTGCACTTTTGCTGCTTCGCGGTTAAGAAGCTGCAGTATTTCGCAACTTCTTCTGCTTCTTCTGTTCCTACTTCTTCTGCTTCTTCTGCTTCTTCTGTTCCTACTTCTTCTGCTTCTACTTCTTCTGCTTCTACTTCTTCTGCTTCTTCTACTTGTGCTTCTTTTTTTTTAGGCTCATGTTCAGGTTTCGCCCTCTCAACTGCCGCTACACTCGTTTCCACAGTTTGTTGGAAGTGCCAAATTGACAGAACAAAATTTTTTCTCCGTTTTGAACAATAAAGCACAAAAGAAATAAAAATTCACAAAGTTGAGAAAGGTTGGAAATTTTCGAATTCACAGGGTAGATAAGGGCAGTGGTGTGAATACCCTCTAGCTATTTTTTTTTTTTTTTTTTTTTTTTTTTGCAACATCTACTGTTTCCAGTGAGGACACATTCTGTTTATGTAGTTCCTACCTGTATAACACCACACGAACGGACAAAGGGCAGATGAGAAACGGGTTGTCACAAGGAATGGATGAGAAGAAGGAGGATTGTTTGCACAATGGAATAGGAAAAAAATGTGGTGGAGATGAAGCGGTTGAAGATGAAGCACTTGAAGATGAAGCAGTTGAAGATGAAGCAGTTGAAGATGAAGAGGTTCAAGATGAAGAGGTTGAAGATGAGGCAGCTGAGCAGAGAGCGATTGAAGAGGACCTGTGGAGTAACACACAAGACGAAGGGAGTGGTGAAAAGAAAACACTTCGCACAAAAATAAGAGAACTTGAAAGTGCAATAAAAGGAAAGATTGTGAAACTTCAAAAGGAGTTGAAGGAATCGAAGGAGAATGAAAAAATTCATGAATTCGACTTTGCTGATATTTTAAACGAATTTAAGGATGAAATTACAAAAAGAATTAATGAAGTTAGTCAAATCATTGAAAAGAAAATAGAAGAACAGAATCTTAAACACACCAAGTTGTTTAATATGCTTATTTCTCTAAAAAATGAAAATTCTAAAATTAACAAATCCTTAACTATATTGAATGATAAAATTCATGTCATCCAAGGGGAAATTGGTGATTAGGAATCGTAGACGAATGCAATTCATATGATTTTAACATCAAAATTTTGCAGAGTTGTTAAAATAGATTCAGTAAAAATAATTACTTGGTTATATCACCAAGATATAAATATGAACATTCATACTGTATAAGTGAAAAGGAAGCATTGATATGTACACCCCACACTGGATGAGTTCAAATCGAGGAGTGACGTCATGTGCATATTTTTAAAGGTAGAAGTAGTTAAGCCAAGTGGTTCATTTTTTTTTTTTTTTTTTTTTTTTTTTTATCTTCCTTCTACAAGCTCTGCTATGTAAATTGGTACGATTTGAAGTGGTATAAAATGGTTTATATTTTCACCTACTCATGCCCCCACACCTGTGCATATGTTCATATTTGTATTTTTTTTTTTCCACTTTTTTTTTTTATGTGATGAACAGTGTGTCCAATTGGCATGTGTGTCCCTACACTTGGGATTCCGTCCCTACATATGTGCTCATTTTGTCTTCTTAAATTTTCTCTCCATTCCTTTATGATTTACTCAAAAACATGGGAAGTTAAACTTGTAACACAAAAAATAGAACAGCTTCACGCCGCGTGAGAAAACTTGGGCAAACTATCATTTCATTTTCTAAATTAAACATTTTTAACAAATTTTTGAAAAAAAATAAGAATGATGGATATTCTCACACACACTGAATTTTTCGTTCCTTCTGCGTGTGTGAATGCAGCTGCAGGGGAAATTGGGAGGAACTAAAAGGGTGAAAACACACAGGGGAGTACTGAAGTGTATATATATATATATATATATATATGTACATATGTAGATATGTACATGTGCCCAGGCACAGTTGGGTGTTTTTTTTCTTCTGTGCATAATTCCTATGTACAGGGACACGTGCACCCAATTTTCAATCATGCAGTTGGTGCACGACCTCAAAGTCTGAACATGAGAGGATGTTGTGTACCTGTGTTATAATACCGGGGTGCATGCGAACAGATCATCAGACAGACTTGATAACATGCACACGTGTCAGTAAACATGCCACTCTATTATGAACACCATTATGATAAGAAAAAGGGCCTGCCAGAAAAAAAGATACCGTTCGGGACAATTCCTAAGAACTAATTCAAATTTTCCTCACTCATCTTTTCCTACTGCTAAGCAATTTTCCAATTTTTTTATTTTTTGTATTTACAACCTTTTTAATTAACAAAAAAAAAAAAAAAAAAATGTTCTTTCGTTAAACATGTTCCCATTTTAGTACACCTGCGCGGGGTTACGTGTAGTTGAATTTTTATCTTACTCTATTATATTTTGCTCTATTTTGTTTTACTTTATTTTTCTCTACTTTATTTTTCTCTACTTTATTTTACTTTATTCTATTTTGCTCACTTTATTTTTCTCTACTTTATTTTACTTTATTCTATTTTGCTCACTTTATTTTTCTCTACTTTATTTTACTTTATTCTATTTTGCTCACTTTATTTTTCTCTATTTTATTTCATTTTTTGCGTGTGTGTGGTTGCACCTGTTGTGTGTTTCTCTCTGGAATTCCGTTCGAGGTTGAGAACAGGAAATTAAAAAAAAAAAGGAGTTTGCAAATTTGTGCAAGGGAAAATTATTACCAGTTGGCAAATGCAGCTCCTGGTTTGAATGTGAGGGGAGAGAGTACAGGTCAGAGTTCGTATGCAGAGGAAAGTAGTGACCCCGCCCAGTTCCCTTTTTCGCAGCGGCGCGCATACGTGTATATATATATATATATATGCAAGTGTGTATATTCCATGAGTTATTCATTATTCGTTATGCCTGCACGTGTGCATGTGTTTTTTTTTTTTTTTTTTTTTTTTTTTCCTCCACCCCACTCCTTTCCTTTGTAAAATAAGAACAAACCTCCAATGCATGGTGTTCTCATTTTAGTTTACACTCGCTTGTTGTGCTCCCATTTCTGTGTGCTGAAAAGTTGTCAGTAACACTGGACCTGTTGAAGTGTATGTACGTGTTAATAAAAATAAAATAAAATAAAATAATAATAATAATAATAATAAAATAATAAAAAAAATGGCTAGCTCACCCACTGAACACCATCTTGTAAGGAACACAAATTTGTCAAAGTCTCCTCAAATGAAACGACATGAAGGATGTGTCAATTCAGGTGAGGAACACAGTACCAAATTGGGGACATTGGGAACAGATGGAAATACCACGAGATGGGACAAGGGAAAAAATTGCACATTTAATAATGCTAATAAACATTCCTTAACAAATTGCATATCGTATGAGGAGGAAAAGAAAAAAAATAACAAAAGGGTAATTTCTCCCACCCTCTCAACAAGTAAAATATGCATGAGCAAATTAAAAAGTCTAAAAAAGCCCCCAACAAATTTGCAAAAAAATAAAGGAGAAAAATCCTTAAAACTTACAACATTTGCATCCAAGTACAGAATGACTAAGACATGTAAACTCAAAGGTGATAATCAAAAGAAGAGGATGTATCATCATATCCAAAGAGGCAGTAGCAGTTGCAGTTGCAGTTGCAGTGAACGATCGAATGTGCTTAAAAATAAACAGAAGGACAGGTGTAACATTTCTTGCAAACTAGGAGTTTCAAATATAATGAGTAATACCAGAGGGGATGCTTCACTTCTTCTTAGTGCACAACCAAAAGGTGACGTTTCTCCACCTTTAAAGAAAATGCACCACATGACTAAAATAAAAAAAAAAAAAAAAAAAAAAAATGAACAATTGTTATTAAAAAAGAAGACATTAAGTGAGTTCTTAAAAGAAATGAACGTGAAATGCATAAAAGAAAGTAACTACTCCAATGGGTGCTACAGAGAAGTAGAAGTACAGGTAGACTCAAAAAGGAGCAATCTAATAGATGTCATAGATGAATCGATAGCGTGGAATGAGCCAAGTAGTGGTGAAAGGATGAATCATATCCAAAATTTTAATGAAGCTTATAGTTTTCTTCCTAATACATACAACCATCAGAACGGTGATGAAAATCAACAGGGGGATTTTCACTCAACTGGTTTGGTAAACCATTCCAAGTTCGAGTATTCAGATGATGATATCATTCAAGATGAAAAGAAAATACAGTGCATCAATAAGTTTATCGAATCTGGTGAAGATGTACCCAATCAATATGTTGAAATGGCTCTTACATATAACAGTTGTAATGATCTAACTGCTGATTCTCTGAAATATGGAAAAATTGTATATAATAACGAATTAGAGATTGATGAGAAGCATAACAATACATATCCTTTTGGTGAAGGTTCAAATGATGAACGTCATTTGAAAAAGATTGTTATGAAAGAAAATGTGGATGCAACAAACTATGACTTAAAACAAAATGATAAAAATGAACATGTCTCAAATGATTACATAACGTATAAGCAGTATGTTTTTAAAACAGAATCTAACAGTAGAAGTAGAATCGACCAGGAATGTATTAACAGTGGAGCAGAGAACCTTGATACACCTGGATTCACACAACTAAGCAATATCATAACGGTAAGAGATTCCAATGGTACTGAGGAGGAAAGTATGAGTGGCAAACTAATTTTCAGTAATGATCAATCGAATGGAAATATGTGTATAATACACCTGAACAGGGAAGAAGGGATGCATACCCACTTGGTGGGAAGTAATTCTATACACAAAAATGATGTGGTGGTGGAGGTGGATGAAGTGAATGAAGTAGATGAAGTGGATGAAGTGAATAAAGTGAATGAAGTAGATGAAGTGGATGAAGTGGATAAAGTGAATGAAGTAGATGAAGTGAATGAAATGAATGAGGCTGTGGAAGGGCATGCAACGGAGGGAGAAGAAAATAATAATGCATATATAATGAACCCCAATGATGACAAAACTTGCTGTAAGAACTCTGACGAAATAGAAGAAATTCACTCTGACCTATCCGATTCCTTTATTATAAGACGTTTGCCAGATATACCAAAGGATGCAAGTGTTATCTGCAGCAGCAGGGATGATATATGTACCTTAGACCAAAGACACGCATGTCCTTCTGCTTCAAATTGTGTATCCAAGAGTAAGGATGAAGATAGAATCACAGAAAATTACCACACGTCTTCCTCTAAATCGTTTCTAAATAAGAAAGGGGAAGGAATGTCAATTTTTTTTGGAAATCAAAGAGTCAGAAGAAGAGAAGAAAAGATCATCCATCAAAATGAGGAAGATGGGGATGCTGCTTCATCTCACGGTTCATTGGGAAGACACGACAACAAATATGATATGATTAATTTGAGAAAGGGTGAATATTTACCTTCCCCTTCCTCAAAAAAGAACAAAGTTTATGGTGACAATGTCTGTGGTGATCAAGTCTGTGGTGACCAAGCTTGTGATTACCAACCGTGTAGTGACAGCAATAATAACGGCAGTTGTGCTCTCCCTCCATCCAATAGTATCAAGGGAGAGAAAAAAAAAAAAAAATGTGGTAAAGATCCACACACATATTTATATGATGATATCCTTTTCAGTAACTCTTTGCTTAGCCAAAGAAGTGACACGTCCATAATACACATAGACAGTTTAGAGGATCTAACGGGTTCATGTGTTCATGCGAATATGCTGAAAAATATGAATAATATTCAAAATATTCCTTGTGATAATAGGAATCACACAAAGTACACAATAAACGATGCTGCTGATGCAAAGGATGACATAGATGTGAGAAGCGATACATGCAATGAATCGTTGAGAAATTCTCATGCCATGGGGATTTTCTCATGTAAGTTATTCATAAAAGGTGATGATACAGACCTCAAGAGAGTTTGTGAAAACAAACGTGATAATCGAAATGACTCCGGTGAAAGTAATCTCATTGGAGATGATATGCCATTTGGTTTTGTCACCATGTCTTCTTGTCCTCATGGAGACGAATCAAATGAAAAATCTAACGCATGGAGAAGGAGTGCTCAAAGGGGTAGCTGTGCTGAAGATTCATTCCCAGTTTCAGATTTTGTGCATGCAGATGATAGTGACCTTGTCGATCCTATAAATGACCAGGTTGGAGATGTCTGCTCAAGTGTGTCTAAACGGAAGGAGAGCAAGAATGGACCCCTTGATGACTCCACGAACAATTTGATAAGGGATCAGCAGAATGATGAGAGTAGGATAACACATTTGTCTCGTTCCTCCTTGGAAAAGGAAGATATGAAAATTGTAACATGTGCAAAAGGAACTCTTATAAAGAACGAAGAGAATATTTCCTTGGGGAAGAATGATACTAATCGAAAATTATATCTACATGATTATTTACCTGAACATGTTCATGTGAAAAGGAAGAAGAGTAGTTCCTTTTTTTCAGATAATAATACTCAAAATAAAAAAGTAGATAAATTTTCCGTATTTAGAAGCTATAGTATTCATAATGTAAAGGATTTCAAACGAAATTTTCCAAAAAAGTGTGATAACATTGTACCCATATCCAACAATGAAATGAATCATAATAAAAAGAAGACATCTAACATTTTCCAAAAAATTAAAAATATTAACACATATAAACAGATTGCTAAAGAAGGGGAGGAAATGAAAAACAGCGATCTGTACCATAATCATGCTTCTAACACCACGGGTTATAAGCAATTGTCTTTGCATAATTTACCTACGACACAGCCTGTGGCAGCTGTTGTTTCCCTTACCATTACCCAGAATGAGAATGGTGAAAAGAAAAAGAAGAAAATTTTTAAAAGTAAACTGCTCGAAGGATTGAAAAGGTTAATTGGGAGAAACGATGTTAATCGAAATCAAGAATATAACGAGAGAGGAGTAGGAGTAGAAACGAATATTGTGGAATGTGTGCAAGATGAAGACAACAAGAAAAGTTTGGAAAATGTCGATAATGAGGAGAGAGAAGAAGAAGAAGAAGAAGAAGAAGAGGAAGAAGAAGGAAAAAAAAAAAAAAACAATCATAGGGACAATAAATGCAATAGTGATCGAAATGTAGAACCTCCCAAAGAATCAGTGCATCGAATGAGGGTATACAGTTATCACGAAGAGGTGATAGCAAGCGAACAAATTTATAGAAGTAGAAGAAGTGCCTCCGTGAATAAAATAGAAGCATGGAAAGGAAGGGGAACTCTGATATTCGATCATAATGGAGGGAGCTCGGTTACTCAGAATGTGAAAACAATTAACGAAAAAAATTGTGATATGGTGAGGTACAAATCGGTTGATAGTGCACTTCTACTTGATAATGCACTTCTACTTGATAATGCACTTCTACCTGATAAGGCACTTCTACCTGATAAGGCACTTCTACCTGATAAGGCACTTCTACTTGATGATGCACTTCTACCTGATAAGGCACTTCTAGTTGATAATGTAATGCCTTTACATGAGTGGAAAGAAGAATTCAGAAATGAGAAATTTTTTAAAATGAAGCCTCCCTCCCCCGAGTGCAAACCGAATGCGTGCGAACGGAAGGAAATTATCACCAATGACATGAAGCAAATGTTGAAAAATTATAAATACACTAACGAAAATATGAATGCCATTAATTCTACTTCTAGCAAAAATGACAATTCAACTCTAGGTGATGAATTTAATGGTGATAATAATGAGATATCTTTAGAAAGGTTCGTGGGTGATGATTCGACATTTGAAAAGATGGTGCATATCAGCAGGTGCAGTAAGGCGTTCCGTGATTTTAAAGAACACACAGGAAATTTAGTTATGGATAGACAAGATGAGGACAGTCACTTTGAATTTATTCAATCGAAAATGAGTGCTGCTATGGAAAACTCAAATTTTTGTGGCAGTGATGATGAGCTTTTCTTACGAAGAGACGAAGAAGCGGAAAAAAAAAAAAAAAAAAAAAAAAAAAAACATTACCCACAGGGGGGAGAAGCGGTAGAAGTGGAAGAAGTGGGAGAAGTGGGAGAAGTGGAAGAAGCAGAAGGAGCGATAGAAGCAGAAGGAGCGGTAGAAGCAGAAGAAGTGGAAGAAGCAGAAGGAGCGATAGAAGCAGAAGGAGCGGTAGAAGCAGAAGAAGAGGAAAAAGCAGACGAAGCGGACGACGTGGGTGACATCACGTACGTTAGCGATAATATGAAAAATTGTAAATGGATTTATGATCCTGTGCAATATAGAGAAGAATCCATGGAAGCGTTACCGGAGGTATCAGAGGAACAGAATAAAAATTGTCACATGCAGGGAGAAGGGAGCGAAAGTTTTCTATTTCACAAAATGGAGGAACACAAATCGGATGAAGCGAGTGTACAAACGAGGTTAGCTAAGGAAGACGCTTTTTTGGCTTTAGAAAACGATGCCCTAAGTGGGATCAATGCCAAGTTGGCTAGCGAAAATGAGGCATTAAGTGGGATCAATGCCAAGTTGGCTAGCGAAAATGAGGCATTAAGTGGGATCAATGCCAAGTTGGCTAGCGAAAATGAGGCATTAAGTGGGATCAACTCGAAGTTGTCTAGTGAAAATGAATCCTTAAGCGGAATTAACTCCAAGTTGGTCGAAGAAAAAGAAGCGTTAAGTGGGATAAACTCGAAGTTGGCTCAAGAAAAAGAAGCGTTAAGCCGAATCAACAGCGAGTTGGCTAGCGAAAATGAATCTCTAAGCCGAATAAACACCAAGGTGGCTAGCGAAAATGAATCTCTAAGCCGAATCAACACCAAGCTGGCTAGCGAAAACGATATGATGAAAAATGAGAATGACAAATATCACAGAAAAAATGAGCACCTCATGGAGGAACTTGATCGACTTCAAATCGAAGTGGAAGGGATGAAAACGAAAAATGAGAAATCGGAGATGCAGAAGGAGAAAATCAGAAAGGATTGTGAAAAACTTGAAAGAGATAAAGAAATCTTAAAATCAGAAAAAATGAACAACATACTGAAGATTAATGATTTAGAAGAGCAAATAAGTAAGCAAAACAAATCTGTCAAAGAATTAACAGCAGATCTAGAAAAAAAAAATGAAGAAATATTATTACATAAGGAAGAAATAAGCAAAATGAAAAATAATCTAGATAAATTGAAAGAAGAAATGAAACAATCTCATTACAAAATTGGCATTTACACACAAAATGAAAAGAAAAATGGAACAACTCTGACAACATGTGAAGAAGATATACACATGTCTAGAGACGAGACAAAAGATTTGGAATGTGAAAGTGAACATTACATCCTAGAGGAACACAACAATAAGGAACAAAGAAAATTCATTGAAGAAAAGAAAGAAAAAGAAAAACCGAATGATTCAATTGACCAGTGTAAAAGCGAAACAAACAATAGATACGTAAACACTTTTAAAGTAATAAAAAATTATATTTTTGTAAAAAAAGGTGATAAAAAGAGAGAAGGAGGGAACCTATCATCTTTTGTTAATTATGAAAACGTGAGCAATGAGATAGACATGTTGGATAAGGATACGCTGAAAGAAAAGTTCAAAAATATAGTAATGGAGTATATCCAATTGCAACTACGACTAGATGAATATGAGAAGTGTAATATGAAATCATGCGATAGAAATAAGGAACTAAGCATATTGGAGAATCTATCAAAAAATGAACAAGAAGATGTGGAAGACGTGGAAGATGTGAATATACAAGGAGACAAAAAAAAAAATGACATGAATAATAAACAGAAAGATATATGGAAAAAAGAGAAACATTCAGAAATTCCGTTATTGTTCATAGATAATGCGTTAAGTGAAAATGTTACATCTTCGAATGAAACGAATGAGGAAAACAATGATCTAGAGAAATACAAAATCTTGTGTATTCAACTTGAAAAGGCGAACAAAGATTTGCATCAAAAAATGAAAGGAATTTCGAAACTGTTAATGGCTCATTCGGAAAATGAAAATGATTCCATTTATAAAAAAATTTTAGAGAAAACTTCAGAAATTATTAAAAGTGTTGATATGATAAATAAAAAGATATGTGATTTGAAATGCAAGAGAAATAATAATGAAGATGTCAGTGAATATTCTGATTGTTTGATTTACTTGAATTCTATTTCGATTGACATTTTGTTTATCAACACGAATATTTCTCTCATAGATGAAATTGTCAGGGGAGGACGGAACTACGTGGACATGCACGCCATCGGAGTGGTTCCCTCTAGTTCGTCTTCATTTGAGAGGGGAGAGGGGCAATGGGGTGACACGCTCCATGGTAAGTTGGGTGGTAAGTTGGATTGCAAGTTGGATAGTAAGTTGGATTGCAAGTTGGATAGTAAGTTGGATTGCAAGTTGGATGGTAAGTTGGGTGGTAAGTTGGATTGTAAGTTGGATGGTACGCTAGAGGACACTGATGATAACATGGGGAAAGACCTGCACACGACAACTGATCAAAGAGAAGAAAACTTCGACAGAGAACTAGACAGGGAAAAGATTAAAAATGTAAGAAGTAATCGGGTTAGAACTGTTCAGAAGGAAAGTAATGTTCAAGGAATTGAATTCAAATTTGAAAATTTGGATTCTGAGACGCATCCATCTGGGTCTGAAAAAAGAGAAGATGCAGATTTTCTGACATTTTTTGAAATTTGCTTCTCCAGCGATTTGTTTCTAATTATGTGCTATGTTTGCAAGGGGATTAACGAAATAAATACATATGTAAGAAGGGGAGAAGAGCATAACTACAAAAGGGCTATGTGCAATTTGGCTAGCTGCATAAACGAAATGTCAAGTTTGAGTGACACGAATGGAGGGAATGGCAATTATAGCAATCCCGACAATTATAGCAGTCATGCCAATTATTCGAAGTATCAGAATTATTCGAATTATTCGAGGTGTCCGAATTATGACCATGGCAACGATGATAACAGTAGCTGTAACAGTAGAAGTAGCAGGAAGGAGAAGAACAGCCCCTTCCTTGAAAATGCTACTGAACTGTTCGTCTTGTTAAGAAACCACCTGAACAAGATAATGGACCTGCTTCAGGATGAAAGGAAAAATAACATTTACAAAGTGATGCGTGAAATATATTGCATGAAAGATATAGTTCGATTTGTTTTGTTCACCTTTCTAAAATTTCACCAAGTGAATTGTGCTTTTTCAGAAATGGACAAAAGGTACCATGGTCCCATTGAAGATCCTATTGAAGTTCCCATTGAAGATCCCATTTCTCTGACAAACTTGTCACCGTGTGTTAGTAAAATATTCACAGATGGGGGAAGTCCCTCTAAGGGTTTTCCAAAAATGGGTTCAAACAGCCAACGTGAAAAGGATTCTCCTTACAGAAGTGGTGCCAAGTTAGGAAGCAGTGCCAAGTTAGGAAGCAGTGCCAAGTTAGGAAGCAGTGCCAAGTTGGGAAGCAGTGCCAAGTTGGGGAGTGGTGTAAAACTGAGTAGCAACGGATTCAGTAAGATGGTCCGAATGAATAACAACACATGTGAAAAAATTTCGAAGTATGACTTGGGAAAGGTTGCAAAGAGAATGGTAGAACATAACTATAACGCACACATAATTCCCTGTCTAATTGCAAACTATGCAGATGGTATAATTCTTGAGAAAAACCACGATAAGAAGGAAAGGAATAGCGAATTCGTCATTGAGATGAATAATTATTCAACAAATCTTTTTAAAAAAATTTGTGAAAATATGAAATGGAATAATTTAATTATTAGCAGTGATTCTTTTATAAACTATTTTAATGATGATCATTATAATTATGATGGTGATGGTGACATGATGAAAACAAAATTAAGTAAGAATTTTTTTTTAAGAAAAAAAAACAGGATAAATGTGGACATCGTTTATGAATATCTCGGTGCACTATTCAGGCGAAATGGTAGCAATAATGGACGTAACTCATTTTTCAGTGAATATTTTAAAATTTTACGTTCCTCATTTTTGCAATATCCATTGAATTCTGGACATTTAAGCGGAGACACTTTACAACCCTCTACCAATTTTCAATTTGCAGATGCAGCACTGGAGAGGACAAATTGCAGTCTCAGCAGTACCATCAATGGTGGTCTTTTCAAAAGTGCATCTTTCACAGGTAATGGCACAAATATGGCTCAACGGAAAATGGACATGAAGAGTGCCATAGGTGAGACAGCTGCAAAAGTTGAAAAAGTTGCAAAATTTTCCAAAATTGAAACAATATCTAAAGGTGATGAATCCTCCTCTAACAGGAGGAAGGGCAGCAGCTGGAATGACAACTTGGTGAAAATGAACGATTGGGAAGAATATCCCTTGATACGTCTTGACAATACATGTATAAGTGCTTTGTTTCATATGTGGCATAAAATGGAAATTTTTTTTTTCTCAAAATTAAACAATAGCTGTGAAGACGGTTCAGCAGAAGGAAACAACAGATTCGGGACATCTGACAAAGAATTGTGTTTAGCAGATTCGAGGGGAGAAATTCCACACAGATTCAGAACCCGTTTGTTTGCAAAAAGGGAAAATGTAGTATCCCCTTCTCAGCTAGGAAGCCATGACACTTCATCTATTAGTGTGAACAAATTAGAATTGTGCAAAGGGGAAGAGAGACAAACGGGGGTAACAGAAAGGGGAGCAAAATTAACAGGAGAAGCTTCCTCAACGCATGAGGAACCAGAGGGAGAAGATCTCCCTACAATGGATAGATATCTGAAGAATATGATACTTGACATATTCGAATCGAGTGATGAATCCAAGCCGATTGGGATAAATAACTTCATTTGGTTATTCAAAAAACTGAACATATATGTACATGATGACAATGTTGTACATTCCATGTGGTGTATAATGACTGGGATGAAAGATGTTCAAAGTGCGTTACAAAAAAGTATTCCCCTTTCTACTTTCATTAAAAAGGCTCATTCAACGAACCCATCTTTTATTTTTTATGAACACTGCAAAACGAGAGTAAAATTGCGACAAGTAAAACATAATGTAAAATTGCTAAAAAGATACAATAAGAAATTACTCCTCTTGGTTACTAACAACATTTCCCTTCCATCCCAAGACGAGGGAATGGGCATACCTCCGTTAGCAATCTGATGTATTACTTGGCTAGAGCATATTTCGGTTGTAGCATGTTTTGACATGTGACACAAGTCATGTGATAGGGGATTGAGTGCATATGCTTACATATGCAGCGTGACGTATGATTAAGTGTCCTGCATGAGAACCCTCTCCCGTGTACTAGTAAAACCTACGTGCCACATGCCTGATTTTTTGTTGAAATTCTTTTTTCATGTATTTGTTCAGGATGATCCACCTTTCGACCCGTGCATCACCATGCTTGTCTCATATGTATGAAAAAGAAAAATATTTTTCAAGCACTCAGCATTACCAATTTGTGTTTCAATCATTTCGTTTATCTTGTCTCGATTTATTTTGCCTTCCTTCTCTTGATTTATTTTGCCTTCCTTCTCTTGATTTATTTTGCCTTCCTTCTCTTGATTTATTTTGCCTTCCTTCTCTTGATTTATTTTTCCTTACTTCATTTTATTAGTTTTTCCGTCCCCAAGTATACCCTTTTTTGAGTTGGCCAAAAAGCCTGGCTATGTTCATCCCCCTTTTTCTTTACGACACTGCATTAAAATGATTTGATTCAACACAAATGTCGTAAGGATTTTTTTGGTCATGTGCACGGACAAGGGTACAATGAGGGAAAGTCATGAAAAAGTACAATTTTTAATTTTTTTTTTTTTTTTTTTTTTTTTTTTTTTAATTTTAATAACGCTCATCAAGTTACAATACTCGTTTCGATCCTTTGAACAGAAATTTTATTGTCACTGGAGAAACCGCAACTGCAACGTGAGAAGTAGTGTCAAACGCAACTGCAACGTGAGAAGTAGTGTCAAACGCAACTGCAACGTGAGAAGTAGTGACAAACGCAACTGCAACGTGAGAAGTAGAAGCAAACGAACGACATGCATACAAACCCTGCATGTGGTGTGTGAGTTGAAATGCAAATTTTAGCAAAACGCAGTTCTTTGTTCCCACTCCCGTTTCTCATCTCCGGTTGGGGTAAGATCTAATTCACATGACACATCAGCAAGCATGCATACACACACTTCATTCTGTGCAGCTTCATTTTAAAAGAAAACTGGGTGGGGTAGGGGTACAATGGGAGAGGAAAAATTGTAAAGAGATGACTCGACCCTACACACACAAAAACACGCAAACGTAAATACACCCCTTAAAAAGTAACATAAAGTCTAACACAATTTTTCCAATTTTTCGATTTCTCATGTTGAGAAAGAGAGTGAAAGAAAATTTTCTCAATGTAAAAAAAAAAAAAGGATGAAGCAGAAAAATTAACCAATCCCATTCCCCCACGGGAACGAAAAAAAAAAAAAAAAAAAAAAAAAAAAAGAATGACAACGGGAGTGATAACCAGAATGACTAGAATTGCTTACAAAATGCCGCTGTCCATAGGGGGAAAAAAATTTAAAAATTGGCATAACCATTCTACCATTTGTAACTGTCGTTATTATGGTAATTGTTGCAATTCTTTTGCCCTATCCCGAGGAAAAAAAAACCATTTTTCCACCTGCACAAGGTCAGGTAATTTAAAGGCAAGTTGTGCGCCCTCACGTGAGGTGAACAATAATGGGAAAGCTTCAAAGCATAGAATGACCCCCTTTTTGGATGAATATGAAATGAAAATAATACATAATAAAAGAATTACCTTTTCTAGTGAGTTTAAAAATAGAATAAACGTTTTTCTGAAACCTTTAGAAGAAGATGTAGTAACATGTGATGAGGTCGAAGAAGTTCCAACTGTGCATACTGTCGAAAAAGACCAAGTAGTGATTATGGGCAAAAATATAGACAATTCAGAGGTGCAGATAAACACTGAGATGTGTTCTAAAATAGGAGATAGGTACATAAATAAAGAATCTGAGAAAAAAAGTGAAAAAATCGAAAAGGAAAAGACATTTCTAGAAAGAGTGAATCGAAAAAAAGGTGAAGGTTCAACAAAAAATCACAAAATCAAATTTCTTCCATTAGAAAGATACATAGCACTAACAAAAAATAAACACAAATATGTGTACGATTTTGAAATAAAAAACATAGGAGAGTTAGGAAAGTATGAAGCAGGTGAAATTGTAAACATTTACTTTTATAACAAAGAAGAATTAGGAATTGGTATTTTAAATCGAAAGAGTAATATAGTACTTAGAATAATAGACACAGATATGAAAAAAACAATTAATGATCATTTTTTCCTTTGCAAATTGTATGAAAGTATAAAAAGAAGATTTCAATATTTATATAAAAATATCAGTATATATAATTTTATGCACTCTTTAAAATTTTCAAATGGAGTTAACTTGTATTGTAAAGTTGTTAATTCTACAAATGATGATTTGCCGGGCTTATCTGTGTACATAATAGGAAAAAATATATTCATAAGATATGACAATTTGGGAATACAAAAATTTAGGTATCTCATTGAAAATGAACTAGATACAATCTTCTCACCCAAAAATATTTTTTGTAAAAAAATTGTGAGTAAAAAAGAAAAACGGGCACAACAAGGAAAAGAATATATATTTGAACCCATTAAGGGAGAAGATTTAGAATTGTCTTATAGTGAAAATGGACTTACTTTTTACAATAATATATCTGACATATCATACGACATTTTTCACATAGAAAATAAACAAGATAGACTATTTTTACGATCCATTTGTCATTCATACAACATATTAAATGTTAATGGAAATGTGGGAGAATACATAATTAGCTGTACATCCATTCCAGATGCAACGAACACATCTCCCCATTCGGAGGAAATTCCCAATGTTTCTATCATCCTGTCCAAATGTGCCAAAAATGTGAATTATATAGACAAAAACATTTCACGCAATACCTGTGGACAGGTAATGTGTCTCTACAGGGAAGGTACGTCTCGCTCGCTCTCCATCTCGCCTTTGTCCACTTTTCCTCCGTTTCCTCTGTTTCTTCTGTTTTTTTTTTTTTTTTTTTTTTTGTACCTCACTGTGTAGCTGCTTTTCTGTGCAACTTCTTTTTCTAATTTCAAGCTTCTGCCCCAACACAAACTCACATAAAGATATCCTTCCTTCCCTCCCTCTCGTAGACATCCTGGATGAACTAAACAACATGCACCTCAACAACTTAAGGTGATAATTCCAACCAAAAAAATTACACCAGAGGAAATGTGATTAGGAGAGAGCCCCTCAGGGGTGCCCTATTGATAAACACCTTCCCATCACTCATTTCCCATCACCCCACCTTCACAGATTTGGGCTCATCATATACAACATATGTAGCAACATCGTTTATAGAACCAATTCCTACACGAGTATGTATGGGAAGAGACACACGGCTTCCTTCAAGGGCATACACAAATATTTGTTTTTCCTCTCTTACCTTTTGCAAAAAAACGGTAAAATTCTAGTGCATATTTTCCATAGTACAAATTAGGACGAACCAAGACCAAATCGATTTTTCCATATCATGGGCAAAAAAACGCTATGTGATTTTCTCTTTTTTTTTTTTTTTTTTTCCACACACACACACACACATACTCATACACCCTTTTACAGGTTTACTATTCCTCACGGTACAACTCTCAGCACAGGATTACGACAAATTTTTGAATATTGTCAAGTGTGTCTTTGAACGCAAGAAGAGGAATCTGTCTATAATATATGAAAATTCCTGCAGTTTGGAAGATAAGTAAGTTTGCTTTTTCTTTGGTTTGGATATAGATGAAATATTCACGTAAAAAAAAAACACACACACACATACTTTTTTTTTTTTTTTTTTTTTTTTCTTTAAAACTGTGTGTTTTATTTCCTCTCTCTCATCCCTTCCTATGCAGCATACTTTGCAATGACTCGAATACATGTTACTTGAGATCTGTGTGTTTCAGACTTGGACATTCCTAATCCTTATATCCATTTTCTACATTAGTCCCTGTATAACAATATAGGGAAGAATGTGTATACACATATACATGCACATATGTATGGTGTGCATATATGTGTATATTTTTGTTGGATGAATATGGTGGCACTTTTCTTTTTTTTTTTTTTTTTCTCAATATAGTTATTCATTCCTCTGTTCATTCGTGTAATTTTTTCTTCTCCTTTTTTCTTCTCCGTTTTTCTTCTTCTCCTTTTTTTTTTTTTTTTAATGTACTACGTGAATAAGGTGAAGACACAAACGAACTACAAATATTCACACCCAAAAAAAAAAAAAAAATTAAGAAAGTTGGAAAAAAAAGAAAAAAAAAAATTATGCAGAATAGGAAACAAGTAGAGCGTCGGGAAGAGCGTGATATAAAACACAAAGAGAAAAACTTAAGATGAAAATGAAAACCCAGATTAAGCATAAGCAGAAAATTCAGGAACCCTTTTTTCTTTTTTTTCCTGTTAAAGTGTCAAATATGTCTTTATTGCTAATTTTGTTTCGCTAATTCTGTTTTGTTAATTTTGTTTCCCCAATTTGGTTTCCACAATTTTGTGTTCCTCCCGCCCACCAACTTAGATTATTTATCCTAAAAAAAAAAAAAAAAAACATTACAAGTTAAAGCACATTAACAATATACTGTAAAGTAATGATGCACACAGAACGAATACTGTGTAAAATTTACCATCACATCAACATAATGTGTTAAGAACAAATGTGGAATTCTATTTTACTTCTTCCATGTAAGACCACCCGTTTGATATTGTTTCTTTGTCGTATGCTTTTCATCAGCAAGGAATAACTTTGTTTGTCATACGGATACAACAAATTGTAGCACAAGGAAGTAGGCTGGGTTGACATAATTGCCTCTGCTAAATGGAAGGAAAAAAAAAAAAAAGAAAAAGTAAATAAGCTACTATTACGAGGCAACCTGTTTTTTTTTTTTTTTTTTTGTCATTATTTTTTTTTTTCTATTTTGTCATTGTTTCTTCTTTTCCATTTCTTTTTCTTCTCTGTAATTTCTTTTTCATTTTTGCCATTGTTTCTTCTTTTCCATTTCTTTTTCTTCTCTGTAATTTCTTTTTCATTTTTGCCATTGTTTCTTCTTTGCCATTTCTTTTTCTTTCTTATATTTTACAAAATTTCGGATTTATCATAATAAATTATCACTTCTCCTCCACCTCCAACCCTTAAAATAAAAAAAGATCAAAATGGATAGTCCAGAATACCTCAAGATTGAACTTCAAAGGGTGAAAAGTGACTATGAAAATGTAGGAACGAGCGAAATTTTTTTTTTTTTTTTTCATCTAAACCAACGAGATTGTGGCAGCTCAGTTTATCCCCCACCTCATAAACATGTTGAATAGGGCAGTTGTTACATGAACGCATGCATGTTTTAGATTATATCTCCACGTCTCCCTCATATGTGTATGCATGTCCATAGACACTTTTTTTCTTTTTTTTTTCTCTTTTTTTCTTTTTTTTTTCTCTTTTTTTCTTTTTTTTTCTCCCCAACCCCAAGCTTATGCGTTCGATGCTGGATTTATACCCCCAGCTTCATTTCATAATGCATGGGAATAAACGAGGGAAAATAGACAAAAGCATAGGGACATATATGCCTAGAGAGAGAAGAACAAAGGATAAGAGAGTGAAAATACATAGAAGTGAGTCACGCCCAGGAACCAAAACTGAGAAGTGTAACCTCGAACTGCAACCGAGAGGTGTAAAAGCTCGAACTTCTGCGAGCCAATTACTGACACATGAACACATTTCATCTGCTTCCCCTTCCACCCCCTTCTCTCTCGCAGGAACTATCGATTGATCACGTAATGCCAAAGACTCAGTTTGACTATGCTTGTATGTTAATATGCTCCTCTGACCTAAAGAATATAAAATTTGCTTCATCCTTATTACACGAATTGCTACTTATAAACTATAATCGAATCGATTGTTTGTACCAGCTAGCCATAGCACATATAAAATTAAGAGATTATAAAAAAGCAAAAAATTATTTAAATGCATTACTGAAAATAGATGCAAGAAATAGCAACGCATTGGCCTTAAAGAGCTTGCTCTTTGATTTAATTTCATCAGATGGATTGATAGGAGCACTGCTAATGGCCCTTACAGCGTGTGGCATTTACTTATCCTTTAAATCTTTTAAATTTTTTTAATTTTTAAAAAAAAACAAAAAGGTGAAAATTACATGCATATATATATATATATATGTACACACATATATATTTTTTTTTTTGTAAAATAAGCTTTTCATTTTTTTTTTTTTTTTTTTAAATTCCAGTTATGCACCTTTTATTTCACTGTTGATGCGCAAGAAAAGGTGGAGAAATGGAACAAAGAAAAAAGAAAAAAGAAAAATGGAAAATTAACTAAACTGTGATTCTGTTATGTATATTTATTTGACATCTCTTCTACAAAAATTTGGATTAAACTACACAACCTGCCACAACATGTGTTTGTGTGTGTGTGTACATAAGCATAAAATACATGACATATAATTTTGTCATTATTTGTAAAGGAAAATTAAGATGATATAATTCGTTTCACTTGTATACCCACACATTTGGAGAATTATCCAAATAACTCTATCCCATTTCATTACCACCACCATAACCCATTAATCATATGTCTAAATGATTATTACACATGTCTAGAAATAAAAACAGAAAAATCCAGTTTATGTAAAACAGTCTATGGTTCATCGATTTTTTGGAATATTTCGTTGCGTTATAAATGTGTAGAGGCGTCTGTTGGTTGCAAATAAACTTTTCCTGTTATAAGAGAAAAAAAAAAAAAAAAAAAAAAAAAAGGAAATGAATTTATACATGCCAAAATGGGCAGATGCATACAAGTTGGTCATGAATTTGTGTGTCTATTTACTTTAGCATATGGAAATTGGGTGACATAAATGGCTAGTCAGTAAAGAATTGGGGATACTTCGGAGTCATAAGAATAATGTGCAAAATGATGAAGCAAGACCAGTTAAGTCCACAATGATTTGGACGACACATTTGTGAAATGGATAATGAATTTTAAAGCATCTCAAGTGATCGGACATGTAAAAATATTCCATAATGTTACTAAAAATAAATCTCATTCGAACATCAGTTTGCATATATATATATATATATATATATTGTAAAAACTACACACCATTTATGAGATGTATGCACAGTCATGTACTGATGCACAAAGATGCTACATAATGTATGTTACCTGCATGTATAAGAAGTGCTTCCTTGGCTTGTTCCCTCTCTGGAAAAAAAAAAAAAAAAAAATGTTGTAGCTCATCTAGGGATCACTATTAAATATATTCGAAATTGTAGCTCATCTAGGGATCACTATTAAATATATTCGAAATTGTAGCTCATCTAGGGATCACTATTAAATATATTCGAAATTGTAGCTCATCTAGGGATCACTATTAAATATATTCGAAATTGTAGCTCACTTAGGGATCACTATTTGATCCATCGAAACCACGTCGTATACTGTCGTGTAATTTGGCAATGGAAAGTGGTGGGGTAGGTACGACATTTAGATGCAATGTTTTGCAACGAAATTTGATGTCTACACTCATTTCTTATTTTACCTGAATGAGGTGGAGACTAGGATATAGTACTAACATTGGTCTGTTCATTTTTTTTTTTTTTTTTTTTTTAGCACTTGAGGAGCTGAAGCTTGGGATGAGAAGAGGAAAAAAAAAAATTTCTCTATCCTTGCATACGTTTAAAATGGAAAAAAATTATAAATCTCGTTTTTTTAAGCCGTAAAAGCAACTTCCCCTCCAAAAAATTACATATAAAACACAATGTTCTTTTACAAGTATATAAAATGGAATTTTCTTATACTTGAATGTTTTTTTTATTTTATTATTTTATTATTTTTTTTTTTTTTTTGAGTGTCACTCTTGCATATTTTATGTAAATATTTTTCACTTTCTCTACTTCGAGTGATTAGTTAATTTTTCCGTTTCTCCCATGTAGGCACACCTTATATGGGCCTTTTGTTCTTATTCATGCACATATTCACTAATTTTTGTGTGTGTGTATGTGTTTATTTAACACATTATTTCATGGTATTTTGCTTTATCTATTTTGCTTTCTATGTTTTGTTTATTTTTTCCCACGAGCTGGGAGCCTGAACGGTAAGGTGAATTTGAGGAAAAAATGACTAACTAGTTAAGGTAGCTAGCTTTTTGTTCAGTCAAAAACTATTCATGTGGAAAATAAAAAACGTTGTCTTAGTAGTAATATGAAAAATGTTATTACCACAAATATATCCCTCTTGTTGTGAATTTTATGTTACATTACTTCTCTATCTATTTATTTAAACACTTTTCTTGCTATCTTTTTTTTTTTTTTTTTTTTTGGAAATGTTTGCACGAAACACTTATTGGTAAAAAAAAAAAAAAAAAAAAAAAAAAAAAGGAAACGCTCTTACCTGTTCATACATATGTATGTAATCCGTACAGGTGAAAAAACATAAAGTTGTAAAGTTGCTATTTTGTATATATGACAACATTTTATTCATCACTAAGTCATAATACATATGTATAAACATTCATTGGGGAATGCAAAATGTGTACATACATGTTGGTGGTTTACTTCCCGTGAGATGTTATGAAGCTGCCGAACTGAATGGAAAAGGAATGAAAAAGAACAAGGCAAAAAAAAAAAAAAAAAATTAAGGTATAGTAAGGGAAAAAAAAATAATAAAACAGAATAAAATAGAGCAACAAGAATGATGTAATCCACTAATGCATATTAACACACTTGCAGTATTCAACTATGGGGGTGGGGGTCTAGAATTATATAACACGTGTACATGGGATTATAATTTTTTTCATAAATTCATTTTTTCAAAAAAAAAAACAAAAGTATAGGTGAAAAAGAGCTTTTGTGTGTTTAAGTAGGTGAATTTGTTTTCAAGGAGTTATATGTGAGAAGTTTAACTATTGCATATATGCATTTATTACCCAAAACGGGTATGCTAGAAATGGACAAAATGAAGAAGCTGCACGAGGTCGGGGTCATCCAACAAAACCACTCTCCCACTTGCAATATGAAAGGAAACATGTACAAAGCAAAAGGAAGAGACGCTCAAAAGGATCATATAGATAGGGTGGCATGATAATTGATCATGAAAGAAACAACAGTGTACAATCTGAATTGCCGTGTCCCAAATTTTCAAAAAAAACGATATTATTTTATGATGCTCCATCAGAAGTTTCACAAATAATGAGAAGGAAAAAAAAAAAAAAAAAAAAAAAAATTGTGAATCTTATTCCATTAAGAAGAAGAAGAAGAATGAAATGACATAAATGTTTTTCAGCTAGCCATAATGACAAAATGATATACACAACCAGACACAATTATCTAAATGGGATAGAAAGTGGTATTTACAAAAATACACAGAAAGGAATATACAAGAAAGATATAACATATAATATAACACATAAGAAATTGTTCCATTTTTCAAAAACAGATAAAATGATGTAAGATTAGATCATTTTTAATAATAAAATGGGATTTTCCCTTTTTATATTCCAAACAATCAGATGATTAATAAAATAATCAATTTTATAGTAGCCAAAAAAAAAAAAAAAAAAAAAAAAAAAAAAAATGAACACTATTACGGAGAGGATGTAGGAGAAAATCTAATGAATCCATTCGTGGTGATGTATATGTGTGTGGGTATTCATATATATGAAAGAGAAATCCCCGGGATAAATTTACCAAAAAAAAAAAACGAAGAGGATGAGGAAGAGGAAAGAGGAATAGGATAAGGACATGTCTTGAAAAAAAAAAAATATCATTCAATATAGATAAGTAAACAAATTTAAGAAGAATTGATGATGAACGGAATGCCAATAAAAAATGAGCAATGCTTATACGAACTGTCTTTTCGATACTATAATTAAGAATATTTAAAACTGTACAAACACAAGAAATTATATCTTCGACGGTTCTTATAGTGGGGCTATAAATAGACCCTTAAACATTTGCAGATATAATACTGTTGGTTGTTGAAAGTTTTTCCTTCCTGTTTTTTGAAATGTGCAGTATTGAATTGAAGCATATTTTACAACTAAATCATTTGTGGTATTATGAAGAAGAAAAATATTCGGTGGAATCATCGAATTGGTGAGATCCAATTTTATTCAAATGGCAACAAATTCGGTTATTACATTCCTGTGAAGTTACATTTTTATGAAGTTGAATTTTTGTGAAGCTGCATTTTTGTGAAGCTGCATTTTTGTTCAAACTCATAAAACTGTCTGAGAATCGATGAGCACTTGGTACATCGGGATGGTCGAATGAGTTTGTCTCTATAATTTATGTAGTGCGTGAATCCAGTTATACACAACGGTTCAGAAGAAACTTCAACATGTGCAATGGCAAATATATTGAAAGATGCACAAGACAAGGACGAATATGTCCCGATGTGTACACTGTCATAGTTGTATTGGTGGGGGTGAGAGAAGCCTTCCCATATATGATACGAAGGTTCTAATTTTTCCACCACTTCCACGCATTTCCATGCATTTCCCTTCATTCTTCCTACTTTTTCTTCCTGCTTAAAAATCAAAAAACAGAGATATGCTGCTTGACGAATCCTGCTGCAAAAAAAAAAAAAAAAAAAGGAAAAGTTGAAAGTTGAATGATGAAGAAGCGAAAGTTAACTAGTGAAAGGGCCCCAAGTTGCAAAGTGATAAAAACAAAGATCACTGCATTGGGCGTGATGTAGCTAAAGGGTCTCGAGGGATAACCTTGTCCGATATATACGTACGGTCCATTGGGGCGTGGGTTTTTTCCTCCTTTATGTAACTTTTTTTTTTTTTTTTTTTTTTTTGAGAAGACATAATCATCGTCTCATCTTCAAAGCTATGCTCGCTGAGTGTGGACATTTGCATGTTCATTTTATAATTTTTATTTTTCATCTTCCTATTTTCACTTTTCATCTTCCTATTTTCACTTTTCATCTTCCTATTTTCACTTTTCATCTTCCTATTTTCACTTTTCATCTTCCTATTTTCACTTTTCATCTTCCTATTTTCACTTTTCATTCTCGTTTTTCCCTTTCTACTTCCTATCATCCCATGTTCTGACGAATTGGTATGAGAAAAATGAGGTGACAGATTGTGAGTGTATAATTTTAATTCTGAAGTACTGAATTTTTGATGTCTTTTGTTGATGTACATATGGAGATTGATTTCACTTCTATGAATAAACAAAAAATTGATATTTAATTCTTTAGGAAGATTTAAAAGAATGTTTACAACATTTGTGTACAGCAATTTAATATGGTACATATTCAGATGCGTGTTCTTTTGTATCCTTTTATAAACATAAGTAATAAGATGGGTTAGATTATTTTTCAGTATGATTATTATTTTATACATCTTATGCATCTTATGCATGCTATGCATCTTATGCATTTTGTTCATTTGGACGCTACTGCTTCTTCTGTTTTTATTTTTTTCTTCCATTTCTTTAGAAACAATATTTTTATCTACCTCTGATGAGTATATTTCTGTGTCGCGTTCTTTAGTTCCACCCATAGAACAAACATCGCTACATGAAGCATCACAGGACGACAAATTGCTTTTATTCTGAGTGTTGCATCTGAAGATGCTGAGGTTTCTTTCACAAGATCGATCACAGCTTAATGTGTAGTCTCCTTTGTCTCTAGGAGCTCGTTCAACATTTTGAGTATCTTCAACACTACTAATGTGACGTTTCCCATCCTTCATCTTGAGCACTTGTATTTCTGCATGGATCTCATCTATCCTTCTAATGCACGAATCTATTGCATCTTTATTTGATTCATTCCTCTTAGATTCACTTGTCTTTATAGATGCAGTGCTATGATTCTGCTGGAGATTCGTATGCAAATTGGAGTATATCACTTTGGCATTCTTATCCTCTTTGAGTAACTTATTTGACGTGTTTTTTTCTGCTGACAGTTTTTCTATTTCTATTTTTAAGTTGTTAATAAGAGCATCCCTTTCCTTTAACATTTCTTCTGTGACAGGAATATGTTTTTTATACTGGCTTATCATGTCTTCGCTATTCAAATTAGAGTGTTTCATTTTTATTTCAAAATGGTTTATGTTTTCTTCACTTCTTTTTACTAAGCTGTTTATGTACACATCAACTTTTGTGTAATTTTCTATTAACTTTAATACATCTGTCATTTTAATGGAATCCATATTTATAGATTCATTCAAAAGTAAATATACTGAAGAAATGGAATTCCAATTCATTTTCACTTTCTCCACAATATCATGCATTATTAGTGTTAATACCTTTATTTCAAGAGGGTATACTAAGCTGCTTAATTCTTGTGTCTTTGCTTTCTCCCTGAGATCATGACGAGTGTTAAAAAAAGCTTCTACAGAATTCATGTCGTCATTTGTTTCCACCCTTTTGTTATCTCCATGTACCATGTTCTGATCGATCTTTCCATCAAATGCACTATCACATTTCACATTTTTGCAAATTTTATCACAACTTTCACACGTGGAATGATTACCAATTTGACAAGAGGAAGACCCTCTTTGGGGACTTCCTGTGTGAGTCAAACTAGACATTAGATGCAATTGATGCAAATGTATTACAGAACATATGATAAAAGCAGTAATATTTTTCATTTCTCCCCGTTTTATTACATCTTCAAAATGAAGAATATTCTCCTTTTCGAAATTTTTTTGGAAAAATTGAATTATTCCATCATGTGATTTTCTCCTAACATCCTTATGTAGCAGTTCGGATATGTCCATATCCATTTCTCCTTTTTTTTCTGAACTAGGAAAAGTAAAACTTTCTGTAGATTTATTTTGAACACATTCTTTTCCATTTTGTAACGTCGAAATGGTGATGTTATCCATTCCTGTACTATTATCCTTCCTCAAAAGTGCAGAATTAATTTCCAAACTACAATTTTTTGAATTGTTAAAAATGTTTATATCATCCACGCTTGTACATTTCTTATGATTTGGACCTATGGGTATATCTACCTGTGTGCATGTATAAATATTTTGTTCATGGAATGTTCTTCCCTCTCCATAGGAGTAAGCATTTGTAATGTCTGTATTGCACATTTCCATACACATTGGAGAATCATTTTCTTTTATTATTACACTTTGGCTATGGAGAACACGTTTCATTTGTGACAAATCAGATGGATTTATCATAACACAGTTTTCATTTACACTGTGCACATAATTTGATGCAATATATGGAAGCATTTTACTCATCTTTGGAGAATTCAAAATGGCTTTTTCTAATATTTTATTTTCATCTAAAAGTAACATATTGTGAATAATATATTTCAATTCTTTCAATTCGATTTTCATTTGTTTAACGAAAAGAATAGCTGTGTTCATAATTGTCTTAACAATATTTGCATCAACTGAGTTTTTTTTTTTTTTTTCCTTTCGTTTGGACATTCCTGTCATCACATCACGTCTTGTCTTTCCTTCCATTTTTTTCTCTTCTTCTCCCTTTCTCACTAAAATTTTCTTATACTTTAGATTTACGTACGTGCAAGTACATATTGGAATTTTGAATGGCATATGTTTTATCACAAAATTTTCAAAAGGTATGAACGAGGATTCGCAGGCGCCGGTTCGACGGGTTTCATCAATGCATCTATGGGTTCGACGGGCTTCATCAATGGATCTGTCGGTTTGTTCATTTCTATGCAAATCGTTCCAGGTATCGAAAGAGGAACAGTTATTGTCGCAATTTTCATCACTACAATGCTGATGATATGCTTGATCAATGTGATTCCAATTTGCAGAATTTTCATTGGTAACATTCGAACCATCATTTGGTGGAAAGACATCCTGTTCGTATTCATTTGAAGGTGAGTTATTCACTTTTTGAGAGAAATAGCTACTTCTTCCTCCTGCATTAGTGCAATTGCAAAAATTAATTTTTGCTATATATTCATAAATCATATGTATAATTAACATGTCAACATAGAACCCTTTACAATGTTCACATATTATGATTGTATGATAATAATCCTTTACATATTCTTTTACTTTTCTTTTTAAGCTAGCTACATTTTTATTTACATCATAATTAGATGTATCTACCGAAACAATGGGAGAATAATTAAATTCACTTTCTAAGAAATATTCACCTGTTTGAACATACTTATTTTCTTTCCTAACGGTGCAATATTGGATATGAATATTTTCCGATCTTTTATTTCCATTTTTTTCCTTCATTGAAAAAGTTTTATCATGAAAAACTTGACCAACTTGAGTTAGATCTTCCTCATATGCACATTCTTGCCTTTGTTTATTCCTCCTATTCGTAGTAGTACCATTGCTGAGACTGATGCAAGGGTCATGTCTACAGGAGGGCCCAAAGAATCCATTACGTCTCCTCTCTGTATGCCAAGTTTTATTACACCTTTTTCGTTGCTGCAAGGAGAGGCGTGGGTTGTATCCTTGGTTGTAGCGTGGTCTGTAGAGTGTACCATATGATGAGTCCATTTTTGTGTGTGATTCATCAGAAAAGAAGCAATCGTGAAAGCTATTTTCTTCATCATAAGAATTCGATTCGTGTTCATAATTGTCTGATGAGTATTTCAAAATTTCGATTAGAGACTCAACTTCTTGAGTCTCGTTTTTTTTGAGGGAATTTCTACTTCTATTAACACTAACTTTAGCATCTCTTTTTCTATTTCTAGATGAGGAGTAACTATTAAACGCACGAGATGCTTCGTTGCATGTGTTCATGCTTTTTCTGTCATGTGGAATTATTAACTGATTCTTACTTTCAATTAAGTGATTTTCATAATAAAGCGGATAGACATAGTGGTGCCCTTTCTTCTTGGTTCCACCACTGTGTGATCTTTTGGAGGGGTTACTACTATGCAGAAGCATGTTCTTATTCCTATGTTTGTCTCTATTTTTGTCTCTATTTTTGTCTCCATTTTTGTCTCTATTTTTGTCTCCATTTTTGTCTCTATTTTTGTCTCCATGTTTGTTATTTCTTGATAATGTATACTCATTAGAATAATAATAAGAAGAAGCAGAAGAAGAAGAAGAGAAATCGGATCCTCTGGAAAAAATGTTATAACTGGATGCGTCATCTGAATATATGCAAGTGCTACATTTTTTCATGTGATTCTTTCTTTTTATTTTGCACATTGCACGCTTGTCTTCATTTCTATCGTAATGGTTTCCATAATTTGCTATACAGGAGCCATAATAATAACCTCCTGGCATGTCCCAATCAGAATCTTCAAAATGAAAGTTCGATGTCTGTACTGCTGCATTCATTCTCGTCGTTGTTACTTGTATTTTCTTGTTTTTGGAATACACTGCTTTTAGCATTATCTTTTTGGCATTGAAATCATTAATACCATGCATTTCTGTCAACACTTCTCGATCCACAGTTTTTACCATTTCTGTTTGTGTAAATTTTATGAAAGAATTTAATTCATCAGTTTGAGTTTCTCTGTTTTCAGCATTCATCTTCTCTTCTTCAAGGGTCATGGTTTCATTATCTCTCACTTCTACCGAATTGGGAATAGTTCCTACATCTGTCACTTCAATCAAATTTGGAGTCGTTCCCACATCTGTCACTTCAATCAAATTTGGAGTCGTTCCTGCATCTTCCACTTCAATCAAATTCGTGTTCGTGCATGAACTAACGAATGACTTATTCTCGTCTGTGTACACGAATTTACTTATGAAAGATTTTTCTTCTGTATTAACCCCTTGGCTGATAAGATTATATTGGAGTTTTTCTTCACTTTGTTTGTTTCTCTCTGTTTGTGTTTCTTTTTCTTTTTTTGTATCTTCACTTATGATATTACACTTGGTTTTCATAAAGCATTTTTTTTCCTCTTCATTGGAAAATGAATAATTTGGGGATGATGCACATCTATCAGGGTGAAAAATCGTAGATTCAGATGTACAATTTGGTTCATTTTTTCCCTCTATTCTACTTCTTTTCTGTAACTTATCATCAATGGGTTCTACCATATTGTGATTGTTATGTGTTGTTTCGATGTGTTTATTTTGTAAATCCATAACGCTTATATCCTTGTCATCTTTCATAATTTTCTTCTGTTGAGGTATCTTATTGTTATTTGATACAACTGTGGGAATTGACACCTTATCCATATTGATGGGTTCAGCTCCTGAGGAAATCAAATCTTTCAAGAGAAATTCCATATTAGTGGATAGTGTTTTATTCTTACTTTTGAGACGTTGAACTGTCTGCTTTAAGGATTCATTTTCTATTTGCAATTCAGAGCAGTAAATTTTGTAATGATTGATATTACTTTCACTTTGTTGACTTTGATTAAGTTCCAATTCACTTAAGGAAAAATTGCTTTTGCTTAGAAATGTGTCATAATTGGCACTAGCATGATTATGTTCTATTCTGAATTTCTCCTCTAGTTGCATGCACAAGAGATGAATATTTTCAAAATCTTTTTCTAAATTGTTATATTTTTGAAGCAACAATGTATAATTTTCATTTTTGGCCTCTATCTCCCCATTCTTTTCTTTTAATTGGATTATTAATTCTTCATTGTCTTTGTTTCGTTCAGTTAGTTCCACTTTGAGAGCATCATTTTGATGGATCATTTTTTTTAGCTGGCTAGCTAAAATAGCATTTTCGTCATTTGAGGCATTTCCTTTTATATGAACAGAATCTGCCATGAGGCTATTACTATTCATGTAACTTTCTTTAAAAGAAGTGAAAGATGAAATCATATTGTCATTTTGGTAGAACCCATCGAAGTTGTTTAACTTGTTGTGTTGATTGGAGGAAACAATTCTTAGCAAATCGTTCAATTCTTCACTTAATTCGTTGCATCTATTTTTATACTTGATTATTTCTTCTTCTTTTTTTTTATTATCTATGTTTATTACTTCTAATTGTTTGGCGCTATGCACAAATTCGGTTCTTTCTTTTAAGAGTTCCTCAATTTGTCCCTCTCTTTTCTTCACGTGCAGTATGTATACTTCTTCCAATTTAGTTACCTCATCCTTTAGTTTGCATATCTCTTTATTTTGCTTATCTATATAATTATTTGCATTTGTTAGTCTCTTCGTCTGTGCATGTAACATTAGGGATGTTTCTACTTCTTTGTTCATACATACTTCTAACTCATTTTGCAACGAATTTAGGAAAATTATTTTTTCACTTTTCAAATTATTTACTACATTATTTAATTCTATAATTTCACTATTTTTTAAGGTCAATTCTTGTCTCAATTGTCTATTTTCTATTTCTAATATATTCAGTGATTCCATAGAATTGTCATTTGGAGAAGGATAGCGATTTAATTCGTTCATGTACTTCTCTAGCATCTTCTCATATTCTTCATTTTTTCTTCTTTCATTTTGAAAATAGCTATTCTTTATTTCCATTTGTGATTTTAATTGAAATATGCTAAGCTTATAATTTGCAATCTCTGTTTGGAGGGATCTATAAATTTCATTAGCCTCACTTATATCGCTAGCTCTAGTTGAACTAATAGATGGACTTACTTTATGTATATTTCGAAGTTTAACTTTGTAATCACTATTTATTGAACTGCTATTTTTCTTGTATTTTTCTCCTTCTACTTCATCTTCTTTAGTAGTATCCTCCTCACCCACTTTGACAATATAACAGATGTCTCCTTTTTCTGTATGGTTTATGCATGTTGGCCCTTTCTCACTTATGTCTTGGGTGTCGGGATCTCTTTTTACAAAATTTTCTTCATCTATTAAATGGAATGAATTCTTTGATTCCTTTTCTTTTCTAAAAGTATTTCCAAGTAGCAATTTCGTTATAACATTTTCCTTTCCCTCAGTGGTGTTTTTCTCTTGACATTCTTCTACTGTTTCTACATCTCCTTCTTCTCTCTTAGATGTATCATTTGTGGAGAAATTTTCACATGCACTTAGATTGTTCAGCTTTGCAATGGAACATCCTGTGTGATGATCTACATCATTCTGAAAAACGTTTTCTTCATCTTTATAGGACCCTTTAACTAGTGTGTCAACCTCATCAAGTACTCCTTTCTTATAATCAGAAATATTCTCATGCAAAATATGATTATTTATTACCCCTTGGTGAGTACCATCTATTATCGCTTTCCCTAAGGCACTTCTTGCATATACTACTACTTCTTCGTGATTTGTATTTTTTTGAAATGAAAAATTCAACGCACTTGTATTGTACAGACGATTGCAATTTGGTACCTTCATGTTAGATGTAGGTTCATAATTAAACCCATTGGTAGAACCCACCACAGGGGCGATTCTTTCATTGTTACTCTCAAGGAAGGAACTGGCGCAAGACATCCCACAGTCAATTTCTTGTGGTCTTATTATGTCATTATTCAGTAGACTTTCGTAGGAGAAGTCGAAGTTCAACCCATTTCCCTCCTGCCTGATGAACCCGTCCTGCCCGATGAACTCGTCCTGACCTCTGAACCCGTCCTGGCCACTGAACCCGTCTTGGCCACTAAACCCGTCCTGGCCACTAAACCTATTTTCGCTCCCACTTTTTTCCCCTCTGCCTTGGCCGCCCCTATGGCTTGGATCGTTCTGCTCCTTTCTCTCATCCATGTTGCAATCGAATTGTTTTTGTTTACATTTTTTTTTTTTTTTTTTCGGTTTACGCACGGGGTGGGAACTAACTAAGTAATGAAACGACGAGGCAATGAGACAATGAGGTAAATAGGAAACGAGGAAACGAAGCAATGGGTGAGTAAACAAAAAAAGAAAATTTTAAATTATAACATATGTTGGGAAATTAAAATAAAAAAAAAAAAAAAAAAAATACACACATAGCACATGCATATGTGCATGCGATGGAGTTTGAAGCCTTTCAATCACGTTCCAGAAGAATACTTGTTTTTTTTTCAGAAGAATCATAAGAACTGTTGGAAGAATATCTCATAACTTCCTCCTATCTTATACTTAAACGGGAATCGAAACAAGCAAAACGAAAGATGCTTTTACTTCGTTCAGATCATTACTTGTATTACCCCACTATCATAACTGCTATGCTTACATATACTGCATGCATACTTTTTTTTTTTTTTTTTTTTTTTTTTATTTCGCGGTGTGCAAAATGTTGAATTACACAGACAAATATATTTTCACACAATGACGCTTAAAACATTTACAAGTTCGTCATTTTTTCATCCTTTCGTAGATAGGTAATAAACAGAAAGAAGTGATATGCTTTACACATGCGCACGCTTGCATGAGAAGAAAAATTTAATTTAGAGGTTTGAGAAAAAGTTTCGAAAGAGCTGTGCGTTTTATTATTTTCCAATTTTTTTTCTTTTTGCGCCCACTGGGGAAATAATTTTTTTATTTGATACACAAAAGGCTTTTATTTTTTTTAACTGTTCCGTTCCGTTTCGTTTTTTTTTTTTTTTTTTTTTTTTTTTTTATGAACTCAGGGAAATAGGGAAAGAAAGAACAGAACTGCTGATGAAAGGGCACCAGAAATGAGAACAAAATAGTTTGGGCAAAACAGATTCTTGCTGCTTGCGCCCTCGTTTTTGTTTCATTTTATTTTACTCCATTTCACTTAATTTCACTTGTTTTGTTTTACTTTATTTCATTTGTTCTATTTTGCTTATTTCTGTTGTGTCTTTCCTAAGACACTCCATTACAAGCCCATCCAGTTACATAAAGGCAACAAGTGATCATTGCCATATTGGAACGTAATAATCACATAATTGGGAAAGTGTTATCATTGCATTATCCCTCTTTTTGGTATCCCATTTGTTCATTTGTTAATTTGTTCATATGTTAATTTTTTTTTTTTTTTTTTTTTTTTTCTTTTTCATTTTTATCGTCCATGGGGAAAAGGAAGTATGTGGCCTAGGCATGTTCCCTCAACTTTTTTCACCTGACCAATTCAGGCAAAAATGAGAAATCTGTTTTTTTTTTTTTTTTTTTTTTTTTTTTTTTTTTTTTTCCCCGTACACCTTTTATTTTTTTGTTTCAACAATTTATATTCTCCATAAAATTGGATATACACCGAAATGTTAAGAATCTCCTCATCTCCTGAAATATATTTCATAAAACACGTCAATTAATCTTAAGTATTTCAAATTAAAAATCATCCCCTTTTCTTCTTCTTCTTCTCCTCCTTCTCGTGCAAATAGGAAAACGATGGAAGGGATATTTAAAGAGAAGAAAAAAAAAAAAAAAAAAAAAAAAAAAAAAAGAGGGAATATGTCCATGAATGAATACATCAGGACGAGTATATACATATCTCTTCTTGCACATTTTAGGAATATTAAATTTCTCGACGTACTGAACAATTCTATCACTAGTCCGAGTCATCAAGGGGAAATGTTATATGCACACACACACACACAGTTCTTACCATGGAGTATCCCTGGGATATGATTTTTTCACATCTCAACCTGTATCCTAATTTTTTTTTTTTTTTTTTTTTTTTTAAATATACACCTCTACGTTTACACATGCAAACGAAAAAGCACATTGACGTCAGATAATGAAATTGTGCATATTCATAGAACCCAATTTTCACCTCTCTTTTGAAAGATACACGGGTGGTAATACAACAGAAGGAACGGCGAATAGCAGAGTTTTACAAAATATTCATCTTTTTCTATATCATTCGCGTGTTACAAGACTGTTAAAAAATGAGAAGAAGGGAGAATCTGAGAAGAGATTAAAAGAAGAAGAGAAAAGAAGAAGAGAAAAGAAGAAGAGAAAAGTTTTTTCCTTCCTTTTCCCACCTTTTTTCTTCGGTGTGCATGCTTAACAGGGAGGGATGAAATTAAAATTGTAAACTTTGCGTGTTCTAACTGTGCAGCTGCTCAAACGTTATTCTCAAGATGGCTAAATTATTACCTGCTGGTTGCGTTAAGCAGATGTGTATAATCTTCTCTGACGGGTTCACGTATGTGCAAATATGAACGCTGCAGATGTGAATCTAAAAATTGGTGTCACAAGAGAGTAAAGTGGTTGAAGCAAAGAAGGAACGAACAAATTAATGTATGCAAAAAAAAAATTCATAAGCATAATAAAAAGAAAAAAAAAAGAAAAATCAGTTATGATATGATAAAAACAGGTAGGAAAAGCAAAGAAAAACATAAAACCAGAGAGTCATATGAAGAATGAGATGCAATGCATCGTTGCCCTTCTTCCCTTCAAATATTTCAAATTACATGTATTTGCAACATGGCATTTAATAACTATGCATGCGTTAAGATAGGAATGCAGGGTAAAATGAACGCATATTCGTTTGACATGCTTTGGAGTTAACATTCTATCTTTTTAGAAATGCATGCTTGTAAGCGCATACGTGATTCTCATAGTGCAGATGTGCAATAGTCTGTTTTGTATGTAATCCACAACTTACATTGGGGATAAATGTGTCACATATGCATATGCTTCTATATTGTATATTGTACATATGTTCACGAATAAACCTCCGTGCAAGATTTAAAATTAAATGGTACGCAAGATAAACTTCCCTGAATGTGGGTGTATTATCACGTTAATCTGTTATGTGTTTTCATATTAAAATGACGTCATGCAGATATGTACATCTGCATGTGTGTGTGTGTTTCTTTTATTTTTTTTTTTTATTTTAACACATTTTTCACGTTTCATTCGAGAATAAATCTGTGTTCTAGCATTATCTCTTGTTTGTTGCTTGTGCATTGGACGGTTAAGCCTTTTTCTTTGACCTTCAATTTGGCTTAGGCTCTGGTTTGGGCTCTAGTTTTTATTTTTATTTTTTTTTGCATTTCCTCAATGGTGAATTTGATTTGTTTCAATTTAATTTGCCTCGATTTAATTTGCTTCAATTTAATTTGCTTCGATTTAATTTGCCTCAATTTAATTTGTTTCAATTTAATGCGCTTCGATTTATTTCACTTAGATTTTCCTTTCCTTCTGTTTTTTGTAAGGGAAAAAATTTACATGAATTATTTGGCACATTTTAAGAGATCTACACCCAAATGTTCTTTTTCTTTTTCCTTTTCTTTTTTCTTCTTAATTTTTTATTTCCTTACACCCTATACAATTACGGATAGATGTGTATTTTCTGCATAGGCACATGTTCAATGTATGTATTTTTTTTTTTTTTTTTTCTTTAAATTTTTTCTATATTTCTCCCGTTCCTCTACCACAAGAGCATAAGAGCAAAAATCTGTGTCACGCATATAATTACACAACATGAAACATGCAACATACAACATGCAACATACAACATGCAACATACCACATTAAGGTATTTTTTTCCTAGCAACTCCTCTTGTGCTGTTGGTTTTTTACTGCATTATTTACTCTCACTTTGAATATTCTCCACTTCCTTCCTCCCCCTCACCCTTTCACTTAAATACACTCTTTCATGACATAACAACAATTGAATGAAGCATTAATAAAGTCTAGTGTGTACTTGTATAGGAGTTTGTGAATACATATTTTTACCATTTCTCAATTTGCATCCGCCCCACCCTATTCCTTAGGGAATGTAGTAAAAATGGCCCATTACACCAGAGGTAAAAAAAGGAGTGTGGCATTTCAGCTTTTTATTAATCACGAATGTGCTTCACAGGAGGGAGGGCGGCAGAAGAGGAAAAAGAGAAAAATTTAGAGAAAGAATTAAAAGAGAAAAATTTAGAGAAAGAATTAAAAGAGAAAAATTTAGAGAAAGAATTAAAAGAGAAAAATTTAGAGAAAGAATTAAAAGAGAAAAATTTAGAGAAAGAATTAAAAGAGAAAAATTTAGAGAAAGAATTAAAGGAGAAAAATTTAGAGAAAGAATTATAAGGGAAAAATATTAAAAAGTGTGAAAAAGTAAACAACCCAACTAGGACAAGAACAACCAAACCACATTCGTTCATATTGGACAGTCGATTAAAAGTTTCTGCATGCGTCCATCCATTTGCATCACTTTTGATAAAAGAAAAGAAATAAAGCAATAGAACAAATTCCAAACTTGTAGATGTAACTTATATCTGATACTTCATCCCACATGTTTGGAATATTAAAAGAATAAGAATGGGTGTAAGAATAAGCGCTATAAAATTGCAATTTGACATTTCACCACCACCCCTTCTTAGACATCTTTTATTCCTTTGGGAGAAACAGGAAAAAACGTTGACTATTTATTTTTGTATTCAAGTTCATATTTAATTTTTCTTATTTTTTTTTTTTTTCCTTTACACCTTTTTAACCTGTAGCATATAGTACCTTCTGCAAGTGTTGCAGTGGGGTGAAGCTCTGAATAAATCTCATTTGTTGAAATCGTAACAAAAAAAAAAAAAAAAAAAAAAAAAAAAAAAATGATTGTATCTTGTTGTGCCCATAATCATTGTCTTCTTTTTTTTCTTATTTTTTCCTTTAATAGAGCACAAAAAGAATCTTTGAAAGTATAGCATTTCCTAAGTACGTCTTTGTCTATTTTTATCTTTCTCATACATTCTTAGACTAATATATAAGATCCTATACAAGCAAAAGTTTATACGTTTATTTTGCACCAGTTGCATGATCATACTACAAGGTCACAAAAATTTCCTTATGGTTGATGCCACATCTGAACATTCGACAAGTACAATCTCCTGACATGTTAATATATATATATATATATATATGTACACATTTGTATGCACATACTACATATATTTGTACTCACTGTTTATCTGCCCTTGCGTGAACACAACTGACTTTTGTTACGCTTGAGTGCTCCATGTCCACCAGCTCATTACTTTAATTTTTTTTTTTTTTTTTTCTTTTTCTAATCCTTTTTACCCCCGTTACATAATTTTTCTCACTTGATTTTGTCTTAATCTACTTTCTACTTAGTTCCTTTCTACAGATAAGGTCTTTAGAATTTGTTTATTTTTATTTTATTTTTTTATTCTCACTAGAGCCGTCTCTCCATTCCCTCTCCTTTAAACTATTTTATTTTCCATTCATTAGCCCCCCACCTCATCTGTTTCCCTCGCATATGTGTATAACTTCTCATTTTTAATATTTTTACACGTCCCCATTTGATGTCATTTTTTTTTTTAACAGGTGTGTACAGTTATAGACGTGTATATATTACATCTGTCTCATCTCGCCTTCATTCATTTTTTTCCAACTTTGCAGATCCTGGTCATCTGCCCATGATTTTACACGTCCTTAGAACCCAACCAAAAGTTGCGCTTAAAAATCATTTTATTTTATTTTTTTTTTTTCATACATTTTTTCTTCTCTATTTGTAGTTTCATTTTATTTCCCTCGCTCTTGTCTTTCATCATTTACAAATTCATAAAAATATTCATTATTATCACAAGGACTCTTCGATGATATACATGCATATATATTTTTTGCATGGCAAACATTAGTCTCAAATGTGAACATTTTTCCATCTGGCCCAAACCCTTTTCTACCACTAAACAGTAGTTGTATTACCCTTCTTATGAAAGACGAGAAATAAACACAAATCTTTTTATAGGTGCTTATATAGTTCTCTCAATTTACCTCGCTGTAGAAAAAGAAAATCCAACAAGAAGAGAGGTTAGAAGGGGATATTTTTTTTTTTTTTTTTTTTTTTAAAAGCAACAAATATCGAAGAATATGCCAAGATATATACATATATATGTATATGAAATTAACTGTACACGTGGTTGTATTATGTGTATACATTTCCAGAATAAATCAAAATCCTGAGGGACATGAGATGATTTCAACTCTTAAATACTTTTACTAAGTTATGCTTAACTTTTTTTTTTTTTTTTTTTTTTTTTTTTTTGGGGGGAGGTGGGATGTGTATATGTGGGGATACTTTCTACTTCCAAAAGTTGCTTCTTGAGAAGGCTCCAAAATTCTTTTTTTTTTTTTTTTTTTTTTTTTCACAAAGACATGTGTTAGCCTGGGCTTGAAGCGCATATACATACAATTCATGTCGAATGTTCAAAGAAAATTTTCCAATTTTCCACTTTTCCACTTGTGCACCTCTTCATTTCTCTACTTCTCCGCTTCCACCTCCCCCAAAAAAATGTGGTAAATGGAATGTACAATCTTAGTATTCTTGAAAAGTGAATAGGAAACAAGTGCAAGGATCCTAGCCATAAGCATCTGAACCCTGTAAGCATCTGAACCCTGTAAGCATCTGAACCCTGTAAGCATCTGAACCCTGTAAGCATCTGAACACTCCCCAAAAAATATACTCCATCCATCATGACTTTGCATTGCGTCTAGCATAACAAGCATTAACCTCTTGGGTGTCTAATCTTCTACACCAATTTTTCTGCAAGCAATTCCTCCACTTGGCAGAACTGTTTCAACGATGGCAGATTTCCCCCAATTAAACAAGAACCTTTATCTAAACCTGAATGTTCCAATCCCTGCATTGAACTACATAATCGATCAGAGCAAAAATATGATTGCTACCAACGATAATTACCAGAGCTGTAACTATAACACCTTCAAGTATTCCAAAAATCTCATGGATATCATAATGGGTATTTCTATGAAGCAAAAAGGAGGTTTCTTTGGGAATGGCGATGAAAAGGTGAGGCCCTCGAGACCGAGGTGTGAGAGACTGCAGATTTTTGCATGTGCTTGTACATGTGCTTATACATGCACGTATGAATACACACACATATGCATACATGTGTAAATGCATACACGTATGAATATACACGCAACACTGCTCGAAACACTTCTGACAACACTGCTCGAAACACTTCTGACAACACTGCTCGAAACACTTCTGACAACACTGCTCGAAACACTTCTGACAACACTTCTCGAAACACTTCTGACAACACTGCTGGCACAACCTCAGGCACAAGTGCACTTGGCTCCCGCAGAGGGAAAGCTGGGGAGAGAAAAATCACACTCGCTTGAGAAGACCCTGCACTCACAAAAGTTCATTCAAGGAAAATTTTCAGAGGAAGAAAAAAATGGAATTCACAACAAAAAAACAAGGAGGGGAAGACAAAAAAGTGAAGGAAATGATGTACTATTACAAAAAAACATTCTGGAAAAAAAAAGCGAAAAAGTGACGTATTATCCAGGGTTCTGTAAACAATTAGGAACGACAGGAAGAAGATGTATGTTAGAATTAATTCGAAGGGTGTATAGAAAAAATACATCCATATGTAAAAATATTCTGTCACATAAAATCCAACCACCTACTTGTATTTCAAACTTACCATTTTTTAACATTAACATGCTATGGAAATTGTCTTATGAATTTGGTGTTTTCGATGAGGCACTAAAAATTCACAAAATATATGAACAAAATGCAAATTCTTTTGATCAATTTTTCAAGAAGGGACATATCCATAGGAATAGTGTTCAGGAAATTAAATCTACTCCTAAAGAAAATTACAAAGAAACAAAAAACGGAATGCATAGCTCCCAAGTGAAGAAGTATAGCACTAATCATAGTCGATCGGATGCAAACACAGAAGAAGGAGGTACAAATTTGTATCCCTCCTCCTCACCAATAAGAATTGACAAATCCGATGAGTGCTCTGTCTCCTGCAGAATGAATTTGGAAAAAATGGAAAAATGTAACGAGCGAAGAATGAAAAATGGAAAAGTACAACTAGGTGAAATTATAAATGGACTCAGCATTCGTAGGGAGAAAAAACAGACAAACAGGAAATGCCACGAATTTTTCCACAACAACTCCTGGGGTGCAACCCACAAAGAGGACAAACGCTCGCCTCATTCAGAGCCACGTCATTCAGAAAGAATTCTCCCAGGCATCAATCAGCAGAGTGAAGAGAATTCACAAGAGGATGACACAGAGCTCTTGACAGAAGAAGCGAAGAAAATGTCACAACTGTATGGGGAAGAAGAAATGAAAAATAGAAAAAAAAATATGCCCAAGTTTTCACCTTGGATCATTTTGAACAGTGGGGATATCTCGAAGGAGTGCCCAAAATTTTTAAGTGAAAATAGGACGAGGCCAAATTTGGAATTTTCGCCATGTCTAGAAAAGAAAAATGCTCAAAATTGTAACTACTCAAAAGAGAGAGATTACGAAAATCAGAATTCTTACTATTTAATAAGTAAGGACTCGAGAGAAGGTGAGAAAATTTCAGGAGAAAGAAACACAGTGAGTGTAGTTATTCGTGAAAGGGATGAAGAAGAAGAAGAAGATGAGGCAGAAGGAGAAGCAACCAGACTGAAGATACATTTTAACAAAAATTGTGAATCGTGCAGAATGAATTTAGAGAATAATAAACTGAGAATTAAAAAGGATGATATAAATGTACACAAAGAGAACATAAATATAGATGAAAAGAAGGGAAGGAGACTTAAAGCAGAGATGTCTCCTTACACTTATGATATAAAAAATGTTTTTGGATTAAATTCTTCAGATGTTCTATCTTCCAGTATTACTCACATTATTAATGGTATACTATTACATATTAATAAAAAAAATGTTTTTTCAATAAAATCACAAAAAAAATTCATGCGTGATTATTGCTTGTTGCTTATTCCATTTAAAAAAGAGAGAAAAAGAAACAAGACAAATAAAAAAGACCAACTAAATTCGCAGGGAAATATTTACATTCGAAATGATAAACCGATACAACAAATCCATAGAGGTGCAGCTGCATATGAAACAAATTTTAATCAAAATAGTTCATTTAACTCGACAAACCAAAAAATGGTAACAAAACCAAATGTAATGAATAATTCTATAGATCGGTCTAATTTTGTAATTTCAAATAATTCCATAAGGAATGATAAACCATACAATCAACGGATAAATACTCATAAGAGGAAAAAGCAATGCACTGCTACTACATCCACAGAAATGAAGACTAAGAAGATGGCGATGCCTATGTCGATGATGATGACAACAGCATACCCCTTCGATATAAATACATCTGTTAATTCAAATACCCTAGAAGATACAAGCGAAAATGCCCATTTGAATGACATATCTAATCAAACGTTGTACCAACAATACAGCAGTGAGAATATCGACACATGCATGAGAAAGGTAAAACATGCAGGAGGGAGAAGTTCCCCCAAACTAGTGCCAGCGCTGGGCACTTCAAAACGGACGACGTTGTTACTAGCGGATGAGGGGTCGACATCTGAATACAGTAACTTCATAAAGGAACAATCTTTCAATCCTCCACTAGTTCAGTCGATCGAAAGTGGAAGTGGTGGAGTTAGTGGAAATGTGGATAGAAGCAACCACACAGGTAGCAACAGAAACATGATTTACACGGATCGAAAACAAAAAGATACTCACAAGGAACATTACGATATAGAATGGAAGCACTACTCGGTTAATGCATCCGTGCAACAAATCATTAAACAATGCGTTACTGACAGGAAGGATAACACTATTAAACTACTAAATGAAATCATGGCAAATGAGAAGAACTTTTTTAATTCCATAAAAAAAAAAAAAAATTTCAAAAATAAAATTATCAATATGCCCAAAATCCAAAAAAAAATGAACAGTATGGAGAAAAATAAAAAAATTGAAAAAGAAGACCTTATCAATTTCTTACGACAAAGGGATTTGCAAAATTCGTTTAGTAATGATGCACACAAAATGTGTTTCATCAAGGGTGGGAAAAAAATGGTTATGAATTTCGCAAATGGTAGACGTTTGGAAAATGTTAAAAGTTTGGAAAAGTAAAGCTATGGAAGAACAGGAGAATTCTCGATTTTGTTGTGATCCAGCGGATGAACCTTTGAGATCTGCTCTGTAATGATATATATATATATATGTATATATATATATATATATGTATATATATTGTGCGCCTTCTCACTTGTCTCTTCTACAGACACATAATAACTTACACAACATTCGCTCCGACTGTCCATGCATACCACCTGATAAATTCCTCAACTGTGCATATTTAATCCTATAACTGAAAACTCATTTCAACTCTATAAAAATTTATATATACATATGCATATATATGACGAAGAAGAACGATTTTCCTATTTGCCGATGAGTTGACCATTTTTGTTACGATACAGATTTTCTTTTACTGGAAAAGTAAATTTCTGCCTTTAGTATAATTGGGGAAAATTAATTTAAAGAGACTTTGTTTACATACTTGCAAATGTGTACAGATGACCAGGCGACGTATCTCCATGTACTGGCATTATGGGTACACAATATATGCTTATGAGTTTGCACACATATATTGAAGTATAAAAATGTTCGTATTTACACTTTTACAAGATTGTTCTTTTTTTTTTTTCTTTTTTTTTTTTTTTCCTTCATATCTCTATGCTTTTAAAATGTGGATCATTAACCTCGTTATAAATGATATGAATCATTTAATTTGCCACCTCCTTTGAAGAGTTTACGTGGTAATGTACAGAAAAAAAAAAAAAAAAAAATGAGGCACAGGAGTACGGGCCTTAATAAGGGTGGGAAAAATGTCCACGGTTCGATGCACAATTGGGGGGGAAGCAAACATACGTGCACACAATGCATATGCATATATATATACATATATATACATATATATACACATATATACACATATATACACATATATACACATATATACATATATATACACATATATACACATATATACACATATATACACATATATACACATTTATACACATTTATACACATTTATATGTATACATCACAATGGTGGTCGTAGAAACGATGCTAATTTTTCTTCACAAGACACTGATTAATTTTTAACAAAAAAAAAAAAAAATAAAAGGGGCACTGGGCGAATGTTCATAGTTCCACACACAACTTCTATCTTAAAAGCATATTGTCGAAAATGAAAAACACATGCACGTCTTAGTGAGCTGAACTTTTCTCCGGCACAGACCACCTAAAGGAAAAATGAAAAAGCGTATATACATATATATATGTACATGTGTGTGCATATATTATCATTGGGAAAAGAGACTCACTGTTTTTTTTTTTTTTTTTTTTTCAAGCAATGAGCTCCTTGGCTACAAAAACGAAGTTGTGCATATTTTTATATGTCCACTTTTCTTATTTTATTTTTCTTACATGTATCCTGTAAAAAAGAATGGAAAGCATATGACACATGTAATTATTACAGGGGAAAACATGTCTAGTCTAACGTCCACCTGAAAAGAAAAAAAAGAAAGAACAGATCGAAATTATAAGAACAGAAGGTCTATAAGCTAGCCAAATTGACAGCAGAAAAAAAAAAATAAAATAAAATAACCACATATAACCACAATCAGTCATAAAAAAAAAAAAACAATCTGTAGCAAACAAGAGAAAGCAGCCGCATATAACATGACTTGGTTCATAATTTTTTGAAAAAACTGTAATATATATTACATATTCGGATAATTTATATCTGTTGGGTGGTAAGGGCACTTTCATCCCGTTGTACAAATAATGTGTAAGAAAGTTTTTCTTCTGGGGGTTTTCTGAAAAATCTTTCTGCGCAAGCATAAATGAGTAACTACTGTTGTAATCAAACTTTCGATCAGCCCTTTTTATTCCTTTTATATCCATGGGTTTCAAATAAGGGCAGTATTTAAATTGTACATCCCCTTTATCTAAATTTTCCCTCACTGTCTGTGTTCCTGTATCTTTGCTCACACTACTACTAGATAAATTCTTCTGTTTGTTTGTGTTAAATTTAAATATATTTCCTAATACCTGGGGGGGAAAAAAAAAAAAAAAAAAAAATTAAAAAAACGGTCGTTGGCAGGGAAGGAGAAATTTTCCTTTATAAAACTTTGTGCATTGTTGTGAATCCTTTTGGGTAACATGTATTCTATAAAACTTTGCTACAAATAATTTTCCTGTCTGTGTGTGTTTCTCTGTTCATGTGTATGTGCATTTTTTTTTTTTTTTTTTTCTTCCTCTTTTTAAACCTTGTGATTAAAAACACCTAGAAAGGGGGTATTCGTTTTTTTTAATAACTTTAATGATGTCGCCATTTGCTTTGCCTTTTCGTTTGAATGAGGAGTTGCATAAACGCTTGTTTTCCTACGTTTATATATGGCATATATATGTGCTTCTACTTTTGCAGAATTGAAAAAAGAAAAAAAATATATACACAATAATGCAAAATAAATGGAAAAAAGCAGCTTTTTTAATTAACAAACATTGTGTCCCCTTTTCAACGCAAAAGGTGGGAATCAACTAAAGAAACTATTTATTAAACATTTAAATGATTCTAAGCATGTGCAAGTGTATATATATATATATATATATATATATATATATATATATGTAACATACACTATGGAGCCATATGAAATTCTTTCGAACGTAGTAGTTATGCTTTCATTCAACAAAAAAGCTTTTCAGTTTTCACGAATAAATTATTTGATCATGCTCCATAGCATGAAATGAAATGAGAGGTATTTTCTTTATCTTTTTTTTTTTTTTTTTTTTTTTAATTTTTTCTTGAAAAACAATAACCCCTTTTATATATTAAAAAACAGTAATTTTTAGCAAAAAATCCACATGAAATACGGGGTAAAAGAAATCAATATAATATAGTGCACAGGGAATGAAAGAACAAATGTGCGAGAAGTGGTAAGTAAATTTCACCTTGAGTTTCAACAAATATGAGGCACAAAGTTTATGTGGAAAAATAATATAAAAGTGAAAACAGTGTTTTCTTTCTTTTTTTTTTTTTTTTTCTCTCATCCAATCTGCGTTTTTTCCGTCTTCCCTTATTTCCTTCCTCCCCTCTTTCCTTTTTTTTTTTTTTTTTTTTTTTTTTTTTTCAATTATAAGCAGTATAACAACTTCCCACAATGGTGAATTGCACATACCACCAGAAGTTAGTCAAGTGTTAAGGAACAAAATTGGACTTGCCAAACTAGTACCACAAACTTGGACGTGTGAAAAATACTCACCTAGTAAAAATATGTACATTTACATGTAACAGCATGACAGCCCTGTTTTCCTACCACGAATTAAAGAAAGCAAAGTTTTAACTCTTCCACTTTGCCTAATTTCATATATAAAATACATAAAGAAAAAAAGTATATATAATGAATGAAGGAGACATTGATATAACACGTATGAAACAGTAAGTTAAAAAAAAAAAAAAAATTAACAAATAAAAAATAACAGATAAAAATCAAGTAAAATGTTGTAATATGGGTGTTTTTTTTTTTTTTTTTTTTTTTTTTTTTGTATCTAAAATACCTTTTGCCACATGCACAGTGTACGAAATTTATTATTATTACCAGTAGCATTGTGCAAGGGGTGTTACTGTATCTCTATCTATTTATTTATTACTTTTTCTTTTTTTTTTTTTACTCGTCCATCACTGTCCATTTTAACAGATTTGATATATATGCATCCTTTAAAAATGAGGGATACATATCAAGCATAGACATATTAAATAACTTAATTGCAACTACGGATACTAAGAATACTATAAAAATATATGACATGTTCGAAAAAAAAGAAAAATTAACTTATAGTATTGAAGATATAGTAATTAATGACATTAAATTACTGAAGGAAAATATTTTAAAGGAGAATGATGATTGTAATCCAGATTTTGAAGTGAACGAATGTTTATTTAGTGCATATGAAAATCAAAAAAAATGTAAAATATATCATTTTCATTTATTAGACAAAAAGATAATACATGTATTTGAATTTTCTGGTGAAATTGTAGAAAATAGTTTCGTTTTACACCCAAATACACATATATTTATTGTTGCATTAAAAAATAAAGAGCTTTTAATTTGTCATGTAAAAGATAAAACAACCATTTACAGAACGAGTGTACACAATGAACAGTGCATAGTTAATTATAACAAATCTGGAATTATATATGCTTACACAGTTACTGAAAATTTGATATATCTATGTAGCTGTTTTGGAGATGATTATAATGATGAATATTTTGCAAATTTTGACATTTCAAAATTAACTGTGAATAATAATATTTGCACACACATTGATTTCTCTTTTGATGAAAAGAAAATGCTCATAGCAACACAATATGGCAATATATATACATTAGACGCATACACAGGGGATGTACTATATTCATACAGTTTTTTGTACGAGAACAGTTACCCATCTCCTTCCCCCTCCGTATTATCCTATCCCATTTATTCATTTGATTCTAATTATGTACTCTCGGGTATGTGTCTGCATGCAATATTTGGCATATATGAGCATCGCTTTTCGTTTTTTTATTTTTCACCTTCTGCTTTTGGACAGATTCTTTTCTTGTATCCATTGTGGAAGATCTTTTTTACCATTGCAATTTGAAACAGCTTTTCGAGAGGGATATATATGCTAAACTGTTGAAGCATTTTTTTTTTTTTTTTTTTTTTTTCGCTTGTTACCAATTACACTATTGAAGTAGGTAATTCCTACTTTCCTATTACACCACATTGTGCGCCACACACACCATTTATCCTTTCCGTATTTATTTTCAATTTTTCGTAAAGGAGGAAGAGATGGGAATCTACATTTCTGGGATGTGAAGGGAAACTTTATATGCAAAAAAAAAATTGACAACAATGTTTTGTTTGTGAAATGGGTATATAACAGAGTTGCCTTTGTGACAAGTAAGTTTTCGCTTGGTTTCTTTTTTCAAATATGAATTTTTACTGATGTGAATAATTATTTTACACGGAAACATATTTTTCTCTATTGTTTCCCCATTTTTTTTTTTTTTTTTTCTCGTTTCTTTTGTCCCATTCTGCAGCTAGCAATTACCTCTTAATCTGGCAAATACCAAAAAATGATTAGTGAAAATAGAAATGGACCAAGTAGCTTTTGTAGGGGATACCACGTTTGGCATAAAAGAAACCCAACCAGAGAAAATTTGCGTGAGCACATTTTTACATTTATTTGTAGCTTCTAATTTGTGACTTGCAACTTATAGCTTCTAATTTTTAGTTTCTAATTTGTAACTTGCAACTTGTAATTTTTTTTTTTTTTTTTTTTCATCTGTGCAGGTCAATTTTTTTTTTTTTTTTTTCATCTGTGCAGGTCAATTTTTTTTTTTTTTTTTTCATCTGTGCAGGTCAATTTTTTTTTTTTTTTTTTTTTTTCAAATTATTCCTCATTTTAGCTTGTAACTGAAAAAAACCCTGGTGTGTGTGCATCAATTTTAAAGCAAACTATGGACACATTTGTCCCTTTTTCAATTTTCGCAAAGTTTTAGTCCATTTCAGTTTTATATAACGCATTCCCATCATTTGGAGGGGGGGTTTGGTAAAAATACGTTATATTTTCCAATGCAAAACTGAAAACCTGCAGACTAAGGGGGTATGACATATAAAAATGAAAGAAATGAATAACGACATTCAAAAGTTCGCGCAGGATATTGAGAAAATCAGAACATGGAAATATATATATGAGAAAAAAATAGAATTGTTTTATTTAAAAAAGTTAATTCAAAAAGAAATGTCAATGATAACAGTTGATGACAGCGCGAAGAAAACCGAATGTGAAAGTGGAAGAAATAAAACAATGGTGTTGAATTTGAACAGAGATCACAAGGAAACACCACCGACTAGTGCAAGCGCAGGAAAAAGTAAATTGTCCTTTTTTTTAGCTTCCTCCTTATCGTACGACAATTATTTTAATTTGAAAAAAACTGAAAAAAATGGAACAAAAGTGTTTGAGAAGGAAGAAGAAAAGAATAAAATTTTAAGCACAATGGAGGAGTACTCTTTGTCTGAGAAAAATAATCAAAATATGGACAAAATGAATGGCATTAAAAAAAAAATATATTTTGGAAATACAGAAAATTTTACAAATCCTGAAATGGATACTAGGAATAATTTGAAAAGTTGTGTAAATAAATCGTCAAAGGAATTTAAGAAAGGTGTAAATGAAAATATAGACCAAGTGGACATATCTCAAAATAAAGTAGAAGACGTAACAGATGCTCTTGTGCATTTACATACAGACTATTTAAGCACAGTTCCTAATGAAAACATGAAGGAGGAGGATTACGATCCACTTAATAAGGAGACGAAATGTAGCTTTATGAAATGTAAGGAAGAGGGAAAGTTGCGTTCCTTTGAAAGAGGCACAAAAGAGGATAGTAAAAAAAGTGCTTCTCACATGCATGTCAGTAGTGCTGATAATAGAAATGGTAATAATCTCAAGGATGTGAATTCTCAAAATAGAGAAGAAAAACATGGTACAGACAAAAACAACATGAACCTCAACTTTAGCAGCGCTTCTGCACATTATTATAATCACAAGTGGGCGAAGGGCAAAAAAGAACCTGCCATAGTTGATAGTAAGAGAGCCATTCATAATGGAAGAATCAAGTCTGCCTGTGCAGGTGATCATAAGGGGGAGAGTGCGAGAGAAGATGGGAACGCATATGCTCATGAACGCATCGGTGGTCTCAACTGCACCGATAACTTTCACGATAACTTCCACGATAACTTCCACGATAACTGCATCGATAACTGCATCGATAACTGCAATGACAACTGCAATGATAGGTGCAAGCACAACGCTGAGGGGTCCAATAGCAAAAGTGATAAGAAGAAGCGCCCTGAAAAAAAAGCCTCAGAACAAATGGGAGAAGAAGGCATAAATGAGGGACATTTGAAGATTATAACTGGAAAACATCAGATGGGTACAAACAATGGTAATAATGATGCAAGTGCAAGGAACTCCAGGAGGAATATCCCCAATTTCACGGGAGAAGATGATGAAAGGAATAGAAGTAAATATTTGAATCTATTCTATAAAAATGAACTTTACAACAAAATGAGTCATTTTTCTTCTTCTTCGATCGATATGAAATATGTACTTTCAAATGCACTTTTAAATTTCTCTTTAGAAAAAAAGAAGAAATATTTTACATGTATTAATAAAAAGATTAATGATCTTATAAAAACAGAAGTAACTGTGGGGATTCCAGATTTCTTAAGAGGATTTGTATGGCAAATTTTATTGCAATCGTATGAATATAAAAAGGGCAATAATGAAATGGGAGGGATTAAGGTGGGTTGTAATGGAAAGAGGAAAAGCTACTACGAATACTACTTAAGTATAAATAATAAATATGAAGTTGCAATTAAAAAAGATATGAACAGAACGTACCCAAAACATATTTTATTTAAAAATAATTATGAAAAAGGACAGAAAACATTATTTAATGTTTTAAAAGCTTATAGTAATTATAATAAAGACTTGGGTTATTGTCAAGGAATGGCTTTTATAGTTGCAACTTTTATTTTGTATATGAATGAAGAAGATGCTTTTTTTATGTTAATAGCTTTGATAGATAAATTTAAATTGAATGACTTATTTTCATCAGATATGTCTTTATTAAATGAATATTTATACATATTGGATAAATTATTATTAATCTCTTTTCCAAAAATATATTATCATTTACAGAAGGAAAATGTGCACTCAAGCATGTATGCCTCTCAGTGGTTTATAACTCTTTTTTCTTACAACATAAACATAATGTATGCCGTTCGTATATGGGACATGTTTTTTATTCACAATCACCCTTTTCTTTTTAAAGTGGCTCTTGCTTATTTTAAATTACAAGAAGAGGTAATACTACGAGAATCCTTTGAAGACATTCTGAATAGACTAAAGGTGCTGTCAAAGCACGTTGAACTGGATTTGTTAATTGAAACAGCATTAGATCTGAAGGTATCTAGAGCGTTAATTGGAAAGATATCTTCAGAATATCGAAGCACGAGGTGAAGAAGAGGACTATGCGGGTCACTTCTAACAGATGATTTAACGAATTAATCAATTAATGAGTGAGCAAATGAACGAATTAATCAGTTAATGAGTGAGCGAATGAATGATTAGCTGATCAAGCCACGGCGTGCTTCCAGTTGATGTCTTTAAGATGGAGTGAAGCAGAAAAGTAAAAAAATATAAAAAAAATCAAAAAAAAAATCCGCAGCATTTAATGCTAAGTGCGAGGGGAGAAGGAAGACATTCAAATGCATTTCTATTAATATAATAATGCCATTTTGACAAGGAATTAAAAAAAAAAAAAAAAAAAAAAACAAAAAACTAAACTACGCGAAACCAAACTAAGCGAAACGAAAAGGTCTCCCCAACAACATACGTAGCATATGTGCATAGAACAGGAAAATACAGAGAAAACATTTTCCCTTATCCCCATAAGTGTGCAAAAGTCTGCATTTGTTTAATCAGAGCGATAAACTTTTTTGGATCATTCTGAAAAGGTGATGGGGGGTGAAGGAGCAATTTATAATGTTTAATGAGTGAATAAAAAAAAAAAAAAAAAAAAAAAAAAAAAAAAAAAAAAAAAAAAATCCGCCTCCCCTATAAACAGTGGAAAATACATTCACCCATAGAAATATTAGTATATATATATATATTATACACACACAAACTGAGAAAACTATCCAGTGTACACACTTAAATGGGGTTATAAATCCATGAAGTCATCAGAAAAATCGTCTAAGGATAGGTAAAAATCGTCCATAAAGAAAGAAATGAATTCTGAAAAAGGGAAGAAATATATATAGACAGACGGGTAGAAAATAAAACCCCACAAGATTGCAGAGAGATATACCATGGGAATATATTTGGTGGGGTGTGAGATGGATATAGCCATGTTTTCCCACGGGAAAGTAAATGTATATAGAACACTATAACAAAGGTGCCCATCCAGAATGATACAACTCTGGACATTTTTATCAAGTACCGTCTATACTCCATATGTACTGCTTTGCGTTATCATTATACAGATTTGGCAAATGGGAGAAATTTTTTTTTATGTTTTCATTTTTGTAAAAACTTTCTTGTCTTTCTTCATTATTCTTTAGAAGGCAGCAGAAGTGCATTATGTTTATATATAGCTCCCACACCTGTATTGGATACAATAAGGAATATAAATCTAAATTAGAAACAGTAAAAAAAGCAAAAAATGAAGACAAATGTGGATGAGAGGAAATGCAAAACTGGTAGAGAGTCCACACCACTCCAAAGGGGGAAAGGCCGGGGGATGTAAGAAATCACGAATGGGCAATAATTGTTTTGTAGACTCAGGAGGGGTTAACACGCACATATATGGTTGCATGCATATGTATATGGTCTGGTGGACGGATGTAAGCTCGTGTTAATTTGACCTCATCCACATAGTTGTACTCCCCTGGGGGAATCGAAACCTTGGGTTGCTCCTTGTTATAGTCGAAAAAGAAAAACTGATCAGTTACATTTTGTTTATTTAATTCACTGAAATACAATATTTTGACAGCAGATACATTTGGTATTTCGTTCAGATGTTTTATGAAACGAAATATATCTTTAGTGTCATGAGATTCTAACAACATAATGGCATAGATATTTACAAAAAGACAAATGCCCGTGATTATATTTTTATACTTTTCCTGAAGGACATTTTTCAGAGTTTCATTTGTACATTTTTTTTTATTTGCATCCTTTGGTATTTGAAAAAGCATTAAAAATCTACTATACTGTTTTTCTTCTTTTAATTTTTTTTTAAACACGTTGAATAGAGAAATGTTACTTTTTTCTTTTTCACTTTCGAGACTGTAATCAGTTTCGATGTTCACAAAGGCCTCCTTAAATTCATTCGTATTCTTACATTCCTTAAACAGGATGTTTTTATTTTGGGCGCTTGGTATTTCGTTACTTTTCTTTTCATGCAATAGCACTCTTTTTTTTTTTTCGCTCATTTTGTTAGAGAAGGAACAGTTGTCACGTTGGCTTGCGAGATGACCCCCCCCCCCCCTCTCCCCCCCTACGCGTGAGTCGATCGGTAAGGTGATCATATGATGTGTATCCAAGCCGGTTTAATGGATTCATGTATATGATCTACGTCCAAGCTGATTGAATGGACTAACGTATATGATCTTCCCACAGTGTGCATCTAAAGGGATGATATAAAATATGGAGAAACTTTTGTCTTAACGCATACTTCTTGAACATCCTATATATATGGTGTATAGCATGTTGAGTGACTTGTAATTTAAGCGGTGGTGGAAAGGGGGGCGGGGGGGAGTTTTTTTTTTTTTTTTTTTTTTTTTTTTTTAGGACGAAACAAAATGTTTGAGCGTACACACGTTTTTACATGCACACTTGCATGCATATGTTCATACATATATGCACATATGTATATATAATATACTCAATGGTCTTCCCTCTCTTCTTTCACATAGAGGTTAATTATACAAAGATCATTGGTGCATAAAATGGGGACTTGTCTTTTTTTTTTTTTTTTTTTACATTTTATTTGAGGACCATTTTGCGTAATGCATTTTTATATGACTCAAGTTAGCGATTATGAAATTAATTAAAAAGAAAAAAAAAAAAAAAAAAAAAAAAAAAAAAAAAAAAAAAAAATTAAAACATTAAAAAAAAAAATAAAAAAATTTTGAAATTATAAAAAAAAAAAAAAAAAAAAAAAAAAAAAAAAAAAAACGGTAAACATTTGCTGCTTTGTGAAAACTGTTATGAAAATTTTGGCTGTTTAAAAAAAAAAAAAAAAAATGAGCAGTGAACAGGAAGCAGTAAATAATGAGTAGTAAACAGTAAACAGCGAACAACATACAAAAGCATAGTAATAAAAATAACAAATTCGTAGTACGATGGTAATTAATAAACAGAACAGTAAAAAAAAAAAAAAAAAAAAAAAAAAGTAGGGATATAACTGTTTTGAAATATAATTGAAATTCGTGTATTGCATACATGCATTTATACGTGTGTGCACGTAGGTCATGCAGAAGGAAAATGTACACCTATTCTGAAAAATTCACAAAGGGGATGCGTTTGATTCATTACGTCGATTTTACACACCAATACTGCCATACCACTTTCACATATGCCACCTGCACACGTCGCGTTTTATCACCTTTTAAGGATGCGTTAAAAATAAGGCTATAATATAGTCCTTCAACAAATGAAAAGTTTTTTTTTTTTTTTTTTTTTTTTTTAAATAATGAAAATCTCGGCAGAACGGCGTTGCAACAAATTGAAATGCGTCTGGTTAACACAAAAGGTGTATAATGCAATTTGTATATTTATGTAAGAACCGATTATTGACAAGAAGAGATGTGTCAGTGAATTCCTCATCTTTCTTCCTCTTTTCTTCTATTTCTTCCTCTTTTCTCCTATTTCTTCCTCTTTTCTCCTATTTCTTCCTCTTTTCTCCTCTTTCTTCCTCTTATCCCCTCTTTTCCCCTCTTTCTTCCTCTTTTGCTCCTCTCATTCCTAGATTATCTTCTGACTTGCCGAAAGAAAAAGCAATTATTATTAACAATTCCTTTTAGTTCCCGTTCTGTTCATACAAATCCTGGATGATAGGTTTTGCATAAGTATTGTATGTAGATTCATCCAATTTACTCATTCGTATAATTCGTCCTTCATATTTCCGGTTCGACATATTCATTATACTACTATCAACTGAAGCTGCATTTTCAAATTCTATTATAACATCTCCAATATTAAACGGTGTCGTTTGTGCATATTTTTCTGAAATTAAAATGGCATTAATAATTATTCCTTGAGAATGAAATCCATCTTTTATATCTTCCAAAATAGAACCGTAATCTTCATCATTAACTGATTCTGCTGAAACAATTTCTAAAACTCGTAGATATTTTGTTTCTATGTTGTTTTGACTAAAATCCATATAATTTTTTTCTCCTTCTTCCTCTTCATCTTCTGCTTCTCCTCTCAAAAGAGATAGTGGTGGAGTACCAGGAGGTGGGGGAGGTTTATTGTATATATTGCTAAGGTTATTCAAATTGTGTATACTACTTGTGCCACTTAATATACCACTTGTATTACTAGGTGGATACAAACCATTTGAATTATTCAATGCACCTAGTAATGAATTACCACCATTGTTAATATTTTGTTTCGTAGTAGTATTTTGCAGTACTGCTGTTTGATTATGCTTTACTGTGTTTGTTGAATAATCATTTGGTCTCGATACCTTAAGAGCTACACCTTTACATAACATACCATCCATAGTTAAGGCTCTTTCTGTTTCTTCAACTGTGGAAAATTCAACAAATCCATAATTTCCTTTATCTTTCGCAAACCATACGTAGAGAACTGGATTAATTTTTTCATCATTACAAAATTTTCTTTTCCTCATTTCATCCCAGACGGTTTCTTGAAAATCATTTTCTGTTAAACCTAAATGCAGTGGTAAATTACCAAAATATAATCTTCTCAATTTTCTTGTTGAATTCATAACTGCTGGATCTAAATGAGATGTACATGACTGATTAGTTTTGGCTACCCATTGAAATCCATCCCAAAAAACGCTAGTAGTTTCATGACCTTCCATATCTGCTAACTTCTTAAATCCTCCTGCTTTTTTAATGCACTCTGCTTGTAATTTTCTTCTTCTTCGTTCTCTAGATCTTGAACGCTCATGGGATGATGATAAATTCTTATTAAGTCTACTCGACATCATTTTCCTTCTTTTCTCTTCCCTTTCTCTTTTTTCTCTCCTTTCTCTTCGTTCTCTCCTCTCTCTTCGTTCTCTCCTCTCTCTGCTTTCTCGGCTTTCTCTCCTATCTCGGTTTTCTCTCCTATCTCGGATTTCTCTGCTTTCTCGGTTTTCTCTCCTATCTCGGATTTCTCTACTTTCTCGGCTTTCTCTCCTATCTCGGCTTTCTCTCCTATCTCGGTTTTCTCTGCTTTCTATCCTTTCTCTCCTATCTCGGTTTTCTCTGCTTTCTATCCTTTCTCTCCTATCTCGGTTTTCTCTGCTTTCTAGCCTTTCTCTCCTTTCGCTTCGTTCCCAGGGATCGGAATGATCATACAGTTCACGACGCTCATTTCGATAGTCACGTTCGTGTCTCTCACCTCTATAATTTCTTTCTTGTCTCTCATCGTGGCATTCCATTTCATGCCTCTCCCCTCGATAATAACATTCCCCTCTTCTTCTTTCAGTTCTTCTTTCTTCGTCTGTAGAATTATGTTCACTTCGTTTGTTATAAGATTCCACAGAATAATTATTACTAGATCTGCTTCTGTCTCTATGTTCCTTATTGTCATTAAGATATATTTCACCCCTTGTGTCATTCTCTATTGAGTTCTCTTTCGAATGGTAAGAATAAGATCTACTTCTCCGTGTTCTTTTAGAATTATAAATCTCCCGATGGTACCTAAGATCAGACATATCAAAATGGGTACACAAGTCATATAAGTGTAAATGTGATATAAGGAAAAGGTTCCTTTTTTTTTTTTTTTTTTCACTTCCATTTGCAATACACCAAATGTGTATCTGAACAGGATATACAAATTACACAAACGTGTAGATAAAATTCCTCGAAAGTTATCTCAGTTCCAAAACTGGTGATAAGTTTTCATTTGGTACTCCTTTTTTAACTCCATTATCTATGCACAACCAAATCTACACACATTCTACTTTTTACATACTGAGTAAAAAATTTCCCATATAATACTAGCACATGAGAAGACGAAGAAGAAGGGAAAAAAAAAAAAAAAAAAATTGGTACACTTGTGTGTATGCATATAAGTATGATATATCTTCTCTCTCATTACATACCTTTCCACATCTTTGTCATTGCTGTGCCCTGTCCTCTCATCGTTGCTTCCTTCGTATGAATATTTAGATCCCCTTCTCCTGTTCCTCTCAAATTCCATTTGGTTAATTTGTGCGTGAACAGAAATGAAGGAATGCGTCCGGGAAATCACGGGGCAAATCGGTTATAAGCCAAATCGGTTATACGCCAAATTGGTTATACGCCAAATTGGTTATACGCCAAATTGGATATACGCCAAATTGGTTATACGCCAAATTGGTTATACGCCAAATTGGTTATAAGCCAAATCGAAAAAACGACGGAACTACAACGATGTCGCTGCAACACAGCGAATGGAATAAAAACTGAAAAAAAAAGTGTATGGAAAAAAAAAAAAAAAATTTTTTTTTGTTTTTCTTTATTCTCAGTTCATTTTCCTCCTCTTTATTATTTTCTGAAGAACCAGGAATAATGAAACTTTGTGCCTGGTATATTTTTTCATCATAGGTGTATATGATAAATGAGAATATGTATATATATATATATATATATATATATTATATACATAAGTAAGAAGCGATGAGAATTGGTGGATCGTAAGAAAATATTTTGGGGAAAGGAACTCGTTTTTCACTTTATATTTATTTTTGCGATAACTTGTAGTGTATACATAATGTATGTACATATATGTATATATGCATATATGTATGACATATATATTCATATATACATATATGAATATATATTGCACGCCCCCCCATCACACCCCGTAGCACTTCTTATTATTTACATATATTGCTTCTTACATGTATGTAATTATTTGCAGGGAACGTTAGATGCAAATTTTTCCTCATCTGCACGCATAATAAATCCTTACATATGTAACATGTCCCATGGTATATATATGTATCCAAAAAAGTATGCACAAAATGAGTGATAAATATGTTATTACTTACTTTACTGCATATGTGAAGTTTAAATAAAAATTTTTCTTATGGGAGATTATTCTGTATTATAATAAAAAGTGCTTCATTCCATGACATCTAAAAATGGCGTTTCCTTTTTTTTTTTTTTTTTTTTTTTTTTTTCTCTTCCAATGAATTAATTTTATTTAAAAAAAGAAAAAAAAAAAAACTTTGGAAGAAGTACATTTTTTCATCAACCGATTTATTCCCTTTCTGTGGTACAATGTAAAATTTGGGTTATATATATATGTATTTATATACATGTATTTATATACATGTATTTATATATATGTATTTATATATATGTATTTATATATATGTATTTATATATATGTATTTATATATATATATATATATTTATGTATATATATTTATATATACAAGTTAAGGTGGGAATCCCGGTGTAATGTACGGTATATGGTTAATTGGTAGACGTACACTAAGAATGTACTCACAAAAGTGTAGCATATACGTACAAGTAATATACCTGTATAGATACATACAGACATATATATGATCGCACATTTGCATGTGTATTGTAGTATAGTCTTTTTTGTAGGACACTTTTATTAATCATCGAATTGGAAGAATTGGGTTGGGAGAATTATGAGTTTTTTTTTTGTTTTTTTTTTTTACTTCCTATTTTTACTTCCTATTTTTACTTCCTATTTTTACTTCCTATTTTTACCTCCCCTTTTTACTTCCTCTTTTTACTGCCTATTTTTTAAACCCCTAGTCAAACTGTGGCATATGAACATTAAGCACACTTTTTTTAATAATCAAATGGACAAAGGTAAAGTTTAAAAAGGGTAGGGGAAAAGGTAACTAATAAGCACAACTAAAATGGCTAAATATATTTATATATAAATGGCAAAAAAAAAAAGAAAAAAAAAAAAAATTAAAAGAATTAAAAAAAAAATATTTACAAATTTAGGCCGTAGGATAAGGCCGCCACTAATTATGTACATAACACATGGACGATACTTTGCTAACTTGTGGAATATCAAACAGTTGAAAGATCAGAAACTTTCTTAAAATTTTTAAGAGATAAATAAGGGAAGGGTTTCTCTCTCAAAAATTCCATTCTTTTCAATGATACTGTTTTCCCGTACAATGCAGTCTATTAGCTGAAAATTAAAAAAAAAAAAAAAAAAAAAAAAAAAAAAAAATTAATTTATATAGTGGTGAAGTAATAATCAAATGATGGCTAAATAATGAACGAATGAGACAACTACTAATGGGGATGAGATGAAAAAAAAAAATGTGGAATGTTCATATTTAGGGATATGCCATTGTTTTGTTTGCATATAGGGGACGACTACCAGTATGTGTTCTTCCGACTCGACATTTCGAACAGAATAAAAATTAACTAGTTTATTATTCCATTATTTTCATTCTGTTCAGTTGCGTACGCTTTTAATCCCTTACCTTGCAATTGTCTTCAATGATGACATTATTACAAATAATGGAATTCTGAATTTGACAATTCTCATTTATAGTTATGTTATCCATAAATATGCTTCTGCTAACTGAAGAGTTTCTTTTTATTTTCACGTTTTTCCCTGAAAAAAAAAAAAAAAAAAAAAAAAAAAGGGGAGAAGAGGGAATATTCTTCAGTGGGGTGCATCCTTTTATGTGTGTAAAATATAAAATACTTCTATTCGTCTACATAATTAAACATGCACAATATGCATGCATCTATACACTCGATCATTACACACAAACATTGCACAAGATCACTACAAATGTATTTACCGAGTACAGATTTTTTAAGAGTTATATTTTCCTCATGTTCGAAATGGCTATTTATTACGCAATCCTTATACTGACATGTGGAAAAGGGTGAAAATTAATATAATGTAATATAATGTAATATAATGTAATATAATATAATGTAAAATAATGTAAAATAATGTAAAATAATATAATGTAATATAATATAAAATAATAAAATAAAAAAAGGCGTGGGAAAAAATAATCTTTGGTAGTGTTTCCAAATTAAAATTCAGCATTTTATGGCATAAGTATGTCATGTACAATTTGTTGATTATTTCATAAAGGTGTTTATCTTCTGGTTACACTCCTCGTATAAGTGCTAGGTGTATGAATTTTTCTTGCAAACATACCAACTGATTGTTGTCATTCATCAGAAATAAACAGTACGGTGGGAGCACATTTTTCAATTGTTCATGTCTTGAAACGCAAAACTGAAGACGGGAGAGGGGAGCGAGTTCAATTGGTGTACATAAGCATATGCAGATAATGTTTATTTTCACAACTCTCCTCTCGTTCCACCCTTTGCAGAGAAGAGAAGAGAAGAGAAGAAGTACGTACGTGTAAAAACTCCTTTTCCCTCTTGTCATTCGGAACTTACAAGTAAATTAGCCTTTATAAAATTAGACAGGTTATTTATTCGTTGACAAAACCCATTGCTCTTAGGTTGCACATAGCAAACCACGCTTTCTACATTTTCCTGCTGAGCGATTTAAATTGGGGAATGTTTTCATAAATGTTTTCATAAATGTCTGCATAAATGTTTGCATAAATATGTGCATAAATGTTTGCATAAATATGTGCATAAATGTATGCTATACGGACACATGTATCGCCATTCAAATGGTGGTGTTTTTTTTTTTTTTTTTTTTTTTTTTTTTCCACTCCTAAATATATGTTACATGATCGATGGGGTTACATTGGGTCGCGTTTCCTTCCTTTGGGTCAAGCCCATTGTCATCATGTCCATCTTCATACTTATTAATTAATGTTTTATACATATTAAATTTGAATTCTGATTTGGAGTAATATGCTACGATTCGATGAATGAGAATGCAAAAGGAAGGGTAAAGTGTCGAAAGGTGTCGAAAAGTTTCCAAAAGTTTCGAAGACACAACTAGATACAAACACGTACATGTATATGTACATACATGGAAACGATGAGTACACGGAATCAAACGGTTTCAGTGCAATTAGAACTTTTTTCCTTTACCTGCTGCTCTTGGTGTGTTTTGTATTTTTACTAAATATGGTATAAGATCGTACTGGAACGGATTGGAAAAAGTGAGAAAAAAAAAAAAAAAAAAAAAAAAAAAAAGAGGTTTATGTAAAATTGTGTAAAAATATTCTGATGTGTTTGTGTTTCGGAAGAATACACATATTTTCTTTAATTACTCATATAATGTATATAAAGAAACGCATTTCATTTTTTCATTTTTCATGAATACAAACCTTAATGCTACTAAAGTCATTTTTATGCTCCATAATATCCAAAACATAATTTTTAAATATGTACACATGGCCATCTAGCAAATCTGTTTTTAGTATAAAATTTTTATGAGCTAGTAAATTGATTTTACTTATTTTTAATCTTCCATTCTGCTTCATGGATAATGCATCCTTTATACTCACAACTTTGCTGTTCTTGTCTATGCATACCCATACATTATTTTCTAAATTTAGGTATTCTTCTTTTATCTCTTTTTTCTTTTTATCGACACTTGCTCGGTTCTCTTCTAGAAGTAGTAGTGCACATATAGCTCTTTCACCTCTGAACAAATCTAACACACATTTGGGGACAAAAAAAAAGAAGCTATTTCTAACTGATTGCACACAAGCATGACAAACGAAACAACTGTGGAATAAAACACAATTTGTCACTTCAACAAATGTTTCATATAATTTTACTTGCTAGAGAATGAAAATCAACAAATCCAAGAATGTCACAATTAACAACTATAAAATCGGACTACGTTAGGGAAAAAAAAAAAAAAAAAAAAAAAAAAAAAAAAAAAAAAAAAAAAAAAAAAAAAAAAAAAAAAAAAAAAAAAAAAAAAAAAAAAAAAAAAAAAAAAAAAAAAAAAAAAAAAAAAAAAAAAAAAAAAAAAAAAAAAAAAAAAAAATTAAATAAAAAATAAAAAAGGGACAAAAAAAAAGAAGCTATTTCTAACTGATTGCACACAAGCATGACAAACGAAACAACTGTGGAATAAAACACAATTTGTCACTTCAACAAATGTTTCATATAATTTTACTTGCTAGAGAATGAAAATCAACAAATCCAAGAATGTCACAATTAACAACTATAAAATCGGACTACGTTAGGGAAAAAAAAAAAAAAAAAAAAAAAAAGGAAAAGAAAAGAAATAATAATAATAGTAGCAACAATAGCAACAATAGCATTAATAGCAACAATAGCAATAATAGCAATAATAGCAATAATAGCAACAATAGCAATAATAGCAATAATAGCAATAATAGCAATAATAATAAACAGGTATGCACCACTTCTCTGGAGGAGTCACACGATTGATGTTCACTGCATAGACGTGTTCACAAAATATTAAATGGGATTAATTCATGGGTCTATATAAACATCTGTGTATTCCTAGATGCACAAATTTATTGCTGTTTTTGCACACCGATTTTATGTGCACACATGTAGTACCTTTAGCTTGTTCCTCATTTGAAGTAAACACTGGATTGAGCCCAGATCCTCGTTGTTGCTTGTCGAGTATTGTTCTATATCTATACAATAACTATTTATATTCTTCTTCTCATCCAATTTGTAATTCTCTGGGAATGTCTCATTAATGTAGTTGACCATATCATCATAATACTTGGAGTTAACTACAATTGTAATGTATTTCAACTTCTGTTCAATTAAATTTTTTAGTATGTAATATATCATACATCTGTTGCCTATCTTTATTAGCCCTTTACATGTACTGTCACATAATTCACTTGCAAAATCATTTTCATCATTTGTTAAAATTACAACTTGAAATTCAACGAAAGTACCTACTGGTACTGTGGAATTATTTGGACTCGTTTTTTCCATTTTCCACGTGTAAAAAAAAAATATGAAATGAAGTAAAATGAAGTGAAGAAAAATAAAAATGGGGAATATAAATATGCAAAGTGGAATATGCAAAATGGAATATGCAAAATGGAACATGTAAAATAGCACATGTAAAATAGCACATGTAAAATAGCACATGTAAAATAGCACATGTAAAATAGCACATGTAAAATAGCACATGTGCAATATGGCAAGATAACAAAACAACAACAACAAAAAAAAGGACTTTCTGTATATACAGAATAAAAAAAAATAAATAAATAAAATACTAAAAATTGACAATATTCCCCACAAATTTTTGTATTCATAAAATGAAACTCAAAGGGGGTCTTTTAAAGGGAAAAAAAAAATTGTTAAGCTTCCATCTCCAAAGTGCTATGGTACAAAAAAGTTTTAACATTTCTGATGACACGTTACACGAAAAATGGAGAAAAAAAAAAAAAAAAAAAGGGAACAGATGAGGTAGCAAGAAAGAAAGTAAATGAAATCAAAGGTGGAAAGCAAAAAAAAAAAAAAAAAAAAAAAAAAAAAAAAAAAAAAAAAAAAAAAAAAGAAAAAAAAAAAAAAAAAAAAAGGGAAAAAAAGAGGAAAAAAAAAAAAAAAAAAAAAAAAAAAAAAGGGGAAAAAAAAAAAAAAAAAAAAAAAAAAAAAAAAAAAAAAGGGAAAGGGAAAGGAGACGGAGAAGTAGGAAGAAGAGAGTAGTGCAAGAACAGAGAGGAGAGAGAAATCTAAAAGGAATCTTTCTGGAGTGCAAAAATAAAAGAGGAAGAAAAAAAAAAAAAAAAAAAAAAAACGGGAAAATATATTCTCATCATATACATGAAAGAACAAAACAATGCAAAGCGTATTTTTCCTCCTCCTGCCCCCACATGGGCATATTAACACGTATTGTATTTCTACAAATAATGAAGAAAAATTAATAAAAAAAAAAAAAAAAAAAAAAAAAGAAAAAAAAAAGACTCATAATTTTTATTATATTATAAAAACCATACCATTTATTGGGGGGGTTTCTTTGGTGATGCTTTTCTCATTACTACTACCAACCACCACCATCCCTTTTCTTTTTTTTTTTTTTTTTTACGAATTGTAAATGTCGAGATGGGGGTAGGGTGAAACGTTGCATGCTTACATTTATATAAGTTCCATACCTAGATGCATGGAGAAATTAGATACCGCTCTTATGTGTATATATAATCAATGTGACAAACGAATTTTCTTATTAACCTTTCCATACCGAAGGCACGTTTTGTTAATACTACACTGTGGAGGAATATGTATGAAAGTTTAACAAGCAGAGGGGGTGGAAGAGACTCGTAGAACGGAAAAAAAGAAAAGAAGAAAAGAAGTGCATACATTAAAGGGGTATTTTTATGCTACCCTCTAAATGAGTTTGTAAAAACATAAACATGTGATATGTCACATGGGAAGAGATACGGTTCGACAGAAAGAGGAGGAAGAAACTGTATATTTTTTTTGCATAAGTTTACATTTGCGAGTGGTGCTCCCCGGGGGAAGCGCTTAGGATATGTCTATAATAGAGGATTGAGCGGTTATGTACATATATATATATATATATATATATATATAGAGAGAGAGAGAGAGAGACTGCGCTACAGCCATTTGGAAGGGGGCGAACAAAGAGAAACTACGTTAATGATGTGTATACAAATATGATGACAAAGGAGAGCAACGAAATGGCTGAAAGTTGCAACAATAAAATAAAGGTTTTGTAAAAATTAAATTTATATGCATCTTTTGTCTTTTCATAATGTGCACTTTTGTGAATACTACTAAATGACAACATATTTTTTTCTGATATTTCATTTTGTGTGTGATGAGTGTGTAATATATTTTTTATATTCCTCTTTGTAATTATATTATGATAAATTTCTGGATTCAAAATTTGTTCCTCTTTCTGTTTATTGTATGCATTTACTAGGATTTCCTTTTCGGTACTCAAATTATTGTTCATTCGCTGTTCCACTCCATTTTGCTTAGTTCTCTTCTCATAATATGCAATGGCAACATCATATGTATTTTTTAAATCCGTTTTGAATTTGTTTAATTGTTTGGAAGTCTCCTCAATATCGTTATATGCATATTCGCTTCCCTCCGTTCTTCTCCCTCCTTGTCTTATTTGTATTCTTTTACTTTGGCTTGGTAATTCATTTTCTTGATCTATAGTTTTTTCACTTATTTTACAGTTGCTTCCAAAACGGGTACTTATTATGTTGTGATGATCTTCATCCGGTTTACTGAAGAATACCTTTGCTTCTTTGTTAGACATGTTGTATTCGTCAATTTTGATGTTTCCATCGGAACATTGCTTATCACGGGGGAAATTTTTGTCCTTGCTGAGGAGACAGCTTTCACCACTCTTCTTTCCATCAGTGAGATATACACTCTCTTCTACTGTATTGCCCAAAACATATCGATGATGAGAATCTCGAACGACATTCATACCAAGGTTTTTTTCATCTCCATTGAGATGTTGCATGTTCTGATAGTTGGTATAATTTTTTGCAAAGTGTTCTTTGTATTGTCCTTCTCGTGTTTCTGTTTTTAATTCATTAATTGTATCATTATGTTTATCTTTGGATCGAGAATCTTTAGGATTTTCTCTTGTGTGGAATTCCTTTTCTTTAGAAGTAGTTGTTGCTGCATTTAAAATATTCCTTAATTTATAAAATGCGCTGGTACCTATTTTTTCCACTCCTTTGTTGGCCTTAATTGCTTTTAAAAAAGAATCATCATTGATATATTTGCTGAAGTGTATATTATCTGCTATGAGAAAAAACCCCACATCTGTGTCATTTTTTAGAGAGAGATAATTTTCCTGTACATATTTGTTGTAAATATAATTTAAAATGATCAAATCGTTTCTTTCGTTTTTAATTTCTTCTTCTGTGTAGTTTTTATGTATATGTTTTTTTTTTTTAAGTACTACATTTTCATAAATTTCTTTAAAAATATTATAATCTATTTTTTTCTCCACCAATTTCACAATTTTCGTTCTGTCCAAATTTAATATACATAATGTAAATAAAAGTTCAATAAGATGAACACAATTTAGGGATTCAAAATTGTTGCAACAGTCTTCAATTAAATTTGCAAATAAAATACGCTCACAAGAATTTAGTGAAAATTCATAATTGTTATTTCTTTCGTGCAAATTGTAGTATTCTTTTATCTTTCTCTTCTCATTATACTTTTTTGGGTACTTATTTTTTTGTGCATTCATTCGTAAGTCCACTTTTGCATTATCCCATTGCTTCCTCGTCTCAAAGGGTACATTCTTGCTAAGGCCGTTTTCATTCATGTCTCCGATGTTGGCACTGTTGATGTCGGTGCCCTTTACATTTCTATAAATGTTCGAGCTGTTGAACCGAGAGTTATGCACATTTGTATCCTTCCAATTACTGGTACTCCCCTTATTATTTTCTACACTTAAACTTCTACAGCTTTTCCTTTTTAAATTATCATTTTCGGGAAAATGTGAATTGTCATTATGGTTTTTGTGATCATCGGGAGGAGGGGAGGTGTAAAATTGTGTTTGATCTCTGTCCATTTTGGAGCTTCTTCCTCCCTGCTTTTGCTCATAATGCAAAAAGTTATATGCAAGAATCTTAAAAATAAGAGAGTGGCACATAGGTCTTCGATAAAAGTAGTAAGGAAACATTTTTCTGTTTTCATAATATTCACTAGCGACGGATTCATATTTTTTGTACTCATATTCAGTTGTGTTTGAAACGGCATTCCCAGATAGATGTTCCTCCTTTGTCTTCTTGACATTTTCAAAGTAACTTTTTATGATTATCACTTTCTGACAACTGAAACTGCATGAGATGGTTATAAACTCGCTCAGAGGTATAATATGCAAGATGTTTATAATGTATTCACTTAAATCTTTTAAGAATTCTGAACAGAGCACCTCGATAATGCATAAGGACCAGAGTACATTGACAAGAATTACACTTTTATTCAACTTTTTTATATTACTTCTGAAATAGTTCAACATTTTGTTAAAAAAGTAAGGATAATCATTATTTTTAACATTTAAATTTGCTAAGACACATAAGATATTTGTACACACGTACAAATTCAGATTTTCTATTTTATCATAAAAATAGGTTACAATTTGGTCTATATTTTTTTTATGACTATTATTTAAAAAATTTCTGTCATGTATACTACAAACGTGCAGGAGGTGTAGATACATACACAAATTTTCATTATTATTATCTTCTAAACTTATCATAATATTTTTATTTAAATACGTTTTACATTCTTCAAATTCGATTATGTTACAATATTTGAAAATGTAACTGACACAAAAAATTAATTCTTTTGATACATTCATATGTTCAACTTCTTTGTAAAGGATCCTTAACAAATCGATGTATTTCATGTTTTTTTTTAGAACACATAGACACCAAGCAATTTTATATATATCTACCAGAGTAATTATTTTCATATTCTCGTCTAAATAAAAACACTTTTTTTTATAATTATTATCGTTTCCATAATGACTTTTATTCGGTGGAAGTCCTTCTACAATGTTCATTTCTACACTATCTGTTTGGTTACTCTTTTTCAGTACGATTCTTTTGTTATAGAATGTGAAGAAGTTTACAGGATTAGTGTTCTCAGAAAGTGTGTTAATTTTCTTGTTTTGTGCATCAGGTGGAGAATGGGAAATGTTGTTCTTAGAAGCAGCACAATCAGAATCACCTTCCTTTATTTCTTCTCCCTCTTTTTGCTTTTCTAGCTCAACATTTTCATCATTATGTCTAATTTGTATGTAGTAGTACTTATTACTCTCATAGTTTTTCTCATTTTTGTTTTCTTTTAATAAACAAGTCTTCAAATTCAAGCAGTATAAAAATTTATTCATTAATTTTATTAACACTTTGTCTGAAATTTCGTTTCCTATCGAATTATTATTTATGGTAAAATTTAAAAAATACAATGCCAATGCGAGTAAAATGTTCATATTTTTTATTGTTATAGGAATACCATTGATAGATTCTGTAATATATTTGCAATAATCTTCATAATTATTGATACTGTTCAACTCATTCTGGTTATTTTTCTCTTTTTGCATCACATTAGAATCACATTCACCAATATTTACATTGCTATTCATCATATACCATTTTGTTGGTTTTTTCTGCTCAGATCGTTTTGAGCTACAATTTTGGCTACTTCCTTTCCTCTTATCTTTGCCATCCATGTTAATGTTATTACTTAACAAATTATTATTTTCAATTTTGTTTTTAAATATATTACTTAGTTTGTTTTCTGAAAAATACAAAGGAGGGAGGGGGAAGTTCTTCATTCCATTCTCCTTGTTTATCATTATTTCTCCGTCTTTTTCTATAGATTTTTGCGTGTATCCCAAGATTTTTTCCTCTTCCCTGCCTTGACACTTGACGATTCCCATACTGTTACTATTCCTACTGTTATTATAGCCATTTCGAACGGATATATTTTCACCTTGTAAACTCAAATTGTTACCTCTTGGCATGTGCTTTTTTTGATAAATACTCTTGTTAACTAGGTCATAATATTTACCTTCTGCATTTTTATACTCCTCACTGTCTTTCCCTCTTGTCGTACTAAGTCTGGTAATATCCATTTTTTGATTCTTCAAATATGTATTCATCCAGCCCATTCCATCCTCTCCCATCCTCTCGTTCTGTAGCAAATTGCGTGCGTATTCCCTTTCCAGGGTAGAAGTATACGGATTATTCATTTTCGACTCTTCTTCATTTGACACTCCATCCCTCAGCCTCATCTTATCAGCGTTACTTTCGTTATACATCGTGTTATATATCTCTGGCTTGTTCCTTAAGTCGCTATAATTTAGTGAAGTGCCCTTATTCAAGTGGTAATTTGAAATGTGTGCATTATTAGTTAGTGGTTCAATATTTGGTTTCTTTTTCATCTGTGAGATGCTTATTTCACTTAAATTGGCATTAAGACTGGCACCTAAATTGGTATTATCATGGACATTATTGACATTATTACTGACATTATTGACATTATTACTGACATTATTGACATTATTACTGACATCATCATTGACAATATTGTTGTCATTATGTCGGATGCTATGCAGGTTGTTATCAGCACCGTTTGCATGACCCCCCTCTTGGGCATAATTCAAAGGAGAGTCGATAATTTTACTGGAATCAGAATAAGTCGATTTTAAAAAACTGCTGTCAAACACACTACATCCCGTGTTATCTGCATTGCTCGATCTGTTAATCGTAAAATAATTACCTGACTCATGATTTCTACCGCTCAATTCTTGATTTTCACTTTGAAAATTACGTATATAACTATTTTCATTCTTACTAATGTTAACACTGTTGTTGTTAAAAATATTTATACTACTAATTAACTCAGTCTCGTTATTATATTTATTCTGTTGGTCCCTATAGAAGGAAGAATTAAAAAGTGCGCTATTTCTGTATCCATCCATTTTCATTTTACATTTTAGATTTGTATTTTCTAGCTTAGTCAGGACGCTCGGTTTTTTTCTTAAATCTTTCCTTATGGATAATTCATTTTTCAACATACTATTTCGATTGCTTAAGTAGTGCACATAGTCTTTATTTCTTTGAATTAAATTTTTTTTCTTACTATTACATTGGGTGTTATCTCCAAAATGTTTGCTCATCCGGCTGTTATAATAAAACTTGTTACTATCCTCCATGTTATATTGATGACCATCATTATTATTACTACTACTATGTGTAACTTCCGTTTTACTTACTATGGAAGTTCTAAATTTAGCTCTGCTCAATGAATTATCTCTTCCGTTTTGTTGATGTAAAAGGGTCTTGTTATTTGTACTGTATCTGTGATGTAACTGCTTAGGGTTACCACCATACCTGATGGAGGAGTTCTTCCCCCCTAAATCGTTAATGCTGTCGTACTTATTCAGCAACTCATCAATGCTAGTCATGTCAATTCCTCTGTCTCTGTCTTCTATATGCACCTGGTTTATATTACCTTGGTCATAATTTGAAAAGCCATTTTTCACACAATAGTTACCTTTTTTGTCCTCTTTAATTTTAACAAAATGTTTAAAATCGGTTACACTAGTCGAATTAGTTGAACTAGCGAAATTGGTCATATTATTTGAATTTAATATCAAATTTGTGTACATCCGTTTTTCATCATTTTGACAGTTGCCATACTTCAAGTGCACATTACTACTGCTACTATTAGTTTTAATCGCATGGGAAAAAATGGATACGTCGTTTATGTTATTGTCATAATTTAAATGCCCTTTCCGTTCATGCATTGAATAATTATTATTTGCGTTATTCATACAATTTAACTTATCATTTGGAAATTTGTTATAATTAGATTTATTTATCACATTCTTGTTCTCATAAAAATCGTTGTTACTAGTACCATTTGTGTTGTAACTAGGCTTACTTACGTTTTTAAAATCGAGACTCAATTTACTTCTTAAATATTTTTCTGCTATTTCTTCTGCAGAGCTGTTCTTAGATATGTTTAGACTTTCATAATTGTTCAAAAGGGATTTGGGTTTCCCACCACTTTTCTTACTATTTAGTGTATCATTGCTATTATTTTTGTAATTCATTTTTCTATTTGAGGCTTTTTTCTTTTTTTTTTCTCTGTGCACAACTTAGGACCTTTTTTCCTATTACATTCACTTTACCACTATAGAATGCCCTGTTCGAATTTATCTATACTATATAATTTGCCTTTCCTCAAAATTGAGGGCGTGCATTTGCTGAGACAAAAATATATGTAGCAACGCACTATTTCTCACGTTGGGTGCATGTATAAGCTTCAGTCCTTTCGAGTCGGTTATATACAAGAGAAAAAAAAAAAAAAAAAATATGCTAAAGCAAGGGAGGGGAATATGCTTGTAGGAGTCTATATGTTAGCATGTGTATATTTTTGCACGCATATACGTGTAATATGTATATACATTTCCCTTTTTCCACAAGTTTTGCCCAGACAAGTCATTAAAAAAAAAAAAAAAAAAAAAAAAAAATGAAACACGCGTTATACGAATTTTATAAAAATGCTTTGGCATCTGTCTGTCTAATATGCCCACTATTAATCTATTTTTCGTAACATTCGTGGAATTTTTTTTTTTAGATTGACCTTACGTTGATATGTACATAAAAAATATACTATATGTTGTGTATGTGCACATGAATGTTAAAACAGACATTACTCGGGTTGATGAGAAAATACTTTAAAAAAAATCATATAAAAATATTCGCGCGAAAAAGAGCAATTTTGCACAGAACATTTTTAATTATGCTTATATTAACACATTGTTTTCTACTTACATAAAACTCATAGCTCTCAACAGGAGCACGTGTTTTTTTTCGCATGTGCTTTTTTCGGGCGTGTTTTTTTTACACGTTTTTTTTTTTTTTTTTTTTTTTTTTTTTTTTTTACATTTTTCCAAAATAACGCAATAGCGGTGTAGTCATTCTCCTCTGAAATAAAAAAAAAAAAAAAAAAAAAAAAGGGGGAATTAATATCGTGTCTTTTTAAGTTACCCCGCATGGAAAATCAACTTTTTCATATCTACACTCCTGCGCATTTTTCGGCTTATTGTGGATACACACTGAAGTAAGCCTAAATGCATGTTCACACATACGTACACCCTCATTAGCTCATTCAAGGATGCTCATCGTGATGGTATTCCACTTTTTTTAAAACGAAAAATATTGTCTATCGATATGGTGACACACGTAGCTATATAAAAAAGAATATATATGTGTACATATATATATATATATATATATATGGATGGATGTAAATATAAATGAAAATAACCAGGAAGGCCATGAAAATATCTTCGCTATAATAAAAATAAAAATTGAAGGGGCAGAAATTACTCTTTTGCAATATACTGAAAAAGTAATAAACTTTTAAATATTCGATTTGTCAAATTCAGGAGAAAAAAATAAAATGTAGAAAAGGCAAAACAACGATCATTCATTCAGAAGAGATATGTGTCAGCGTTGGATTTTTTTTTTTTTTTTTTTTTTTTTTTTTTTTTTTTTTTTTTCTCTTACGTTTGGAGACATAAAAAATACACTTTTATTATGAACATGTCAGAAAATATGCCAAAAAAAAATTTTTTTTTTTTTTTTTCGAAATTTGTCATATTTTAGATTTTTGTAAATTACAGAAGATAGTAAAATGTTTAATTATAAACCTAATCTGGAACACTACAGATTTTTGTTAATAGTTTTAATCTCTTCACAACCCCTTTTTTTTTTTTTTTTTTTCCCCTATTTAAACAAAATGCCAAGAACAAGAACAGGAACAAGAACAGGAACAAGAACAAAAAAAGAATAATAAAATAAATGATACTACTTGTAGCTACGAAGAAAAAAAAAAAAAAAAAAAAAGCTATAATCTTTCAACTTAATTTGAAGCTACAACATTGTATATATATTATTTTGTTTGACGATGTAACCTATTTTCATATTAATTCTCTTTGTTGCATGACTACTCAATTTGAAATTACTAAACTTTTCACTCTATGCATTTTTTTTTTTTAAGTAAAACATAAATTTTACAACCTACAGTTGTAATTTATCCATTACTTAACGTCATGACAAAATCACTATTGATATATTAACTGTTTGAACATTCACATTAAATCGTGCTTAAAAAAAAAAAAAAAAAAAAAAACCATGACATAAATTAATTGTAAGCCTTTTAGACACTTTAAAACATAGTAAATATGTTTAAATAAGTGAATACTTTATTTCTTTTTTATTTACCCTGTGATGCATGTACATCGCCATTTTCCCCCATCGCATGATATTTTACATTTGGTTCTTAACACATCATAGTTTGATGAGCGAAGGAAATATAGCATCTTTTTGGAAATATCTTTCAATTTTCATTAAATGTGCTCAGAATACACATAAAGGTTTTGGATGTATGGATACATATACATATATATGCCGTATGCATATGTATGAATGCGCATGAATATGAACATGCTATATATATGAGCTCCTCTCCAGTAAATTAATCCAATTAAATATTACCACCAATCAACGCGAATTTATCATATTAGCAAAAGTTATCCCTATTTTTGCTTGGAAGAATAGTTCCCCACTTCCCAGCACTTCATCATTCTTTAAGCATGCATGATTAGCACATTCGTTAAAACTACAAGATAGAAACTTCAAGCAAGTGAGGAAACATTCTTCAGGCAATAAAGCGACCTTACCTTTCTCTTGCCTTTTTTTTTATACTGTGCACATACATACACACACATACATTTGTGCTCGCGATGTGAGTGCAGAAATCCATAACGCTCCCATAGCAAAAGATCTTCGAACATATGCACACTAAACACTTACTCAGAATTGAAAATGAACGGAAAATTTATACAATTGTGAGAAGTGAACCAGGTACCTAAAGCATACAAAATATTGTATGAAACAAAACAGAACGAAATGGTCATATCTATAATTTTTTTTTTTGGAGGGTAGCTTCAGGTAAAAAAAAAAAAAAAAAAATTCTGGGAAGCCAAAAAAAATACCAAATAAAACTCTTAGCACAGGGAAACGAGTATAAAACACAACCGTTTCAGATTTTTAAAAGGTGAGGCACAAAAATAATGCAATATGTGTGGAAATAAGTTTCAAGGGAGGAGGATTGATATTTAATGACGAAAGAATATTTTTCAAGAAGGATCAACAAAGAAGGAAACATACCCACATTGGTGCAAAAATACGTATGGAATATGTATGTAACATATATCATACTGTTTTCATATGTATTGCATATATACCCCTCCAACTAATAATCCTCCTCTCCTCGATTCTCCCAACTCCACCTACTTAATCTGGCAACACATGAAGATCACTAAGGATAATGCTCATAAAGGAACAAGATTATACTATAACATAGCCAAGTCTAAAAGAAACGAAAACACATGTTGCTCAAATAATCATGACAGTAGTCCGAAAAGAGAAAATGACAACATCTGTCTAAACTCATATATTAAGGATGTCTCGGAAGGAACAAAATGGAAAGAAAAAAGTGTGTCAAAAAAGTTTTTATTGGATTATGAATTAAGCACAGAAATGATTGAAAATTTTGTTCGTATAGACCACAAGAATTTACCATATTTAAAGAACGAATTTACAAACTACATTAACAGCAAGAACGTTGTGCGAATAATAGATCTTTTTGTTCATAATTTATTTTTTCATTTCAAGAATATTAGTAAAAACATTAATAATTTTTATTTGTCCTTTAACAAAATCGTTTATCCATTTCATTTCCATTTCTTCAATAAGAACATTTGTGAAAATTGTATACTAAAAGATAATAAAAATATTTTAGGTTTGGAAAAATACCAACATGGCTTGACCAGAAAAAATACAAAAAAATATGAGCATCATTTTGCTCACACATGCAATAAGGAGATGAAAAATGAAAGTGAATTTCTGCCACGAATTTTAAATGCATGGTGTAAAAGGATAAAATATGTGATAAATATTTACAATGAAAATAAAAAAAAATATAAAATAAAAAAATATTTATTGAAACTTGAGGAAGAAGCGCATTTAAAAAAGGATAACTTATTTTTCGATCAAAATAGTAGATATAGTATGATTGATTGTGTTAACACATTAACAGAAATGATTCTTTTTGATGATGTAAAATGGAAAAAATTGAAAGATGTGTCTTTTTTTCAAAAAAGAAATCCCATTTGTTCACACAAGAAAACATCATATAATAGCAAATCCAATAGAGATGGGAAAAAATTAACAAATGGAAAGAAAAGCCATTTGATTAGAAAACAATCAAACAATCCAATCGATGGTGTAGAATTTATGTTACCTGAACAACCCAGGGAAAATGGAGAGTTATTTGACGAATATGTAACCGATTTATACTTAATTAATTTGATAAAATGTAAAATTGAAGATTATTTTAAAAATGTACAAGTAAAAAAATTTTGGAATTTTATGAATACACAATATCTAACGAATTTTGATTATAAAAGAACGGGAAAGGGAAAAAACGAGAAAGGAACAAGCATTGTAAATGACAACTATGAAGAGTCAATTTATGATTACATTCAAATCGTTGAGAAGAACAAATGCAAGAAGTATGTAAAAATGAAACAAGTAGAAAAAACATCTGGACAAGTTAAGAAAGAAATGGGGAATAGCAGTAGTGTGCATAATTTTGAAGAAGGAAAAATAGATAAAGAATTTATCATAAAAGACATATTCAACAATACAATGAAAAGTTATAGAGTTAATGAAGTTCACTTTTATTTAAGTAATTATGATAATATATTTTTAAAATCTATAACTCGTTTTTATCTTTTATTAAATTTTTCCATAGAAATTATAGCCATACTTTACGAAGACTTAGATTTGTACTCTGTCCATATTTTCGCCTTGTATGAAAAATTGAATGAAAAATTTTGCAAGAAACATTGTGAAGTTTCTCATTCAAGTTTTCATAGGAGGGAAAATGGAAGGAATGAAAATGTTATTAACAGGGCCAATATGCATAGTAGTAATAACGCCAAATCGAATGTATTCCATGAGGATAGTAATTACAGAACGGGAAGAAATTGTAACGATCAGAATTATGGCATTTGGGGAGGACGTCCCCACTCAGACATTTATATCTGCAAAAAACACAAAGAAGGTTGTAAGTACGGCAGTTATAGTAAGGGAATATTTCCTCCCAGTGTAAATGCAAATTTTTGTAACCTTTCTCCTGTTCAGAGAAAGCTTGATACTATTGTTTTCTTTTTATTGAAAGTATTTTTAAAAAGAGAACAAGATGGTGTCTCTAGTTTATATTGTGGTAAAGCCAGAGTGTGTAACAATTTCAAGAATGTGAAAAAGTACTTGAAGGTGGAAAAATACAAGGAAATTATAAAAGAAATAAAAATATTAATCAGATACATTTTTGAAAAAAAGATACACATGCAAAAACCAATTGTTAATTATTTGCTAAGAGTATATAATAAGTATAACAAGAAAATTTTTGAATTCGATATAAATGAGGAGAACATTAATATTAATTCTAATTATGTATCCATTTTAAAAAAAAAATTCCTTTTACATTCTTTGAATTTTCACTCCTTTGAATTTTTTTCCAAAAAAGATTTGCGTCTAAATATGAATAGCTTTCGTAGCGCACGTAGCAAAAGAATGCAACTAACGATTCCTGGTCATGATAAAAGGAAAAAAAAAATCATTAAATGGAAGACTTCATTTCATAATGGAGTTCTTAGCAAAGGAAAACAATCAATATTGTGGGAAAAATATTATCCCAAACGGTATAATTACATACGAAGGGATGTCTGTGTTAACACCTACATGAGGGATAGTTGTCGCTATGATCAGGGGTCTGCATACATGGTTTTCTCCAAAGTTAACAGAAGGAGAGTAATGAGGAAGAATAGAACGAGATATCTGAGAAAACTGAGTCTTTCAGTGTATTCCTACTTTAGGTTGGCGCAGCACATTGGCATTAGTTCGATCGGGGAGAAAAAAAAAAATAATAATAATAATAAAATAATAACTAAAAAGGTTAAAATAAATAACAAAAAAAAAAAAAAAAATAAAATAAAAAAAAAAAATAATAATAATAATAATAGTAATAGTAATAGTAATGACAGGAGCAATGGTTGTACTCTCCCTAATTGCAGCAACCGAGGGAAGAGGCCGGGAAAAGCGAGCGCACATCTCTCCGTCCTCACCTTTTACAAGAACCATTTTGTAAAAACGTTAAATCTAGTGCTAATAAAACGTAAATTTCGCCATATAAGAAGGAGAATAAACAGAATTTATAAAAATGTAGTTAGCAATGTTAAGACACACAATAGGAAGACTAAAAAATACCAGTTGAATCATTATGACAAATACCACAAAGTCTTTGTAGATGTATTAAACATTATTAAAACTCAAGACAAAGAGATTAGGAGCAATCTATATGGAATGTTACGAGAGGTGAGCAATCAGTTGAACTTGTTCTATGCTAACATTTGTCTTTGCGCTCCGTCTGAAAATGGAGATAAAAAAAATATAGAAAATGTGATGAAGCAAAAAATTGAATCCTTCAAGAGGAATATAGTTTGTGAGTTTCCACAAGAGACAAATGTATTTCAGTTAAGTAGAGAATTTTCCATAGATAATGTCGAAAGGGTAGAGGTAGCCAATGAAATGGGCATCGAGATGGCAGGAAAAACAAATGATCAACTTCTTGACGAAATAAACAGCAATGGTCTGTGCCATAACAAATTGGAATATCAAATGGGAGAAAATCTCCCCTGTGATGACATCAGTAGGAGTAAAGATAATGGATTCAATCAAGTCCACTACTTGAACGAGACAGTGGGAATCGTTGAAACAGAGAGAAGATATTCTGAGCAATGTTTGAATGGCGAAAGGATTGATACATATGCACACACCTGTGTGAAATGTCGCAATTTTATGGACAAGAATATATTAGAAAAAAAAAAAAAATTATTTGACAAATTTTGCAATTTAAAGAAGCATTACAAAGGAAAATCCAAAAAAATAAATTATTTGGCATACGACCTATCCATTTTAAAGGAGTATATATACATGTATTTGAAAAAATATTTTGATGATATTATTCTTTTATTCGAATATTTCTTTTCTATTTCGAATAGCTATTTTGGTTTGGAATATGTCAAAAGGAATAATGACAAGTCTTTCACAAACACGTGTCCCATGTCTAGAACATCTTTTCCTAGCAATCAAACCTCTTCCAGCACTGTCTGCACTTACGTCTCACGAGGATGTAATGATAGTACTGAAGGAAATAATAAAAAGGAAGATTTATTGTGTGAATTGTTTACCTTATCAAACTTTGACAATTTCAACAATGAGAGTGAATTGAGATTGGATTTCCTGAACTGGAAAAACAGTACACACATAAAATATTATGATAACTACGTGTTGATTAATAAGCTAAGATATTTTGTGAAGAATGACATAATACAGTTTATTAATAAAAATATAAACTTTGTAAATAATGATGCATGTTTAAAAATAGGGAGCGTGAAAAAAGTATTTCGTATATTGTATATGTTTCTAAAAATGGAGGCCAATAGTAACAGTGAAATTTTTATTTTTAAAATATTCTTTAACTTGATTATCAAATATTGGAAATACTGTCAGAAGAAAGCAATGAAGAGGGGTTCCCAAACGAGGGAGAGTGCCTTCCCAACGGAAAGGAGTGGTTCTTTGAATCAATTAAATGAACACGAAGTTGAAAAAAAATTTTTATTCTACAAAAAGAAGAAGAAATTTTTAGAAAAATTCGGATTAAATTATTTTAACATATCTGATGATGTTACGAATTTTTTAAAATACGTAATTCTATTTTGTGACACAGATAATACAGAACATACAGGAAAGGAAGTAAATTTTAAAATAAGTTCGACATATGAATTTACCAATGATATTTGTAGTACCAATATGTATAACTTATCAAGTAATTGTAAAGATGATAATGCTTTAAGAAACACCCTTCAAAAAATAATCAGAAAGAAGAAGAAAAAAATTTTATACCTTTTAGAAAGTAAGACAAAGATGAACACAACGAAAAATTGTCACAAAGAGGAACAAATGCTAGAACACTTATCAAATATATATGAAATTATTCAACCAAGTAATTTAAAAAAATATGAAAATATGAAGTTGTTTATAACCATAGATAAGAAAAAGAAATCAAATAGAAAAAGAAAATTCGATTGTGATGAAAACATTTCCAATGTAGACATACATAATGATAATGTCCACACTTTCGAAAAAAGAATAAAAAAATATATTATCAGATTTGTGGATGATAATAAGTATGTCTTTCCCTATATTTATAACACCTTTGACTTTGATTCTTTGGGGAAAGTAACTGAGTCACGTACGACACCATCTCTCAATCCTATTGACTATGATATTGTCACTTTAAATAACAATTTCAAGTTTTTTCATTACATTAATACCAACAGAAAATACTCTTTTAAAAATTCCATTTTGAACTATGTTTATGGTTACCCTGTCTTATGCATAAAAAAAGACAATCACGAAAATGTTCCTTCATCCATTGATCTTATAACACCACCTCTCATGGGAATACATAAGAAGGGAATCTGTCAAAAATTAGCAGTTACAGGAACAGCATATGGAAAGAAGTGCTTCAACAGCACTAATGCTTTTCAAGTTAACAATTTCAGAAGTGAGACCACGAATGAGAGAATCATTCCAACATCTAACACTTGTGGCATGTCTGGAGAGATATCAAGTATCAGAGTCCCAAGTAATTGCGTTATCTCGAACAGTGGCCAAGAGGATTGTTCTGTTGTTATGGAGAAACCGAATGGAGTTGAGAAACCATACTACAAAGAATGGTCCTTCTTAAAGGAAACGAAAAGGATGAAAGAAAAGAATTTTCATAAAAGTGCTTACCATGGGGATACTAAAAAAGGTGGGAAAAATGGAATCACTGAATGTGGAAAAAATGGAATCACTGAATGTGGGAAAAATGGAATCACTGAATGTGGAAAAAATGGAATCACTGAATTTGGAGAAAACTGTAATGAGATTCATGAGAATGGACTTGAGTATGACCAGGGGAGAACTCAGAAGAATCATTACATGGAAAATCTAAAGGATTATTGGAGTAGGGAATGTGGAAATTGTGGCAGTTCAAATGAAAAGGACCCAAGCATGAATTCTTTGAAAGAACTTTTTCACAAATTATTCAGAAAAAAGAAGAGGAAAGAATTGATACAAATGTTGAACAAATTGAACATATCAAATAATGTGCCTCTGAAATATATCCATCTATGTATCATTGGAGATATTTTTAAACACTTAAAATTGGATCATATTCTTACAGATATTATTAAAAAATTATATGAAGAAATATTAAAAGATATTGAAAAAAAGTTTATGCGATCAAATGACAAACATCAATTGTCGAACGTTTTGATTTGTTTCCTCCTTTACTTTTCTTCTTTCTTAGACATTATTTTGGGAGTAAGAAATAACAATTACATCAATTTAACCCAATATGGTGATTTTAATATTTTTAACAATTTCAATGATGTTATATTTAAAAAACAGAAAAAGAAGAAAAATGAAAACAATTTCACCACGAGTGAAATCAGAGAGAGGAAAAGTTATATATACATGCACAACCGATTTAGTCGAAGGAGTAATTACTTATGGTTACTTCAGAAGTTGAATCATAACGATTTAGGTCCTCAGGTAGATGGGGTGTATGTATGTTCCAAGGAGATTAAAACACTTGCTATGGAATCAAAAGCCTCAGCACATCTTGCATCTTTACTTAATAACTATCGTGACTATAACTTTTCCTTTTTGAATAATACCAGTTATACTGAACAGAACAAAGGAAAGCATTATCTTTACGTACATAATAACGATGATGAAAAAGTGGAGAATAATCAAGAAAAAGTGCAAATGGAAGAGAAGGTAACGGATGATGAAAAAACTTTGATGTGTAAGTATTTGAATATAAGTATACATAACGTGGAAGAAAATATGGAATACCAAAAATCCATACTCTTCTTATCAAGGATTAATTTTTCATGTTCTATGAAATGGTATGAAAATGGTTTTCCATATATGCCAAATTACGAACTCATAGAAGAGGCGCAAGTAAGAAACGAGAGGGAAACAACTAATGCAGAACTTACATGTAGGAATATACTTTTAGGTATGCAAAATGGAAATATTGATTATAATGGTGATTATAATGGTGATTGTAGAATGGCATTGTGCTTGATTCCAAGAATTCGTCTAATTCTAACAATTATGAGGACATACCTAAAAGAAACATTAAACCAAAAACGATATTGCATTGCTGATGCTTTGGAAAATTTTAAAAATTGCAAGAACGGTTTGGAGGATATTAAATTTATGTACTATTTAATTTATCTACTAAATTTTGAAAAAAAAGAAAAAAAAGTGCCTGATTTTGTCATATACAAAAAATTGTACTATCTATTAATAGAAATGTTATACACTGAAAGGAATTACAAGCATGGTGTCATTGGGGGAGTAGATAAAATAGTGGATAGTGAACAGGTAATAAATTTCATTTTCAATTTAGTGAAAATTACTAGAATAATAAAAATTCGAAATAACAAAATGGAGAACCTTTTCAAATTGTTTCAAAACTATGTTGAGAATTTTCCTAATTTCCATTTTTCTATTTTTAATAAGATGTTCCTTTTTATATACGAAGATACAAAACTGGAAAATAAAATATTCTTAACAAAATATCTCAACACATATTTTAATGATAAAAAAATCACCATGTACATATTGAACCATATATTGCGTACTACCCCTGGGTTAAGGGGAAACATGAAAAAATATGATGCGCTTACCCATTCATACCAACAGTGCAAACTGCAGCAGAAGCAGAAGCAGAAGCAACAGCCTCAGGAGCAGCACCAGAATTTCACTGGAAGTGAAGGACTCTCCCCCTATGAAATACACAATTGCATGAGTGGAAAAAGGAACATGAAGGAAATTACTCAGACTAAGAATGAAAAGTGTGCTGCAGATTCTGAGTTGGGAACATTACGTCGTGACAATAGTAATATTCCACAGAGACAGAACAAGTATAAACAAGGAAATTTCAGGAAAATGAAATTTTCAAATATTAATCAAGAAATTATTAAAAAAGTTTTTCGAAAAGGGAAGAGTATATATTCTAGTGACAGCTGCGATTCATCCAGAGGAAATTTATTTAAACTGAAGATTATAAAAAATAGGAATTACTTGTCTTATGAAAGAGAGAAAGCTAGTTACCTCTGCCACAGCACATGGAAGGAGAGTTATGGAGCTGATATAATGAGGGAAAAAGTGATAAATACATATTCTTCTAGCAACATTAGTCAGGTAGAATCATCATCTGTAACAGAACACTCAAGTAAGAACAGAAAAAAAAATAAGAACAATCTTAATGTATATTCACATTTAGACAAAGGAAGAAGGCAACAATTTGGTGTAAACATTTCGACAGAACAACACATATCTGGTGATAACTTACTGAATGAAAAAATGCAGAATTCTTTTATGCCAATTTCCACTAATGAAGAAGTATGTGTAAGGGAAGATAACCAATTGCAGAATGAGTGCAATCGATTTAAAAAAGAGCATATGGATGATTACAGCTCAGACGAATTTCTCTCTTATGTGAATAATTTGTATACACACTATGAAAAAGTTTTGAGAGGACAAGAGAACAAACAAGGAATTGTAAATTTTGGTAAATATTCACATAATGTGAGTAAGAAGAAAGAGCAGTGGAAGGAGAACAGGAAGAAGAACCAAGGGAGAATCTTCAGCAGAAGCAGTAACTTCTCTAGCTCCTCATCCATTTTCTGTAGTAGTTCTCAATCTGAAGCAAGTGGAAAAGAGAGAGAGGAAAAAAAGAAGAATCTATGCTTTCACATGAGCGAGCTTAATGTTAGTGATACTCAGAAATTTTTACCCTTACTAAGTGCAGTAGACATGAAAAGCATGAAATATAATGAAGATATAAAGAACTATGAAACGCATGAATATATGCAGAATATGAAAGAGAATGAAATGGAACGTAGATGCACCACAGATAATAAGAATTTTTATAATTTGTTAAATTTCAATTATGACAGTTCGTTTTGTTTTATCAAATATAAGCCCTATCATGAATTTAACCATGAAAAAAGAATTAAAATAAAGAAATATAATGAAAAAGAAAAAAAAAATGAGAAAAAAAGAACTGAAATTATGTACATGCCGCTCTACATTAGCATTATCGGAGGGGTAGATATATTTTTATATAAATATTACAACTACATTTGTGACATCTATGTAAATTCTTATTTCTACCTGAATACTTACTACTTTGAAAAATATATACGCAAAAAATATAAAAAGAACAAGTGCTATGAGCAGTACTTGATGTACGATCCCTTCTACTACAGTTACGTCTTCTGTAACAAATACAGCAGCTACGATAGTTCTAAAGTGGTTGAGAAGGAAAGAGTGGCTGGAAATAGATTCTTGAAATTTTTTAATTACAAGGGTATCATGAGTACAGCTGCTAGCCAGCAGCATGTTCCCGAGGGAGGTGAATATGAGTTGGATGAACGAAAAACAATTAGAATGAAAGAAGAAATCATTCAGAGTAAGATTGAATCTGAGGGAAGTTGGAATCAGGGAGAGGTAGCCACACAAGAAGTAACTTATGGAATGAAAAAAAAAAAAAAAAAAAGGATGAACAATTCTGAGAAACAGAATAAACCAATACTGAAGGAAGTGGAGAAATCCAGCAGAAGAGGAAAAACGAACTTGAGAAAAAAAGATGAAGGCAAAAATGGAAGAAACAGAAAAGGATATATTACAATCCAGAATAATTTTAAAGAATGTGAAAATCATTTTTTCTATACAGAAAATTCTTTAAGTACAGATGATGAAGAAGATCGAATCTTGAAGAAAGAAGCAAAGGACGTCCATATTTTTAAAAGAAATTTGTTTATTATTGAATATTTGAAGAACTATTTCAACTTTCCTGTTCTTATAAAAATGGAAAACATGGTAAAAGATATGTTAGATAATTACAATTTGAATCTATTATATGTAAACAAGTATATTACACTAAAAAGTTTCTATGGATGCTGTGAAGGAGATAAAGAATATGAAACTTTCCCTGCAAAAGGTGGAAATGATGGTAAGCATAGCCATCCTCCTGACGAGAATAGTTGCATAAAAAAAGAGTCCAAGGGTGAAACGTGCAGAGACATATGTCCGAATGGGAAGAATTACTACGATAGGGGAGAAGTTGGAGAAGTTGGAGAAGTTGGAGAAGTGAAGGGACTGAATTTAGAGAAGAAGGATATGTATAAAGACGCATGCATGGAAAAAGATAATACGTGCTACTATGATTTGACGAGGGAAAGGTTCATAGAAAGAAAAGGGATTCAGCTTTCTATGACAATTATAAATGTAGAATACTGGAAGTTTGAAAACTTGAAAGAAGAGGATAATGTTATAAAGAAATTAATTCCAGATTGTTTAGAATCCTATTTAGATATTATAAATAAAATATATCAAAATAAGAATCCAGACAAGTATTTAATTTTTCTATACGATTTGTGTAGCATGGATTTGAGTATTGATGGGTACATATTCACAGTTAGTTTTTCAGAAGGATTAATCTACTTATTTTTAAATAGTCTTGAAATGAGAACAATGAATCTTTACAAAAATAATTTATTTTTCAACAATTTTCACATGAACAACTGTACTTACAACTTTGAGTACATGTTTATTTCCTCCAATTATAAAACGAAAGATAATAGGACCATACACATAATTGTCAATGAAAGTATTATTTTATACGATTTTCATCTCATTAAAAATTCCCTAGACTTTTCCTCGTCGAAGAGGAAGAAGAATTCCAAGAGGGAAAATCCATCGAGGAGGAAAATTGGGAAGAAGTACGTACTCCAGGGAGAAGTGAAAGGTGTGAGGGAAGTAGACGATGTAGAAGTAAACGGTGAGGAAGTAGACGATGTGGAAGTAAACGGTGAGGAAGTAGACGATGTGGAAGTAAACGGTGAGGAAGTAGACGATGTGGAAGTAAACGGTGAGGAAGTAAACGGTGAGGAATCGGATATTGTGGTAGCTAATCACGTGGGTGCAGAAAAATCCACGAACGCATCCCTAAAGGATGTCCAAAGAAAAAGCTACTCCTGCACAAAGGAAGGGAATCATAGCACGAAGTACTACGACACAATGGAAAATAATTTCCCTAGTAGTGAAGCCAAAGACCTTTGGATAAGTTGTGGTGAAAAGGAAAAGAAACTTAGCCTAAGCGGAAAGAAAAATGAAAAAATGGAAAATTCTCAAAGTGACAATTATGTTGTAAAGGAACCAGGAAGTAAAAGCAGCCTAGGGGAATTGTATGAACCAGATGCAGAAGGTGGAGAATATTACATTCAAATGAAATCAAATAAGACAAAAAGTAGAAATGTCAATGTCAAGTGTGCAGCACCGTTATCATTTACAGAGAGAGAAGCGGGAACTGGGAAAGAAAACGAAATGCATGACTCACCAAGTGAGGCAACAAATAATGATGGTAACAACCCAGCAGTAAATAATAACCGAAGTAACAGCAGCAGCAGGAATGGAGTAAGTAATGATAATACTATAAATAAACAAATATCATCCGAAAACATCTACTACAATTTGAATTTTTTAAAAGAATACCAAGAAAAAGAAATAAAAAAAATAACAAAGAATAAAAATGTTGATGATATAAACATAAAGTTATTTTTCACAGAAGAGTACTTAATACAGAAAACGAACTTCCCGGAGAAGTTCATAAAAGAAACGTTAAAAAAATTAATTCGGAGAAAATTTTTGCAAAAAAACACGTTCAAAGTTATGAACCAAAAAAGTAACAAAACAGCTCAGTTCATTGTGTACACAACATCAGATTTCGATGTTTCTGTCGACACAGATGTAAATGATATGCAAGTGAAGGATGAGAAAATGGAATCCTGTAAAAAAAAAACCCAGGAGGACTACTCTGGAATCAATTATAGGGAACCCCAGAGACCACATCAGCAGAAATTGCAAGAATCGGGACAACTCATCTGGCAAAGGCTAGACAGGAGAAGAAAAATTCAAGAGACAAGTGATGTATGCACTAAAATCAGCGAAGAAGGTAATGACATTTTAGTGAAGAAGAGAAAATGCAATGAAAGTAAAGGTGGAAACGAGCAGCTTGATCCCGTGATCACCTGTACTAATAATATAGATAAAGAGGCTTTGGGGAAAAAAGTATTAACGACATCGTCTTCATTATTCTCATTTTCAAATTCGGATGGAATAAAATCTAGAACTCACACCAACGCGCAAAAAGAGCTGCTCGAAGAGGAGGAGGAAACATCCGACGTGGGAATTACTGAGAAAGGAGATTATCATCACCATGTAGATAATAATAAGTTAAGAAGTAGTAGTAGTAGCTGCAGAGGTAGTGGCAATGTTAGGCACGAAAAGAGCCCAGAGGATGAAGGGAAAAAGGAAACAGCCGAAGGAGCAAATAGTCATGATCGGCTAGGAGGAAAAATGGAGCGGGTTCAGAAAGTTGTAAAAGAAAAAATAATAGTTAATAACTTAGCATCATATATTAGCAAGAGGGAAAGCTGTAACGATGGCATAAATAAGGAAGATTCGATAGGCAAACAAGAGGAAACACAAAATATGCAAAGTAGTAGTTTTAACTGTAGTAGTAATATGAGTAATAATTTTTTCTTTCATATATTCATTTATAATTATAAAGGAATATTTTCATTTGTTCAAAAGACGAATAAATAACACTTACTTTTGGGTGTTTACGTATTTCCCCCCAGTTGTCTTGTGCTTTTCTTTCCTTTTCTTTTCTTTATATTTCTTCTCTTTCTATATCTTTTCTTTTCTTTCCTTTTCTTTTCTTTCTATTTCTTCTCTTTCTATATCTTTTCTTTCCTTTTCTTTTCTTTATATTTCTTCTCTTTCTATATCTTTTCTTTTCTTTCCTTTTCTTTTCTTTCTATTTCTTCTCTTTCTATATCTTTTCTTTCCTTTTCTTTTCTTTTCTTTCTATTTCTTTTCTTTCTATTTCTTCTCTTTCCTTTTCTTCTCTTTCTATATCTTTTCTTTTCTTTCCTTTTCTTTTCTTTCTATTTCTTCTCTTTCTATATCTTTTCTTTCCTTTTCTTTTCTTTTCTTTCTATTTCTTTTCTTTCTATTTCTTCTCTTTCCTTTTCTTCTCTTTCTATATCTTTTCTTTTCTTTCCTTTTCTTTTCTTTCTATTTCTTCTCTTTCTATATCTTTTCTTTCCTTTTCTTTTCTTCTCTTTCTATTTCTTTTCTTTCTATTTCTTCTCTTTCCTTTTCTTCTCTTTCTATATCTTTTCTTTCCTTTTCTTTTCTTTATAAGGATGATTACACACTACCATCATGATTTCTTCATCTCCTTATTGTTTCCCTGTTTTGAGTAAAATTAAAATTCCTCCCTTTCCGCTCTTGCCCACGTTTCAGATGAACCCTTGGATTTCTTTCTTGACGATGTTGTAACAGACGATGATGAGGAAAAAGAAATTAAAAAAAGAAAAACATTTGACAACTTAAATTTAGAAGGATCGTACGAATTTTATGAGAACGAAATTTTGAAAATAACAAAAGATAGAATGAACAAAATGAAAGCAGATCCTGGGAAAAACACCTCAACACCCCTCTTCTTAATTGTTAGCAGTCTGAATAAAACTCTGGCCGAAAAAAAGTACAAAAATATAACGCAGCCAAATGTGCTAGCCATTTTAAACATAATGATGAAAAAGAATAAGATTGTTCGTGTTGGTGGGAATTGGCAACCGGTCTAACATTTCGCACTCACATGTGGATACCTGCATGCATGAGTAGATACGTGCGTGTATAAGTAGATATAGACACGTGTCCATACATATATCGGGACGTGCTAAAAATATCAAGGGTTTTTCTCAAAACAGCTGGATCCCAATAACCACACTCTATGCAAGCCTTTTTTTTTTTTTTTTTTTTTTTGATGTCAAATATTTGCAACAATTCGTTGATCTTTTCATTTTTTGGCTTTTTTTCTCCTTTTTTAATGTCACAAAATGGTGGGTTAAATTTACCTTCCCCCCAATACTTATGATATAAGTGGTACCAATGTGATGCTCGTGTTTTGAAATGCTGTGCCCTATATGGAAAAGCATGTACGCACCAATGTGTTTGCATCTGCCCTTGTAAGTATCATTTCAACTGTGTTAACATGTAGGGTGATGGACGTGCATATGTAAGGCATACACACCTTACTTATCAGGTATAACCAACTCTCCTCCCTTTCTTTTTCTTCATAATTATTCGAGAAAAAAAACACACACACACACAGAGAGAGAGAGAAAACAGGGAATATTAATTATGAACACATCTGTCATAAACTTTTGCAAGTTTATGGGAACTTTTCAATTTACTTAATGTGTAAAAAAAAAAAAAAAAAAAAAAAAAAAAAGAAAAAGCATACTTATAGTGGCCCCTCAAAATTAGGAGCTAATTCAGTATAATTGAATTCGTCTTAATTTGGCTTCAATTGAGACTTTTTTTTTATCATTATTTTATTTTTTTTTTTTTTTTTTTTTTTCGTCCTTTTTTATATACTATTCATCAAAAGGAATGTGTGGGTTTATGTACCAAGATGTAGAATTTTATGAAGATGTTTTTGCTGTGCAATTTGATGATTACAATAAAACGCTACATATCACTTTGGCCATTTTATTGACTATGTACTTTTTACTTCATTTCCCTTTGACGACGTGAAATGGTATATGGGTAAGGGGTTAGAAAAAAAAAAATCTCTAGTATGTGAACATGTGGTTAATGCAGACACATATATAAACTGTGTTAAAGTGTGCACAACTATTCACTTACTGTATGAACAACTGTTCCATCATTTTATGCACAACTATATATAATTTTGTACGTATACACACATACTATATTGTCAAGGGGTGGGGGGGGGGGTTGATTCCTCTACATATACTGAGGAACGCGCGTTGGGGTGGTATGGATATCTACCATACGATTAGTGTACAGTTTGGCATATAGCATATGAAAGGGTTCTGCTTTTTTGTAAATTTTGTGCTCACTTAAAATTTTTTTTTTTTTTTATTTAATTTTTTGTAAAAGCTTAAACTGTGAGAAAAGAAACAAAAGCAAATATGAGAGATATGGCAATTTTAATTTTTTTTTTTTTTTTTTGTTTTCTTTCTTTCACTGCTTCGCTTAAGTGTTGACATTTTTCAGTTTTTTTTTTCTTTCTATTTTTGTACCTGAATTAATTAAGTTTTTCGCGCGCTTTCCTTCATATTTCCACGTAAATTATTTTTTTATGTATTTAAAAAAAACTCTTCATTCATTTAAAAGAACTTAACAAGTTTCTTTACAATGACCGTGTGTAAACTTTTATATACCATCCAAAATCCACTTCTTAGAGAGGAATTATGGAAAAGTGAATTTTTGTGTTTCTTCGCACCTCCCATCTGAGTTTTTTACAATGCTGATTTTTTAGAGTTTTAATTTTTTCACACTTTTATTTTTTTACGTTTTTATTTTTTTATACGTTTTTATTTTTTTACCTTTTAATTTTTTTACCTTTTAATTTTTTTACCTTTTAATTTTTTTACCTTTTAATTTTTTCGCCTTTTAATTTTTTCACCTTTTAATTTTTTCACCTTTTAATTTTTTCACCCTTTAACTTTTTCACCTTTTAACTTTTTCACCTTTTAACTTTTTCACCCTTTAACTTTTTCACCCTTTAACTTTTTCACCCTTTAACTTTTTCACCCTTTAACTTTTTCACCCTTTAACTTTTTCACCCTTTAACTTTTTCACCCTTTAACTTTTTCAAGTTTTATATTTTTTCTTCCATTACATGATCACCTCTTGGTTTAACCTCACATTAGATATGACAGAAAACCAAGTTCGTTTTAAAGACGAGCCGTGTGTTTCATTTGTGCATTATATATTACCCTATTATCACAATGCGTTATGATGCATGTTTATTTGCATATTAATTCATTTGAATATTTTACCTGCCGATTTGCTCGTTAACTTTTCCCATTATTCTTATTGCTACTTTACGCACCACCCCACTGTTTGATTCATCCAAAATTTAATTTTACATCAAATGCAACTTCTTTTCTTTCTATTTTTCGTTACAGTAAAATACATATAAGATATATTTTAACTTCTGCTACTTTTCATTCCAAAAAAGATTATGCTTGTTGACATGTACCCACAAATACTCATAGAGGGAATATTTTATGTATGCATTTAAGCATCCATACCATATATAATATAATGCCATACCTACTTACTGAAGTAGCGCACTTCATTTAATCGCACACACAATATATACACATATAATATATATATATATATATATATATATATATATATATATATATATATATTTATTCGTGGTTTCATCGCCCCAATATGCAACAATACTCAATTGGGATTGACAACTTTTTAATAAACTTTGTTCTCTCCTTGCTACGCACGTAACACCATTTTATTTTATTTTTTTTTTTTTCTTCTACAATTTCAATCCCCTCTTTCCGTATAATTATAGCTATTTTTTTTTTTTTTTTTTTTTTTTTTTTGGTAATTATTATTAAATTTGTAAACTCTATTTTGTAAAAGTAAAAATAGTTCTCTATTTTTTATCAAGTTTATACAAAAAAATAGAAGAAAAAAAAAAAAATAAAATAAATAAAAAAGAGGGCTAACAATTTTAACCACCTCCATCTATTTACCCATCTGTTGATAATTGTTGCATTGTGTTATAACAAATCATAAAACAAACGTCTTGGTAATTCTGTATGAAAGATTCATCAGTACCATGGAGATTACCATAGATCATGAGTGTTTATCATTAAAGTAAAAGTTTGGCACATTAGAACATTTTAAAGAAAAGAAAAGAAAACCAGGCAATTGAAAGAAGGAAAGAAAAAACTGAAACGGCAAAGCAGAAAAAAAACGGCGAAATAACGAAACAGCAATAATAAAATCAAGCTCTTTACAACGCTTCTCTTTAAATGTAAATTTTTTTTAATAAAAAAAGTAATTGATTTTCTTTTTCTTTTTTTTTTTTTTTTTTTTTTTTTATATATTATACATGGTTTAGTATGCCACTTTTGCCTTTGTTTTTTATTCTCCAGAACATGTTCTTCCTCCCCGTCCCCCCCTCCTTTTCAAGAAACGAAAATGTGCATAAAAAATTTTTTTTTTGGATAAATTAGAAAAACAAAAGTGTATTTTCCATCTAAGCCGCTGTGTGTTAGCGTATAGATATATCTGTATGCGTACATGTGTATACGGTGTTTACATGCAAATGTACTCACGCAATATGCAACGCAAGTGTGTAAGCAACTCAGAACAATCTCCCGTTGTTTACTTATATTTGTTTTTTACATTTACTCAAGCCATCACACATGTGTGATAATTTAAGAAGAGCGCATCTAGAAATTTTATTTTAACAATCATGTTATAATTTTAAGCACAAGAAAAAGTCGTTTGCTGTTAATTACATCAGGCATGTTAAAAGTTAGTGAACTGTTCTAAGTCGTCCAGTTGTGTTAAATCAACCCACCTCGCTAAGTTGGTCAAGTTAGCCAAGCCAGCCAACCTTGCCAAGTCAGCTAACCTTGTCAAATAGGCAAAATTTGTCAGTGTGTTAATGCTAATCGTACAAGTCCTGAGAAGCTGACTAAAGTTTAGTGAACCCAATTTGTTATAATAAGCAAAAGGAAGTGCATACCATAGCACATATGTACATGTTTTGGGGGTGTATTTAAGTATATATATATATATATATATATATATATATACATATATAAATCAAGTAAACCCATCAAGTTTGAAACATAGGATAAGGCCACAGATCTACTCCTTCATTCATGATACAACATCTTCCCATTAATATAATTAAAAAATGTTTATTTCTCATTCGAAAAAATTTAAGTTAATAGCTTGTCACATATTTGTACGAAATGTGTAAACATATATTATGTGTACATGTATGTATTTATAAATATATACATATCTATAAACACATTCCAAGGCCTAATTCGCTCTTCTCCGCTCGCCACATTTGTCCCCGTCACTCCCCTTCGTTTTTTTTTTTTTTTTTTTTTGTAATATTTGCATAAGTATAAAATGCAAGACACAGAAAGTAAAAAAGTAAAAATGAAATTTAAATTGAATTATGTTGATAAAAAGAATGCTATCAATTTAAGTGCCATGAAAAATGATCTAAATTCAAGGATCAATGACCTAAAGGGTAGTACCAGTAGCCCTAGCATGAACAGTACCAATACGCAGAATAACAACAGCAGTGGTGGCCTGGCTAAAAGAAGCGCATTGGAAAAAAAACCTGGAAAAAATGTAACAAAAAATATCAAAATAAACCTTGCAGGTTCGGGTAGTATTAACAAAAGCGGCAATACCATAAATCAAATAAAGAATGGGAACGCAAATGGTTCCATTAAAAATGACAATAGTAGTGGTAGTAACGTTAGTAATCAAAAGAATATTAACAGAAATGTAAACAGCACAAATAAGGTAAATATCACCAGTAAGGTGAAGAGCCCGAACAGCGCTAATAGTGAAAGCCTATTCTACAGCTGTAACACAAACCTTAATGACAACATGAACTTCAATGACAGTTTAAACATCCGCGACGGTTTAAGTGTTAATGACAACTTAAACCTCCATGATAGCTTAAGCCTTAGTGATAGCATTAACCTTAACGATAGTCTAAATATTAACAACGGAACAAACAATCAGGAGTGTCTAAACAGAAGTGGGAATGTGAACGATTATGCGAATAATAACAACAACGGTGTTTTAAACGCGCAAATCGGAGGACGTGCAAATGCCCCAATAGGCGGAGGGACAAACTCCCAAATTGGAGATGTGAAAAACGCCCAAATTGGAGATGTGAAAAACGCCCAAATTAGAGGTGTGAAAAACGGCCCAATTGGAGGAGGTGCAAATACGCAAAACAATAGCCCCAACATTTTCCTCCATAAGAATAAACACATCCTCAAAAGTAATTTTAAAATATATTATAAAAATGAATTAATACCATTTTCTTTTTTATATCACAAAATATTAACGATATTAAAATCACATTATAATAATCATATAACTAACAATCCAGTGGTGGCAAATAAAGGTATATCTTTTTTTCACATTGAGAATATGTTAATAAATTTTGGTTTTAAAGGTGTTGATATAAACAATCATGCTTTATTAAGCTATTTAGCCTCTTCAAAACAAATAAAAATTGACTTAAATGAAAAAAGAATATGTTATATGAATCCATATGTTGATATAACAAATATAACATCCTTATTAAACAAAATAAACAAACATGGATTTCTCTATGGCTATGAAATCAATGATGATTTAATTAACACAAATAAAGACATATATAAATGGATTAATACTCTACTATATGAAAAAAAAATTCGTTGTATACGTTCAAATAATAGCCATTTACGGGGAAAATTAAAATGTAAATATTTGCCATCCTTTTGTGACATCTATGCAAAAAATAAATGTGACAACTGCTTTTACAATTTAAAAGGATATATTTTCTTCCCGTTGTCTTATGAACACATAGAACAACAACGTTACTTAATCACTAATGACATCAAAAACTTATGGGATGAAATTACCTTACCTAATCTTGATAATATTTTAAAAGAATATAAATTAAAATCAACAAACAAAGTTTTTGTTAATGATAATGTCCCCAAGAGAAAAAATAGAGAGGACAAATTTGCACCTGTTGTAAAAAAAATGAAAAGAATTTATAACACACACTTATTCACAGCAGATGAAATTAAAAATGAATTCATACATAAAAAATGAAATTTTCAATTTGTATATATGTATCAAATTTGTATCTTTGTTTAAAGCCATAACTTCATTGTGCATGTAGATCCATCCGACGGAAACCCGTTGAAGTCAGAAGAAGTGCTCTTTTGAAGCCTCGATTTTGTATATATATTTATATATATATGTATATGTGTGTGTCCACTTTCGTATGTTTCTAAATTAAAAGGGAGAAATTGCTAAAGGGCACAAAAGAGCAGAAAGAACAAAAAAAAAAAAAAAAAATACTTACCAGACATAATTTTATTCTTTAAAAATTGCACTTCATCGGTGTGTAATATGTTTTATTTAGTGAATTAGCTAGTTAGTCTTATTTCACATATATTTTATTTATTTATTTTTTTTGTGTGTATCAGCTAGCCATTTTGGTGCAAAAGAAAATATTTATTTAAAAAAAAATAAAATAATAGTGTTTTTGCGCTAGCTGCCAACAATGGCTATAAAAATAGCAATAAATATATCTACGTCTAATTCCGCTTTCCCCTCCCCGTTTCGTGTGTGTGTGTGTGTGTGTGCGTGCGTGCATATGTTCAAACATATACATTGCATATATTAATTGTACTGCACAAAACTATTTAAAAAAAAAATGGTGTTTTGTAATTTTTTTAAACTATATTTTCAAAAATAAAAACAAGGTTTTTACCTCACCCCCCCCCCCCCTCGCTTTTTTTAAGGGTCAGAAAAAGGAATTTTTTTTTTTTTTTTTTTTTTTTTTTTTTTTTTTCTTGCATGCTTTCTTTAACTTTCAATGAGAACGTGGAGAAAAAGTCAAATTGGGAAATCCATTTTACGATATAATAAAATGAAAAATGTGATAAATACTCAGGCGCATTAAATATATACATTATGGAGGTTTAAAAAATTCACATTTTTCAAAATATGAAAGACGTACAAAAAAAAAAAAAAAAAAAAAGAAAAAGTATATATTATAAATAAATAACAAAACAAACATATGTCCCCCATATAATTGTACCGTGTCCGAATATTGCATCTATTATCCATTAGCAGGGATGGAGTATTCTCATACTTTAGTAAAATTAAAATGAAATAAATAATGTAATACCATTACAACTTCTCACTCCTGCAGGCGTTTCTACATATGCACAAGTGTTAGCAGCTTACATTTTGTTATCTAAAATAATCGAATATAAACAAAAAAATAGAGGTACATATAAGAACAAAAAATAAGAGCGAGTTCATGCTTTTCTTGTTTTGAATTTTATTCAAATAGATATTTCCTTGGGACACATTTTCTATACTTTCTTCCACAACATGTTCAATCATACTCAAGTTTTCATTTTGCTCATATATTTTCGTAACGAATATGTTCATTAAGTTGCTTATTTTGGCTATTTTTTTTTTGGTTTCCATTATGTATGTATTTTCTTCCTTTTCAAACAAGTCCACATATTTTTTAAACTCTAATTGTTGATTATTATTTAGTCCATAGTTATCGTTATTTGATATGAATTCCCTTTTACTTTTTTCCGCCTCTTCTTCTACAAAATCGTACGTGTCGAATGTAACTTTCTTGTCTCTTCGTTTTCTTAAAGTTGGCTCTTTCATATTATCATTATTGGGCATGAACATTTGTTTTCCACTTTCATCAAAGTTGTAATTTTTGTCATTTCCTCCCTTTGTGTAACTATCGACATGGTTTACCCCTCTTGAGAGGGCCTCTGTATAGTCTTTTGAGCACTGTCCATTGTTACTAACAAGTTTGTTTGAACGATCATAATTTGTCTGCGTCACATGGTGAGACGTGAAACCAGCAGGGAGAAAAAAATTAACACTGGGTTCATTGAATTTACTATCACAAGAACTGGCAGAATATATGTAGCAATTCAGTCTGTCAAGATGTTCAAAGTTGTATTTAATATTCTTCACATCGTAAAAGTAAAAATTTGTGTACTTGCTTAATTTCAAGTGATAACTACTTAAGTTATGCTCATATTTATTAATAATGTCAATAAATATGTTTAGCAAATTGTTTAAGCAGTTTAAAACATGCTTATGTATTTCTGTTTGTGGTTTTAAAAGTTTGATTTCATCTGATATTCTGTTTACAGCATATAGTAAATTATCCTTACTTTTAATCCTTGTTTTTTTTTCCCTTACATATTTACTTCGCCGGAAAAATAAACCATATTGTGCTAATGTATTATTATCTATGTAATCACAGTTAGTAAGTAAGCTTGTATATATTTTGCTACTTTTAATGAGAAATGCGTCCTTACATTTTATTTCCCTTTTTGTAAAACTAACATTCTTGTCACATTTTTTACATAAATATGTGAATTCATCCGAACGATCCATTTTGAGTAAGTTGCGCCATTATTTTTTAAATGTTTCATAAAAAATATGTAAAAGTAACATTAAAATCAGGATTTTGTACTTTTTGTGAACTTCTTTGCGGTGAAAAAAGTTGCTTTAAAAAAAAAAAAAAAAAAATTGCAGGCACCTTTTCACACCGCTAATCTGTGTAATTTAATTGATATAAATAAAACATTGGATTAAAAAGAAGTGGCATAAGTAGATGTTTAATCAAACTTATTTACATAAAAACAAAAACAAAAACAAAAAAAAAAAAAAAAAAATGAAGATGCATATCAATGAGTGTGTACATGCATTTGTATATATATGCATTTCTAAAGGAATATCGAATTAGCACACGTGATATCTCCAATAATGTAAGCATAAATCTTCTCTTTCATTCAAATGTGATGGAGTTGAACGCGTCGTTGTGGGATGGATAAAAAAAGGTTAATGTCGTGTGATCATGTCGTGTGAGTGTCCATTTACCCTCTAGTTACACGTCAACATTGCAAAATGAAGTGATATTGCAATGCTTTTCCCAAGGCGGGCAAACGTAGTAAGGATGTAGTTGGTCATGTGTGTACCTGTATATGTTCATGTGCGTGTGTATGTGCATGCGTATGTTCATGTGTACGTGTTTACTTAATTGGGGACATGGGCTAATGGTTTTTTTCTTTTCGATGATCCACGTTAGTAAGTATATGAGACACGACGTGGGCTCCCAACGTTGAGACTCAGGGGAGGTGTGCCAATTTTCCCTATGAAAACTCAAGCAACCTGGAACGCAACACATAAATCGACTTCGTGCACACATTTTGCATGTATTGGTTGTATCCATCATCGTTGTACATTTTATTTTTCGTAGCGTAATTCAGCAAACGTTGGTAATGTTGAAGTGCTTGTGATATGAACATTTTGTCGTCCACTGTAGATAATGTTTTGCACACATAAAAATATATATCAAAGTAGGAATTTTTTTCTTCTTCATTTTCAAAGAGTATTGAACTTGTTGATGTCTCTTTTTCAATTTCATATGTATTTAAAAATAAGAAATAATATTTTATTATTTCCAATATTAATTTTTTTTGCTCACATGTTAGAGCACCTGAAATATTATCATCAAAATTTAAATTTTTATTTTTGTTAATCTCATTTACATATATATTATCAATAAGGGTATTGTATTTTTTACAAATAAAAATATCTTTTACTAATAGGGCACATTTTAAGGACAATTCTCTTTTGTATGATAAATACTGTTTATGTGTTATATGTGCTAAGGGGTAACTGATTGATCTTAACATGTGCATACAATTCTTCATGCATTCATCAAACGATTTTGTAAAAAAATTGTAATAAAAATATGACTCACTTGAATTTAGTAAGATATCCAAATGTAATGTTGTTTCATTAAGTAGGGAGAAATGTTCAAGACTTTTTTTCTTATATTTTTTCACCTTTTTAAACAAAAATTGTGTTTCTCCAAAGTTGTAGCATAAGTAATGTATATAATCGGAATTATTATTGCATGCTGTTCTTTCTTCACTCTTTGAATTTTTCAGTGATGATTGAAGGAGTTGCTCATATTCTCGATAATTCCTATCCTTAGAGAAACATGTATACACTTTTTTCAATTTATTAATGGCTAGATTATTGTATTCTGCATTAAAAACGTTGCTTACGTCCAGTTTCATGTGTGGTAAGTTAATTCTGTTAAACTGAAATATTTGGAAAAATTCCTCAGCATGGACCTTCTCTATTTTTATATTCACAACGGGTGGGGTGTTTACACTGGTCATGATGGTGCTTACTGTATCAGGGAATTCGTATCTCAACGATATTTCCTCTTTTATTAAGATAAAAATTTCTGCCATTACATCATTTATTTGCTTCATATTCTCTCGAAGGAAAATCGAAAAAGACATTTTTTCATGCGTTCCGGAGATGGCAAAGCTGTTATGGCTAAGTTTTTCTTCACCTTCGTCGTCGTCCATCTTCTTCTTCTTCTCCTCCTCCTCCACCTCAACCATTTCGTCCTTATAAAAATTGAAATTATTATCTCTTATAATTTGCTCATATATGAACTTATATATGATATTATTGTCACCCACAAGAGAAAAAATCTCATCATTCAGACGTAGTGGCGTTGTCTCTTGAAAAAAGGTATGCATCGGTTCTCCATTTGGAACAGATTTCACATTATCAGCGTTCACGCTTATGATGTTTTGTAAACAGGAGATTGATTCTGCATCTTCGTTCTCCAGAACTATCTTGTTATCACGTATACAAATTTTGTTCCTATGAAAGTTTTCCCTATTGACAAACTCTTCATTTTCATCACAGCTTGTTGTTTCGTTTTTTTTTTTTTTTTTTACTAATTCGTTTTTTTTCTGTTCCATGCGATGAAAATTCTTCTCTATTGTACAATTCTCACAATCCTTTTGAAGCAAAGAAAAAATTTTTTGCTTTGTCTTGTCAATACTTATATATATCTTACACACATTGGCATACGTGTCTGATGAGATGTAGTTTCCACCCCTTTTGGCATAATTCAAATAGTTGTACTTTAAATATATGATGTAAATCTCTAACAAACTTCTGTAAATCATATATTTGTATTGCTTCAAATGATTTTTTTCTTTTTCTTTTTTCAATTGATTAAAAAGTTTGTGAACATCTTTTATCATATAGAAGGAAAAAAGAAGAAGATGTTCATATACACACAACATGTGCAAATCTAAGAAAATGTAACTACATTCGTTTATATTGTTAAATAGAGAAGATGTTGTTTCCATTATCTTTTTTAGCTTGTCCTCAAGCCATGCGTCACTTCTTTTACCTCTCTTCAATACATCGTCAGAACTTTGGTTGTCAGGAAAGTGGAAATAGTAGTAGTAATAGTAGTGGTAGTAGTAGTAGCAGTAGTGGTAGTAGTAGCAGTAGTAGTAGTGGCAATGATCGTGGAGAGAGTAATTTTCTGCACCTTCGTTATTCACATAGACAAATTGATTACGAGGCAGGGTGTGTTGATGAATATTTGTGATTGCCTCTTTCTCTGCCAAAGCCTCCACCTTCACCTCCTCTATATCACTTTTTAAGAGTAATGAATGCAGATCAATACTTTTCAACACGAGAAAAGTAGATACTGTGGAGAAGTTAAACTCTAAGAATATTTGATTAAGATGTTGGAAAATGTTTATAAGTTCTTGGTAAGTATTATATGTATTTTTTTCTTTTGCCTTTAATATTTTTTCTTCATTTTCCTCATTATAATTATCCCATTTAGTATGCGCACATTTAAGGAACAAAAAACTGTATGTTAAGAAGAACAGACAGGAGTAAATATCTCTTTTCCTTTTACAAATTAATCCAATAGTTTTACATATAAGAAATAAAAATCTAGACACGCTGATATCATATTTTACATACACCTTTTCGTTTATACATATGTAATGTGAAATTTCTTTGTTCTTAAAATGTGGAAACGAAAGCAAATATAAGAATAAACTAACATACAGATTATTCGTGTTTTCATTATTTATTAGATACATATGATAAAAGCATAATGCAATATATATCAGGTTTAGTTCAAAATGTCTACACTCTTTTTGTGAAGGGTTACCCCAACATTTATCCCTTCTTAAGTTGTCATTATTTAAGTTTGTTTTTCCTGAGAGATATTTACCATCTCCACTGTTATTTCTATCACCCTCTAAAAAATTGAACGTTTCGTCCTGTCGCTTCTGAGGAACTACTTTCCTTTCGATGTCTTTGTTTTCCTTCAAATTATTTATTAACAAAGATATGCAAATATGGAACCCACACGTGAGATCATAACAAAGTGTGGAAAAATTGCATTTCTTAACCTTTTTGTTAACATTATTTCTGTCATCGTGGGTGGAAATATTGGTTGTATCATTGTTAGCCTTCGTATGGATATTTTTCTCGACATCTGAAATTGTATCATAGGATTCATTTTTTTTTTTTATTTCATTTAGACTCTTTTTTTCATGAACCTTTTTTTCAATCGAATATACTGTACTCCCTTTTTCATCAGGGTTATAACTTATTACTACCTCCTTTTTTAAAATTGTCGCATTTTTACTTTGCTTTAATTTTTCTTTTATTTTATCTATATTTTCTTTTATTAATTTATTTTTTTCCTTTTCCTCTTTCAATTCTGCACATGCTTTAACCTGTTCATTCTTTTCAATAATTTTGTTAACAAGCAAAATGAAGTAAATTAAATAATTACCTATCAAATCTGTAGTCCTTATTTCTTTCAAACCTTTTAATTCGCGTAATTTTTCGTATACGTATTCTTCCTCTATATCTCCAGTTAATATTGATTTCATCATGAAAACAAAAAAAAAAAAAAATAAAATAAAATAAAAAAAAAGTCTGACAATTTTACCTCATTCAGGGGTATAAAATTCATACACGTATTTTATTCATAAATATGTACAGGTCCTGTGCCTTGCATATATTTATGGCTAAAGAACCTTTTTCACAAGCACTTGTGAGATATGCGACGGGCGAAAATAAAGTCAAAAAATAAAGTCAAAAAAAAAAAAAAAAAAAAAAAAAAAAAAAAAATCCTTAAAAAAATAAGCTAAAATATTAGCAAACGTGTATACGTAAATGTACTCTCTATATGTATAAGTAAATGTACTATGTGTATACGTAAATAAGCTATATGTGTATATGCATATGTATATAATGGCCCCATCCCTATTGTGCGTGCGATTGCCTCCTATGTGACCCCCCCCCCCAAAAAAAAAAATCAAGGAACGTCACTCTGCCATTATAACATCTTAGAACATAATATTTGTAAGGTTAAACGTGTAAATACCACCATTACAACACTCCATTTTTGTAATTGAATTAGCAAAACCAATTAAAACTAAGAAATTTAAAAAAAAAAAAAAAAAAAAAAAAAGGGGTGGGGGAGGGGCCAAGGACCTATGCTATTCCTTCATTCTAGCCACTTTTTGCCTCCATTTTAGTCTAACATTTTACACGTGATTTTCAATAAATCTGTTTAAAAATGTACAAATGGAAATGTGCTTCTCCTGCATCTTCATTTTTGTTGTTTCAAAAAAAATCACTTTCTGGACCTGAGAAAATAAAAGCCGCTTCTTATGAATTCTGTTCTCCAGGAATTATACAAAATGAAGAGCAAAAAATGAAGAACAAAAAATGAAGAACAAAAAATGAAGAACAAAAAATGAAGAACAAAAAATGAAGAACAAAAAATGAAGAACAAAAAAAGGGAAAGGCGCGCCAATTTTCATGAATGTGATAATTTACGTATGTGCACATAACGTTGCAATATATATATAATCCCATGCAAGTGCTCATAACATATGCATATGATCGATTTGTTTTCTATGAAGTGTAACGAAAAAAATGGGGCAGCAGAGAAAAATCATCGCTGTAGGGTTCCTCTCTCTTTATATGTACCTCCTCCTCCTTTATTTCCTTTAAGCGAAAAATTAGAAGTGAAACAAAATTGGGGTGATAGTACATGACAAAATAGACTAGTTCTAGAATTCTAAGAAAATATTTCTTCCTTTTCCTCATCTTGTCGGTTCCTTCTTCCTTAGTGTTCGCTTCATTTTCAATTTCGGATTTCAGGTTGAAAAGGGCTATAATTAAGCAGTCCTAACATGGAGAACCGTGAATAATTGGGTATGCCATGGGGGGAGGGGAGTGGTGGCAAGCGAATTTGATGAGTGAAAAGGTCGGGTTCATACGAGCATATTAGTAAAGTGGTACAAGAAGCACAGGCAATATGAACAAAAAAAGTTAGACACACTCATAAGTGCTAGCGTGTGTGGGGGGGTGAGTCAAAATACTTAGTTTGGCTTGGCTTACCTGTACGAAGAGAATGGGATGCTTCTCCAGAAAAACAGATTCCAAGACAAAGCAATCGAATCTCAAAAAGAGGATTGAAGAAATTGTTAGTAGGACATTGAGTGCTAGAAAAAACTCACGTTCCTGAGTTTTAATTCTCCCGTTACATGTATTAAAATAGTTGTGTTTAAAAACATGGGAATTTTGTATAACAATTTGTTCATTTGTCCGGTTTAAAACATTGAAATAGTAATTAAAAAAGAAGTTAATAGAAAAGAAAAGAATATTATTTATATTTTCTATAAATAATTTATCGTCCCTCCTTTTATTATATTCATCTTCACATATGGTATATACAAATGGTATTCCATTCAACTTATCAATAGATATGCTAAAAGCTTGAATGAAATCATAATCTCTTGCAAGAGAGCTCTTAACATTTTCAGAAGGAAATTTCACAAAATGACAATTTTCACCAATTTGTAAACATTCTATAACGTTAAAAGTGCATATGTTAAAAATGTCATATAATATTTTAATATGTACTATATTTTTCATACTTTCGTTCAATATGTATGCAAAAAGTTTGGTCATAAAATGTTTATTGTGATAATATCGATTTACGTCTAAATGCTTTATTATAAGTAAGAAAGAGTAAAAGTTCTTTTCTTCGTCTATACATATGGAAAATAATTCCAATAAATTTAGAAAATCATCCATATAATGAACATTTTCATAAATTAAATAATTGCAAAAGAGATGTATTAGGGTATTTATTTCTTCATAAAATTTTGCTTTAATTATTTTAAATTTATTACAATTGGGGTTTAATTCTTTAAAGTGAGATTTTATATCTTTAAAAAATTCAACTAACAATTCAATTGATTTTTTAATTTTTCTCATAACTGTGTGAATTTCACGCATGGATAGGTTCATTTTGTTAGAGAGTTTTTTTCCATTCTCGGTTACCTTTGGAGAAATACAACTTTTGGGTTCTAGATTCCCTCCGCCTTGATTTGTATGGCTAGTAGAAGCTGCGCTTATAGGTAGTTCATGATCTTCATTAAAAAAGAAATAATTTTGACTAATAAAATTTACAATATATTCAATATTAGTGCATATCAGCTGAATAATATGTTCACAGTGCTTATTTGTGAAGAAGTGATTCTTCATCTGGTCATTATTTGCATACTTCATCACGTATTCAAAAAACATGTATAGCTCTACATTCATGTATGAAAGAGGAGTTTTCAAAATATCACTACACTTATCATTCAAAAAAATAAAATTATGGCATGAATAAACAGTTGAGTATAAGGTATATAACACTTTTTTCTCATCTTCCATTTTTAATTCGGAAAAAAGGTATATAATATTAGCATAAAATTTGTATGCACTCTTTTCGTCTAACACATTCATGATATTTTCCTGTTTTAGATACACATTCAAATTGATTAAACATTTCATTGTGGTTACTCTATTTTCCTTATAATTTTCTATAATTTTATTTAGCATTTGAAAATACTCCCTTATAAATTTATTATCCTTAACTTTTAAAAACAAGTTATTTAACACATGCAGAGTCATCTCTATGCTTTTTTCGTTTAATAAGCACTTATCATCGTATATCCGCTTCAGAACTTTGAACATTGTGTTTTCTTTTTTGGTGTTTCTTCCTGTTCTTTCATCGAGTAGTACTACTTCTCTCCGTGCAACTCCTTTCGAAAAAAATTCTGTGTTCCTCATGGTTTCCACTATTCCCATATTCTCATTTAGGGCATCAAAAAGGAGACTCACCAAACTTACCCCTTCCATCTGTGAATTGCTGTAAATGGAATCATCCCCTGAATAATAATCATCTTCTGAGGTCTGTTCCTCATCCCATATATTTCCCTCTCTGTCACTACCTTGGTCTCTATCTCTTTCTCTGTCATTGTCTCTGTCTTGATATTCTCTTTTTCCCCTTTCTACCGCCTCCCCCTTCACACCTCTATGTGCCATATCAGGAAAGGAATTCGAGACTTCCCTTTTTTCATTCTGATCATGAAAACTGTTAGAATCTTTGAGACGCATGCGCCCTCCCTGCCCGCTAGAACCACCTTTCATAGTAGTAGGGCTTCGTTTTTTTAAACTTTTTTTAAGAAAATACATCTTGGCATCAAAACTAACACTGTTCCCTTCATAGCTATAAAAGGCGTTTTCCAATATGTCTTTTTCATTTAAAAATGGCAACAATTTCAAGAAAAATATTAAACATTCACAGTAAATTTCATTGATTTCATCTGTGTTATAATAGCCTTCCACGACATCTGATTCGTCTGTTTCACTTGAATATGCAAAATCAGTGTTAAGCTGTTTATGCGGTGTAGTACATTTTTCTTTTTCTTCTCCATTTTCTTCTTCGTTTTCTTTCTCATTTTCTTCATTTTCTTTTTTTTCTTTTTCTTCTTCTTCCTCTTCTTCCTCTTCTTCCTCTTTTTTCTTCTTCTCCTGCACATTTTTTTTCCTCCTCTCAATAATTTTTATTTTATAGTTTGTTTCATTCAAAAAATCGCAGTAATAAAAAATGATAGAATTAATAAAAGGCATGCATATTTTTATATGGGACTGAGTAGAATCTGATATTAGGCTGTTGATTAAACGGAGAGTAAATAGCTTAAAAGGATTGTCAGAACGTAGTAATAAAGAAATAAAAACTGAATCTATTGATTTAAAAATTTTTAATTTATCTCTTTCTTCTAAATAGTTCGTATATTTTGACAGTTTTAAAATGTTTGCGAATTTATTTTTCGTGTTGTCACATTTTCTTATTCTTTTTAGGAGCTCCTTTATTTCTGAATGTTTATTCCTATCACTATTTCTTTCGTCCATCGTGTTTTCATACACCCTTCTGTTCATCACCAAGGGAATTCACATCAAGACGTGCAGAATTAAATTGCACATGTGTGTGTGTGTTAACCCAATGGTTGCACTTAAGTTTAACATGTAAATGAGAAATGCATGAAGTTAGGGAAGTAGAAAAAAAGAGTAGAAACCCAAACAAAAATGGGGATAGATAGATATATATGTGTGTTTTCCCCTCTGATTAGGTTGAGTGAAAACAAAAAATTCCATCGCAAAGAGTACCATCCAATTGAGCAAAAATGGACCTTTTTATTTTTTTTTTTATCATCTTCTTTTATCTCTTTTTTTTTATCTCTTTTTTTTTATCTCTTCTTTTATCTCTCTTTTTTATCTCTCTTTTTTATCTCTCTTTTTTATCTCTTTTTTTGTTTATTCTATTTTTTCTACTTCAAACCGGTGAACACGATAAGGGCAAACATGTTGAAAAAGTTGTTTAATATATAATTTCGTTTTTATTTTTGTTAAAAGTTAATAACGAACAATGGATAGAAAAACAAAAGGTTAACATTACGTGTGCGAATCATGCTGTTACAACAATCCCGGTTTCTTTTTATCACCCTTATATATCATCTTAAAGGTCCTTCGAAACCCTTGAGAGCTTTTTTTTTTTTTTTTTTTTATTTTCAGTGGAAAAAAGAAAAACAAAAAAGAAAAAAAAAAATGTGGGTCAAAAAGGGCACAGTATATATATCACAGTAAAATAAGCATACGCATTTGTGCAAATGTATATTGTTATGCACTTAAATAATATATGTACGTAGCCATGCTTATATTATTATCGTTGCACCTACACAAATAAGCAAAATATTATTCACAGCACAAGGTGGAAAAAAACTATAGCTGTGGTCAATAACAAATTATAAGTGGTGCACATGAGGTTTTGCAACTGATGTGAGGATCATTTAGCATTATCCAAATAGCTGTTGTTTCACGAATAATTGTAAAATTGTTTCCTTTTTTTTTTTTTTTTTTTTTCTTTACTCATTATTTGTTTAGGTCCCTCCGAGCTGAAAATTTAAAAAAAGAATAAATATTAAAAATGCATGAAATTATTAATCCACACCGTTAAGTTAATAAGCATATATGTTATATTCAATTTTTTTATGAAAACAAATTTTTAATGTGAATATAAAAATGACAAAAGGGTGATGTTTTTTATTTTTATTCCTCTTTTCGAAAATTACTTTTTATTATTTTTCCCAAAAATAAAACCCTCATGTGAAACCTAAAATTCGAGTTATTATTATTATTATTATTATTATATATATATATATATATATATATATATATATATATATATTTTTATTTATAAATTATTTGATCAATGGTTAAAGGAGGGAAAAATTAAGACGTATTTTTTTTCAAAACATCCATGTGTGCATGCCTTTTTACAATACTTGAGATATTGCTTACATATTTTGGGTATCCCTTGCAGAACCAAGCATGATTTCTGAATTTTTTTGATGCCCCTTTTAATCTTTCAGAAAAAAAAAAAAAAAAAAAAAAAAATTAAGAGTTTATAACTAGGTTTATACTTTTTACCTTTGCCACGTCTTCCTATAGTTGCTATCTTCTTTCTTCCATATTTTTCATCATTCTCATTTTGTCGTGAGCAAATAGGAGCTGCTTGTACTTACCCATTAGCTGTAGACATCTGAAGATGAAAAAAAAAAAAAAACGTAACAATGTATTTATTTGTACCTTTTTTTTTTTTTTTTTTTCTTTTTACAAAATGTTTTTAAAAGTTGTTACCGTGAAGTAGTCACAATTGATCTCTTTGCACTTTTCTAAAAGGAATTTAAAAAATAAATAAATAATGTGTATTCATTTTATTTTACACTTTTTAGACATTTTGTACATTGCTGCTTGTTGTTCAGTAGAATTATGTATGTCCATTATGCCACCATACCATATATGTCATCTAAGTTGAAGGCTGAGTTTATTTCATAAAGGACATTATTCTTTTCGCACACCCCTGTAATATTACATAAAAAGAGGAATATCGTTTCGCAAACATTTCGAATAACTATACAACATGTCAAGAAGTTCAGATAGGAAAAGGGGGGTGGGGGGGGGGTAGGGGAGTGTTTTATAGATATATATATATACACCGTGCCCCAAAGGTTGGTAAAGAAATGTTTTCTTTTTCACCTTGCACATTTGGAAATACTCCATAGTTTTGGGGTAAGTGTCCACTAACTGTTAGAAGAAGTAAAAGTATGCTCACGTGGATATGGGCATGTGCAATTTATGTATGCTCGTGTGTATTCATGCATGCACTCATTTTGCTCCCCCTAATTTTTGACTCTACTCCATATTTAAAAACAAAGTGGCACCCAGGGAAAATACACTTTTTTTTTTTTTTCGTTTACTGTAAGACATTTTTATATAAATCTGATAAGAAAGGGAAAGAAAAAAAGAAGAAAAATAATACACGTGTTTTTTCTTTAAATTTGTGGCAAATATTCCAATTTTGCTTGATAAACACTTTTCCTATGGCCTGTTCATATGCATGTACATAAATCGTTTACTTACCCTGGAATTTTTCTGAACTATCGCATTTTTGTAAGAGGAGGATTCACATAATGTGTAAGTATCATAGTTAAAAACTATGAACACACAATTGATTAAGTTGTTACATCTGATTGAAGAGTGGTGCACAAAAAAAAGGAGATATAAATATATTCATAGAATAATATAGAAGAAAGTTAAAAATAAAATAAGACATGGTACAATTAGAAATTTATTTCTCCCTTACTCATGCTCTGCCTCGTTTATATGTACATATTTTTTTTTAAGCAAAGGTTTTTCACAAATGGCACTTCTGCAAAATGTGTTTGTTACGGATAGGAAAAGTATTTACAGGAAGAATCGACAAAAATGGCAACTCTCTGCATGGGCACATTTCTGTATTTATGTGTTCATATATTTACACATTTACGAATGATCCTATTTGTATATTTTCTCATTTACTCTTCTTTTGAAGCACACACTTTTAGTATAACGAAAATTTACATGTCATTTACATGAAGATAACGCTCCTTGTTTAATGTTTCATCTGTGAAGTTAGAAAAGGAAAAAATATTGAAAAGTAAAACGAGAACATGGAAAAAAAAAAAAAAAAAAAAAAAAATTTACATCTTCACTAAAATTAGATTGTTTTTTTTTTTTTTTATATTTTTTATAAAAAAACCTTGAAATTCTACATTCCAAATGTTGTCCCCTCCCCTTCTGGCCTTTACATTGTCTATAGCGAACATTATATTAAATGTGATATACATTAGTTGTGCACAACACATGCCAAGATAACATTATTGCTTCATTTTCAAAAATGCAAAATTATGAAAATCTGTTTATTATACATGCTGGGAAGGTCTTTAGTTCAGTAGACTTGCACACGTATTTTATTATAAGCTTGTGGAAATCCTTTATCACGGAAAGGATTTTGAATGTTTCATCATTAACATGGATCTTGAAAAGGGGTGAAAATGCATAAGTATGGGGAAGAATAACAAGAATGATGCGAAAAAAAAAAAAAAAAAAAAAAAAAAAAAAAAAAAAAAAAAAAAAAAAAAAAAAAAAAACTAGATTAATATATATAACCCTCCACCGCCTCCTAATAAATTCATGTTCACTGAAATGACCATCAACTATGTAACTACTTGAATTTATACATTTTTACCTCACAACTGTGTTTCCCTTCACACATCATTTGGACAACAGGTATGGTATGTGGTGCATCTAAGGAATCTAGCAGAATCCAAATAATACAAAATTTTCGTTACATTTGTTCATTTATAAAGTTTGGCAATATGTATAACGTATATTCGTATAGGCCTATTTTCATGCGAAAGGGTATTTGTGTAAGAGGAGTAACTTTTTTTTATCAAAATATTATCAACAGAAGGATTTCCATAGCTAGCATCTAAAATGTGAATGGACTGCGTATGTCCGCAATACAGATTTATCTTTTCATTTAATTTTCCAGTTAAAATTTTTAAAGAATCATTTAAGATTTCATCTTTTTTTTTTTGACAGTATATTGTATAACTACACAGTGTAATAATTAACACAATAAATCGGATTATTCTTAAATCATTCATTTTCGAACACAAAATATAGAATATAGTAGAATTACACAGGTATAATAAATTAAAATGTACAATTTTCAAACTTTCTAAATGGAATATTATTTTAAATCATCATATAATTTCCTAAGTTATAAATAGCATATAAATAATTGCAGTTCTTAATTTACGATTGCAAAAAGAAAAAATAAATAAATAATAACTGCTAATAAGTTGTGTGTACCTACACAGAGGTTTTCTAAAAAGACGGACGATTGAAAACAAAAGAGAGGGGGAGGGGGGGGTAAAAAAAAAAAAAAAATACACATATTGGTAATATATATATACATATATATGCATATATTTTTTATGAATAAAACATTTTAGAGTATTCAAACTTATTTGCTAATTTTTTTTTTTTTTTTCTCTCAATTTTCTCCTGTTTTAATGATAATACATTTAACACTAAGTTAATTCGAGATGTATTAACAAAATTGGTGAACACTTTGGCTTCACGCTGTTGTCACTTGGGATAACACGACCACTGTTTATTACCCATTTTATATTTCATTTTACAGTTATTCGGAAGGGAGCGAGATGTATTAATTTTGAAAATTCGCAAATCTTTTTATATGTTTTCCATTTTTTACAAACTTCATCAAAAATCGTTTTCTGTGTATATTGAACAAACAAATGTAAAAATAAGCTATTGTAAGACTTGTATGCTTCATTTTTCTTAATTTTGTCTTTATCTGTCATTTTATATAGCTTATTCAAAATGACAAAAAAATAATTTTACCTGAAAACAAAAAGAACTGAACACTATGAAGTACAATATATAATGTGGCAAAAATTCAACAACACTGGTTTCTAAAAAATGCGTTAAAATTAAAGGATAGGGGAAGGGGAAAAAAAAAAAAAAAAAAAAAAAAATCGCACATATGAGCAACTCCAAAATTTTCAAAGAATTAAAGTGATTTAATTCTTTCAAATATTTCGAAATTTTCAAAAGAACTTTTCATAGGATTCTCTTTGGAGCATTCTTGACCAAATATACATGCGTGACAAAACAATGCGAAGCAAAGGAAGAAATAGCAACAAGTGCACCTCCTCATATGCACAATTCCCTGTTATATAGTAGAACAAATTAAAACTTTCTTTTAAGAGAGCACAAAGAATCTTTTTGTAAACCACACGTGGACGCTGTATTCTCCCTTTCCACGAAAATACATCAATAGCCTGTAATTCTTTGAATTCAAGCAATCTTTTACTTCAAATTCAAAGTATAAGCACATATTTATGTGGGCTGTACTTGCATACACATATGTATATACTTGCATGTAATTATCTTATGCCTGCACATACCCACTACCACGGGAGCATGTTGAAACTTTCTGTTATCCTAATTTTTAGGACGTATCATATAAATTAGCACATTTTGTATATATTTGTGTATATATATACATATATATATCTAACCAGTTGCAACGATAAAATGTAACCATACGAACCATGTGTAAACATATTACTTAATATGAAAACAGAACTTTCCATTTATGAAAAACATGAACAATCCAAAAAATGAAAAGGAATATATCGTGGAAAACTCAATATCAAAAAACAACGAAAACTCTAACACGTTAAAAAGAAAGTTGAATGAGTTGTACGCGGATGAAAATTTTCAAAGTGATCAATTAAAAGGTACTTGCGCTGTTGTTAACAACGGAAATGCATGGAAAAGGTGTGATACTACCAAGGACAGGAATACCTTGGAATATTTTCCTGATGACGTAAATATACTTGAGAAAAAGGACGTTTTACTAAACAAAAATGACGAAATAAACACTGAAGAAGCGGAAGAAAAGACTAAATCACATATAAATGAACCAAACAGAAAAAAAAGAAAAAAAAAAGAAAGAAAAAAAAAACTCAATGACCAGGGAGAAATGACAAAACCCGCAAAACAAATGGTTAGAATAAATTATCTATTACAGTCATCATTTCTAATGAATGAATTTAACCCGGACATTTCAAGGGAATATATTAAAACCATGAGAAAACTTTCTAACAAATTTTTAATAAAACATGACAAAAAATTCAAAAAACTTTTCTGCAAAAAATGTAATTCAGTTCTTATTCCAAGTGCTACTTGTAAAGTTTCAGTTAATCCACTGAATTTAAGGAAAAAAGGAAATAAAAAAAGTGAACTCGTGAAGGACCCCACTCCATGTGCTAATAACAATTTTAATGTGAAGTCAAGAGATGAATATTTGGTTTCTTATCGGTGTAACCATTGTCAACATGACACAAAATTTGTTTATGATAATAATTTAGTCAGTACACATGAGAAAGAAGATTAATGTGTTAGACAGGGAAGTAACATGTGTACCCTTTTTGCGCGTATATGTGCAAAAATGTGTCCTTCAAATGTTTGGAAAATATATATATATAATATTACCCAAGGGGTGCTCTACAAATTTGAACAAAAATTCTGATTAATTTATAAAAAAGTTTTATATATTTTAAAATGAAGAAAAAAAAAAAAAAAAAACACCTGCCCCTTTGCATGCACACAAACCTTTATAGAAATTCTAAATTTAGTTCTTTTAAAACTAGAAATACGAAGAATGCAAAAAAAAACAAAAAAAAAAAGTGAAACAAAATAAACAAAGTTACAAGCAATCATTATTTTCCATAAATAAGCATGTAAAATTTAGTTTTTTTTTTTTTTTTATTTTATGGCAAAGGTACCAACAATAAGGATACCAATTATAAAGAACATTTTAAAATATTCCACTTTTTTTCTTTTTTTTTTCTTTTTTAAAGTATTCAGATTTTTACAACATGATCCTTTTTCTCATTCATAAAATGGAAAAAAAAATGTTCATCAGAATCCTTGTTTATTAAAAACCGCTCATAAATTTATCCTGATTTGCAGATTTTGTGGGAATTAAGGTACTCATTTTAAGCAATCTTATCATTTGGTGCATATGTGTGTGTGCGCGGGGACATATATATATGTACACATTTACACATACAAATGCAAAATTGGCACTTCTTTTTTGATAAAAGTTCACAAAGCTTTTTTTTATGCCCAAATGATACACCTTTGTGCTTAAAAGTTACTTTCCACAAGTAACAGTTCGTACCACTTAATACGTATTTGTTAAAGCTTAAAAATTCAGCTGATAAGTTTTATATATATGAAATATATGCATTGGGGATTAGCAGAACAAAAAATAGTTTATCTTATTTTTTTTTTTTATGAACAGAAACGATAAACATAAAATTTGCGCCTTTCAGTTAAATAAAAATATGACCATGCAATAATTTTATATGGTTAAAATTAAGTTAAAACATCGAAAGCTAGCTATCACTTCTTTTTTTTTTTTTTTTACAACACTGCAACAATCTTGATTGTATCTGTTGGTGCATTCACATATTATTTATATTTTTAATGTACAAAAATTCTGTTATAAATATTTTTGCAGGAATATATGAATTTGTCAAAATATTTGCAATTAAACTTATTTCTTTTCATTCATCTCATTTTAATATATATATACATATATATATATATATATATTTTTTTTTTTTTTTTTGTTACCAAGCTATCATCTACAGCCCTTTTTTTCACATGGGCATGTGTGCACATTACATGTTTATGTAATAGCTTTTTTTTTTTTTTTTTTTTTTTTTTTTGTGCATATTTCTTCTCATAGCTACAAGCAAAAGGATAAAGTGTACACTAACAAATTTCAAAATAGCTTTTTTTTTTTTCCTTTTTTTTTTTTGTGGACATAATATTACAACAACAATACGCTTTAAAATTATTATTTTATTTTTTTTTTTATTCTCTACACATTTTTTTTGTACTTAAAATTGTGATGTTTTTTTACACATACATACACATGCACACAACTGTAAAATATATCATTCCCCTTGTTTGTTTTGTGTAGTTACTTTTAACTGCCTAATTTGTGTAGTATAAAGAAGAAAAAATAAAATTAAAAAATAAGATTAAAAAATAAAATAAAATCAAACAAAATAAAACAAAACAAAAGAGCTTTATATACACCAGCTGTAATGAATAAACACATTAGTGATGGATTTAAACGACAATAATAACACGGATCCGTCAGCTGATTCATTAAATGAAAGACAGGAGAGTGTGACTACAAAAAACGAAACGCAGAGTGAAAACCCACAGAAGGGAGATGAAGAAGAAAAAATTGCAAGCGCAGAAACGAATCAAAATGCTTTAAATGCTGTTAATGATATTGTAAATGACACAAGCACAGGAACAAATTTAGACTCTTTGAACAAGAGTAACAATTGTAATACGGATACTAGTATCAATGCGACCGAATTGGAAAACCAAAATATTTCAAAGGAACTCTCTGCTGAAAAGTTAACTGAAAATATTGAAATTAATGAAGATGAGAATAACTTGGATGTGAATAACGTAAATCCTAATAACGTGAATATGAATAATATGGATGAGAAAAATGCATCCAATTTAGTCGAAGAAGAAAATAAAAGTGAAAAAGATGAAAAAAAGAAAGAGGATTTTCCACATAATGAAGGAAAGGGCTTAGAGAATGTTTCTACAAGCCAATGTGCGGAGGTCACCGTTTCCCCCAAAGCACCTTCCCCACCTACGAACAACGAGCCATTATACATCGAAGTGAAAGGGCTTTTGCAGGTTCTTAATGCCAAAGATTTTGCAAAAAATATGAGTATGGAAAATATAAAATTGAGAGAAGAAAACGAAAATACAATGATTAGTAAACGTGCATTTAGTATTCCAAATAAAGCAGTTTCGAAAGTCTTTTCAAAGGGAATAAATATGCAAAACAGCAAAAATAATAATACATTTGCTCAAAAAATTCCAGTATTGTCTAAATCAACAATTATTCAAAAAAGACCACCTTTACTAATTAAGTCGCCCATAAATTCACCAAATATATTGAACAAAACTAACCTTAACAAGGATGAAATTATCGGAAAAATGTTACATAATGATAAAGGAAAAAATATTTTTAGAAATTTATCAAAAAAGGTTCCACCACCAGAAGTGCCAAAAATAAAACCCAAAGAAATGCTTAAAACGAATTTTGTACCTTCTAAAGAAATTAATAAGGACGAAAAAGGGAAAGTAATGCTCGTAAAAGAAAGAACACCTTTAAAGATTCCACCAAAAATTATGCCTTTTTTGGTTAAAGAGAAAAGTGTTAAACACAAGGCACCGCCTAAGGGTAATATAAAACACACACTACATTATCTAAAGAAGGCTGCAGAAATAAAAACCAAGGAAACCGATGAATATGTGATATCGAAGAAAGAAAGAACAAATAATCCTACTAGTAATGCAAAAAAAAACTTATTAATCACTCGGAAATTTATAGAAAAACCAAAAAATACTCAAAAAATTAATTCCTTAAAAATGGAAGCTATTAAAAGAGGAAAAGCAATTTTGGACACAAGGAAAATTTTAGCAATAAAACCAACTTCCAAGTTAGAAAGTGAATCAAAAACTAAAGAAAAAGAAAGAAAGAAAAAATTATTACTTAAAAATGTACAGGATAAGAAGGCACAGTTTTCCGAAGGATCGCTAGACATTATTTCCCCCAAATTAAACGATAACTCAACTGTGGATAATGAAAAAAATTACAAAAAGGAGGAATATACCAAGACAAGTGACGAAATGGACAATGAACAGAACAAAACAAATGATGATATCAAGGAGGAACAATCTCAGATAGAAAATGAGGAACGCATAGTAACTGACATAGAACGAAAAAAAGAAAGAGAAAAAACACAAGAAGAAAAAAATGAATTTGAAATAAATAAACATGGAAAAGATATAAATGATTTGACAGAAAGAGAAACCAAGAATGAAGGAAGAGTAGCTGATGTAAAGGAAATCGCAGAAGCAGAAATGGAAAAAAAGGTGGGCCATGGTGATAACAATTTTAACAAAGAAAATGGAGAAAAAGAAGAAAAAAATGCAGATGCCAAAGGTGGGGAAGAGATTTTAATCAATCAAAAAATTTTAGAGCCAGAGGAGGGAGTAGTGGAAAGAACAAAAGAAGACGTGGAATTAGACGATAAGGAAAAATTGGATGATAAGGAAAAATTGGACGATAAGGAAAAATTGGACGATAAGGAAAAATTAGACGATAAGGAAAAATTGGATGATAAGGAAAAATTGGACGATAAGGAAAAATTGGACGACAAGGAAAAATTGGACGATAAGGAAAAATTGGACGATAAGGACAAACTGGGAGAGGAGATGAGCAAAAAAGAAGATCAAATGAATGATAAAACAGAAGAAAAAGTACTACCAACAGAACAAACAAAAGAATTAAAGAACCTAGAATTAGATGAGAAAAAGAAAAGCCTCCAAAAAAAAAAAGAACCAATCGAAACTTTGAACGAGGAAAAGGATATGAAAAAAACAAAACTTGAGTTAAAGTCAGAAACAGGTCAGAAACTAAATAAAAAGGTTACAAAGAAAGGAGGTAATGTATTATCAAAAGATGAGGAAGTAACGGTGGCGTCTCCATTGAAAGCCAAGCAAAGTATGAAACCAGCTTTTAACGTAAAGCAAAGTTTAAAGGCACCTATGAGCATGAAGCAAAGTGTAAAGGCACCGTTGAATGTGAAGCAAAACGTAAAATCAGAGTTAGCCTTAAAACACAAGGCAACGATGAAAGGCATCCCAGCTTTATTAAAATTTAAAACAGATGTCAACGATAGTGTAAAGGAAAAAAAGAACGTAAAAAATGAAAAAAACAGTGAATTAATCAAAAGTAGCATTGACAAGAATTCACCACAAAGAAAAAGCACCTTATTTTTGAAAAAGGCTAGTGGCCTTAAGAAAGCTACATTAAGTAAAAATTCTATGAAAGAAATAGATGTAGAAAAAAAAAAACTTTTAAAAAAGATAAACGGATCTATAAGTGATAAAAATATGAAGAAAGATTCAGAAAATGATATCATTCCTAGTAAAAATATTCCCAAAAAAGTTTCTTTGGCATCCATTAAAAATGCTTCGTCTATTTTGAAAAAAAAAGTGCTGAGTAAATCGAAGACTGATAACATTAATGAGACAGCAATAGACATGGATAACCCAATTGTATCTTCAAAATCAGAAAATATTCATAACATATCCGAGCAAAATAATAAAAAAAATGAACCAAAAGAAGATGGGTTATTTATAAGAAAGTTATTAAGCTCAAAAATAATAAAACTAAGTGGAAAATCAAACAATTTAAGTATGAGTAAATTAAGTTCCTGCGACGAGAGTGATAATAAAAATAAGAAACCATCTCCTATTCGCAAGAACGAAATGGGATCTAGTAAGGGATTTCAAGAAATGAATAAGAAAATAAATAGTTCTTTGAAACCGTCCAAATCGTTAAAAAAACAAAAGTCCAAGTCAAGCAAAAAGATAAACATAAGTGATGATATATCAAACGTAGAAGAAAAAGCAGTTAAAAAAGTTGCAAAGTTGAGCAGTTCAAAAAAGATAAAAAGTGCAATATCACAAATAAAAATGGAAAAAAAAATGAAAAAATTAAAATCGGAAATATTGCAAAAAGAATCAAGCAGTTTAACCAAATTGAAAGATAAAAAGATTTCAAAGAAATATAAATCAATAGGTAGTAATGGGAATAATAAAGTCGCAGAGGAAGAAGGGGGTAATGACTCTTTACTTGAAAAGGAATTATTGAAAATGAAATCTTTTAAGGATAAATGGAACAATGATTACGTAACACCAAGAATAGGAGGATTCGAAATATCAAATAGTTTTTCCCATAGCAAGCCAGAAATATCCAACATAGACTCGTCTGACAATAATATGCCCCATTCTATTGCTACCCCTTCTGTGGCATCCAAAAAAATGAAAAAAAAGAAAAAAAAAATTAGTAGCCGCATGAATGGAAACATGCGAAGCACTGTACATGTAGATGATGTTCTTAAAAATAAAGTAGTAAATATGAACGTCAAAAAAATTGTCTCTAACCCAAGTATGAAATCTGTGGAATGTAAAAATGAGAGCAAATTAAAAGAAGAAGAGCCAATAACCACGACTTTACATAAAGAGAGTACTTCTTCTAGTACAAGAGGTGAAGAAGAAAGAAAACGTAGAGAAGAAAATATGGAAATTTTAAAATTAAGAAACGCTTCTCTATTCAATTTTAACAGGCTGAAATCAACAAACACTTTAAGAAATTTATCAGTTCAAGTGATGCTAGAACCACCCACTGAGTTGTCAGAGAAAGGTGAACCAAATCTGAATGTAAATAATTTACACACGAAAAAGCCAGTGGGAAGAACACCAAGTGGGGTTATACAAAATTCTAATTGGATATTTGACAAATGTTGTTCAGCGGGAAATAATAAAACTGATCATTTTTATGAGAGAAAAGAACCAGCTGTACAAAACTTTAGCTCACTGTTCAACGTGAATAATAAATATATTCCATTAAACACGAATTCACAAATATCACATATGCCAAGTAATAGCATAAAGTTGTCAAATGTATATGAATCAGATTTATTCACCTCAAATTGGACGCCAAACAGGGAACACTACCCAATTGGGCAGATGAGCAGCAATGGGAGAAGCACTAAGGAAGGACCAATGAACAGACGAATGGATAGTCAACTGAGTAACCAAATGGGCAGACGAATGGATAGTCAACTGAGTAATCAAATGGGCAGACGAATGGATAGCCAACTGAGTAACCAAATGGGCAGACGAATGGATAGCCAATTGAGCAATCCACTGAGCAGCCACATGGATAATCGAATGAACAGGAGCAATACACATCTAAACAGTAATATGAATCCTGGATTGTACAGCAGTAAATCATTTATAAATACTAGTAACCATTTGGAATTAAAAAGAAGACCATCATGTGGAACAATAGCGAACTATTGCAGTTGTATATAAAAGGAAACAACGATAAATTGTTATATGGTAATAGTCTCCTTCTCAAACCAGATATGTTTTATGATAGATAATTTCTCAATTTGGAAAAATACTGTGTCAGAAATATGCGCATCTGTGAATAATAAATTATAAAATATACACAAATATAGCACACATAAAAATGAATACATAGAAAAACTGAGCATGGCACAGCATCCGCAGAACATTTTTTTTTAACTCTATAGATATAGAATACATTTTTTTCAATATTTTAACAAAGCTATATATCCATCGATTCTCATTATTAAATGTTGACATTTTTTTTTTATTTTTGTTCTTGTTCTCATTTATTTTGATAGTTCTTTTGTGTTATTAAAATTTCATAGCCTAACATTTGCGTAATTATTTATTTTATGGTTAAAGGAAAGATAGTATATATTTTCCTCTACGTGTTAACGCTACAAATTTTGGTATGCAAATACACCGTGTTTTTGTATTGTTCTATCATTACTTTACCTTTTCTTTTTTTTTTTTTTTTTTAATTTGTTGTTTAGTCCGTCTTGCAAGTGTATGGTGTTTTTACACATCCTTGAAGCTTTTTATTTATCTGCTTGAAGATTATGGGATAAATTTTAAAAGCCATTAATGTTAACATTCACATTAATTAGACTAAAAGGTTATGACACATATTCCATTAAGTTACTCTTTTGTTTTATTTCGTTTTATTTTATTATATTATATTCTACTTTTGATTGAACCGTTTTATTTTGATTCTGTTTATATATATATATATATTTTTTTTTTTTTTTTCTTTTGTTTTTAAAACAAGTATCATGCTGCACCTGTATATATGTGCAGGACAATATGTGATACGCGTGCTGCTGAGCCATTTTTTGCTTTTCATTTCCCTCTGCTGGCCATGCATACACATACATATTATGCATGCACAAGCAATGACCGCATAAGAATATGTAACATGCATATATCAAACTTAGACATAGACTTTAAAAATGGAAATTTTTTCTGCGCAACGTTTCTTTTAGCTTCTATGAAATTGAATTGTTTCATATGAGCAAAACGTAAAAAATTGACATATTTTATATGAACAAAAGGTTTCATCACTTTTGTTTTGTTTTGTTTTATTTTGTTTTGCTTTATTTTGCTTTGTTTTGCTTTATTTTGTTTTGTTCTGCTTTGTTTTACTTTATTTTATTTATTTTTTTTTTTGTGTGTAACCGTATTTTTCTTAATTGTGCTTTGCTTTGCCTTATTTTGCTTTTTTTTTTTTTTTTTTGTTTCTTCACTGAGGGGGTCAAAAAAAAAAAATGCTACCTTTGTTGGTGTCTAAGTGTAAATAATGTTGTGAATATTTTTTATACCTTTGAGATACTTTGAAAAAATAAGATAACTTTTCATAAATTAAAAAAGAACGATATTTTTATAAGGATAATAAAAATATCATTTTTGTCAAATTAGCTATTAACAGTTTTTTCAAAGACATAGGAAGAACGAAAAAAAAAAAAAAAAAAAAAAAAAAAAAATTAAAAAACAAGGGAAATAAATTGTTTATAGGTGAAAAAATTCCTAAAAAGGGTAAATTGTATGATAGAGGAGAATGGCTTTCTTATTAATGTGAATTAAATTAAGTGTATTATTCAATTTTTTTTTTTTTTTTTTTTTTTTTTTTTTTTTTTTTTTTTTTTTTTTTTTTTTTTTTTTTTTTTTTTTTTTTTTTTTTTTTTTTTTTTTTTTTTTTTTTTTTTTTTTTGTTTAACCGTTTTTTTTTTAATTTTGTTTTGTTTTTCCTTTTTTTTTTTTTTTTTTTTTTTTTTTTTGTCTCTTCACTGAGGGGGTCAAAAAAAAAAAATGCTACCTTTGTTGGTGTCTAAGTGTAAATAATGTTGTGAATATTTTTTATACCTTTGAGATACTTTGAAAAAATAAGATAACTTTTCATAAATTAAAAAAGAACGATATTTTTATAAGGATAATAAAAATATCATTTTTGTCAAATTAGCTATTAACAGTTTTTTCAAAGACATAGGAAGAACGAAAAAAAAAAAAAAAAAAAAAAAAAAAAAATTAAAAAACAAGGGAAATAAATTGTTTATAGGTGAAAAAATTCCTAAAAAGGGTAAATTGTATGATAGAGGAGAATGGTTTTCTTATTTATTTTAATTAAATTAAGTGTATTATTTAATTTTTTTTTTTTTTTTTTTTTTTTTTCCTTTTTTATCAGTTAGGCATTATACCCACTTTGCACATTGTATTTATTTAAATATTTTTTCAAAATATCATTTTCATTATACAAATGGCTAATATGTTTTCTATATAAATCAATTTGGGTTCTATATATGGAAGAAATGTTTTCTTCATTAGTAAAGGGTAAATATTTAAAATCAGCTGAATGTCTCTTTGTTAGTTCCGTTTTTAAGTGAGAATTAACAGAGTTATTCTTAATTAAATGTTCGTTTTTTTTAATTAGTTTTTTTTTATTCTTTAACAAATTATGTGTGTAAAAAATAAAGTCATTTATCACATTTTGTTGTAATTTAATTAAATTTAAAGAGTTGTTATAATTTTTAATTAACAATTTTAAGATTTGCAAAATTTTTAAATCAGCAGATTTGTTCATATCTGATGTTGGTATATCAATATGTTTCACGAACAATTCCCTATTAAAAATATTGAAATTATTTAGTTCATCACATCCCATAATATTTTCTGCATATGTAGAAAGGTTTAATTCGTTTACTTGTAATGTGTTGCTAATATTTATCATATCTTTTTCGTTTAATACATTGACTTCGAAATATTTGCTTAATTCACTTTTTCTTTTTTCGTTCATACTTTCTTTCATCGCATTTTGTTCTTTCAGCTGCAAAAAATCGATAATGTACCTATTTGCATAAATTACATTTTTGTCATCATAAGTTATGTCTTCCTTCTTAATAACATTCGTAACATGGTCTCCTTTTTCTTTTGCTTCTTCTATTTCACTCTTTATGGTACTTAATAAATTTAATTCTTTCAAAAGAGAAAAATTTTTAACTAGCTTATTGGCAATTTTTATCTTGTCCTCCTTGTATGTATCTTCGCTCTGAATGTTTTCATTGATTAATTTGTTAACATCACTGTTGCTCATTTTGTTTTTCCTTGCAATGTGCTAATTCATTTTTGTTGGTTATCTACAGGGGTGTTTGTTGCATATATCCTTGGTTAATATGCACACGTGGGGGCTTGCATTAGTGTCTTCGTTCGATATATATACATATATATATTCATGTGTATAGGTATTTGTCCGCTGGGTTAATTCTCTTGCTGTTAGCCTTACGCACGGTTGTTAACCTCTCCCTATATTTACCCTTTAGCAATTGTGAAAATCTCCCGTGCTATTCCACAAATTTGTGCACTTTGTTGTAACTGTTCCTGCCATACTTGTTTCTTTCTCTTTCAATTTTAATGTAAATTTTTTATTGAAATTCCTTTTCTTCCGGCAGTTGGCAAGTGTATACATATGTATAAGCACATAAAATCACCTGCAATGCAGTGATCAAAGGAACAAAAACAAAAAACTGAAAGGCAATTAAAATTGTAAATGAAGCTAATATTTTTTGAATAAAATATGTTCAGCATGCAGAATGCGCACATTTATAACATGCGTGTGTTTTATTAAATTATATATGCATATTTTTTTTATATATATTTATGTGCGCCATATATATGTATATATATATATATATAAAATATTCACTCAATATATGCACATCATATGTATACACAAATAAAAACCACATTACTGTGTTATTAATAACAAAAAAAAGGGATTAAAAAAAAAAAAAAAAAAAAATTAATACTGCTTTAAATCAGAAATTGTTATGTTTTAATTCAATGTCATTCGTTTTCCATAGCCTATATATTTTTTTTTTTTTTTTTTCCTTCTTTTTAAGTTGTTCTTTTCAATCATTTTGTAGCCTATTGTATAAAGTCCACTTTTTTACGTTTCTTGTTTTTCAAGTATTTACAATTCCTTTATTCCAATTTTTGCTTGCCCCATTTTTTTTTTTTTTTTTTCGAATTTTGTTCTTCCGCCTTTTTGCACATTTTGTTCTCCACCTTTTTTGTTCTTTTTTTTTCACTTTTGCACATTTTTAGCTTCGTCTGTATTTTTTTATTTGTGTATTATTTTATTTATTTATTTTTTTTTTTTTGTTGTTTTTCTTTAATCACTAATTATGTGAATGCGAACAAACTTAAAGCTTTTAATGTGTTAAAAACTGCATTTTTTAATTTTTGTGATTTTTCTTTTTATGTAACTATAGTATTTTTTTTCAAAAGTGCAAAATAAGGTTGCAACCATTGCACTTTTTTTTTACAGCTATGTTTTGTTAGCAATTCTTTTATAAATAACGCGGCACTTTTTTCCTTTCATATCCTCTTCATTGGAATAGCAATTTAAAGGAAAGTGAAATGTGAAGAGTGTTGACGTTTCTGCTTTTTTTTTTCGTTTCCGTTTTTTTTTTCGTTTCCACTTTGTTTGATCATTTTATTTGTGCCTACGAATGAGTCTACAACAACAGTTCTCAAAAGCTGTTTAGACTTTACTTTTTAGGAGCATCCTGTGTTAAGCCTATGTTCATGTATGCATGTATTTATACGTATGTATTTATACGTATACATGTAGCCCCTTCAAATAGTCATATCTGGATTTAAACTGGAATATATTTTTTTTTGGAGCTTAGGGAATATTAACCCAATTTGTTTTTTAATTTTATAGCTAGCTGTTTTGTACCATTATCGCATATAATTTTTGCAGTGTCTTTTTGGTCTTTTTTTTTTATTTTTTAAAGAAAAATGTTTTGCTGCTCGAAAAACATATTAGATGCAGTTGAGAGAAGAAGAAGGAATTATCGAGCTTACTCAGAAAAAAAACCAAAAGATGATGAAAATGAATTAGTTACCATATGTGATAATAAAGTAGCCATTGTGAATATTTTAAGAAGAGGAAATGAACAAACATCGAAATTAAAGGATGGAAAACATTACACCAATAAGAATTCATCAGTTTGTAAATCGAATGTACTAAAATACTATGAAACTAATTTTTTAAAGGATAACTATTCCAAAGGCACATCTCTTACGGACATGAAAAAAGGAAGGGGGGAGAAAAATGCTGATAGTTATAGACTACGTAAAAAGGATGATGCTGATGGCATGCGTGAAATGTATAACTTTTCCAATTTAAATACAAAACACAAAATTAAAGCCTTGAAAGAAACACAAAAACAACTAAAAGATTGTTTAAAGGAACAACAGTTTAATATTCATGATGATATTTTATTTTTAAACATATATAGACTAACTCATAAAAAAATATATTCCATATTGGATAAGAAAAAGAAAAATGTGGTAAGTTTGGAGGGGGGCGCGTACATATATGTGTATATATATGTATATATATATGTGTATGCATGCATGTATGTATGTATGTTTGAACATGTATATGTATTCTGTAACATGGTTAATGTCGCGATCGAAGCAACCTCCGCCATTGTCTTATGCTGTGCATATTATTTCCTGTGACATATATGTGTATGAGGGGATGATTGCATAATGACATGTGTGTATGGGCACCTCCATTCATGTGCACATGTCTTTTGCATTAACAAATCGATGCGCGTATTTATGTCTAATTTTACCTGGTTGAACCGCTGATCCGTTGAACCACTGAACCATTGAACCTTTGAACTTTCGAACCGATTTTTCAGGATCATTACAACTGCAATGAGATAATAGACATGATACTAAACGGGAAATTGCATAAAAACAGTCTAGTGAAAAGAAAATCGGAGGGACGATATGTCCATTTAAAAGATAAAATCAATGAACTTCATTTTTTAAAAAACATGGAATTAGAGTACTACCTCAAAATAAAGAAGAATATACCATCTATGAAATCTAAACAAGAGGATAATTATGCAAAGGAAAATTCCTTATATCTACAATTAAGCGAACCATTATTAGCTGAAAAAGTAAAATCATTAAAAAAATTTTTTATATCTCCGTATAATAGAAATATTGTAGAGATTGTTTTAATGCCCAAGCAAAAGAATTGTAATAAAATTTATGGACATCATAAGATCTTTTCAAATCTGTTTATAACAAAATATATTTCTGTCTATTTTTATCATATAATTGAAAAGAAAATGGAAAAATCTAATTTAATACAAAAGACAGGTCCTATACATTTAAAAATTAAATTAAAGACGAATTATCCCCAAGCAATAAAAACCATTTTTAGATATATATACGATAAAAATTTTAATTTACACGAGCTAGATTTCAAATTATTGGTTACTGTATACATGGAGTGTATTCATTTAAAAATTCCTAGTATCATAAATGATGTAATTGATGCCATTGCAGAGAAGGCCAATTTTGATAATATAGTTAGAGTGTTAGGACTGGCATCCACTTTCAAGCAGATTGCAACTCCTCTTTTTTCCGATTTCGCACGAATCATTTCGGATTCGGGAGTTTACCTTTTTGCAAGTAATAAAAATATGCAGTATATATATATATATGGATATGTGTTCGTGTTCATGATCTTGCTCCTGCTCGTGCACGTGTGCATAAGAATTGACCATTTTTACGCATATTATAATATCTTCCTTGTTAATGTTTTTTCCTTTTTATGTGCACCCAGCTGTTATTTCCTTCCTCTCCTCATTGATTCGTGACCACATAATACAAACATATATACACACATGCACTTATGCAGACATACATATGCATACATACATATACATACATCTTTCTATTGTTCCTAGGAAACTGCCACTATTTGATAGACACAGAAACTTATAGCTATTTCCTAAGCAGTGACAACGTAAGTGTAAACGAAATGAGGTTATTCATTGAATCCATAAAATTTATAATTAGGAAGAACTGTGACATGAGGGAACAAAATTTAATTTTTCAAAATATCAGATTCAACCTTTTAAATACGGAGCATTTATACAGCATTTGTAGATATATAAAAAATTGCTTTGAAGATGTTGTTCATAGTAAATATGATGAAACTAATTTTATTTGTATGAGATATCGCCATTCAAAAATAAAAGAAATAAATTTGAAGGATAACCATAAGAAAAATTTTAAAAATATAAATACAGAAAACAAGGAAAATATAGAACTGGAAAAATCAAATGACGAAAATATAAATGAAATGACAAAGGTAGAAAGAACATCACTGAATTTATCATTTTGCGAAGAAATAAAAAATTTAAATGAATTTTATAAAATAATAAATAAGGAAGCTTTTGAACCACCTTACATTAGTAAAAAAAAAAAAGAAATATCCATAAAAGAACTTACTATTTGTATGAATAATATTTACAATATCCTTTTAGATAACATTTTCCAAAAAATGTCAAATAGAGAAGTAAAAGAGAGGTGCAAAATATGGTATGAGAATAAAAATTTTCAATGTGTAAATGATTTTACCAATGAAAATTATTCCTTTCAGTTAATTAAAAAGAAATGTAATGTAGAAAAATATACCTTTACTTATGGAGATGAAAGATTAATAAACGAATGTAAATTAATTTATCAAATAGCAAAAAGCAAAGATAGTAACATTTCCATTGGAATCATATTAAAAACGAAGGAATTAAATTCTTTGGTTAATCAACAGAATTGTAAAATATCAAAAACATTAATTGAATGTAACGATCATTTAGTTATTTATTTTGACTTTTTTGTAAATGATTTTTATGCTTGCAACATTGATAATAGCAATTTGAAATTAGTAAACAGAACCAAGTTAAATATACATGCACATGAAAATAAATTAATAGATGGAGATATTATTAATTACACCATATCTGTTATAAATCAAGTTTTGAAAATAGATATAATAATATTACCAAAGAACATTAGTTTTGCTTATTCCTTTCCAATATTAAAACCTACTATTTTTTTAGGGCATGTCATAAAAAAACCCTTTATTTTTGTGAAGCCCTTTTTTATCTTAAAGGATTCATTAGACTCCATTTCAATTCCAACGATCAAATTTTAAGTGTAATCTCATTTCTTACTAAGAAAGCACGAGGAAAATATATATACATACTCATGTACATGTTGCAAATATGACAAGTGTGTATATGTTACATGTATGTGCTTTCTTCCTTTTTTGCATCTTCGTGTGTGTGTGTGTATACGTATGTCACTACATATATTTATGCATACACTTACCCCTGCTTGCATGTGTATTTATGTATATACATGTGCTTATATTAATACATGTTTGCTTGTTTTTACATAAATCTTTTTGACACCATTTCACACCTACACAAAGGCCCCATTTTTTTTTTTTTTTTTTGTTTTTTTTTTTTATTCCGTTACATGACCTTCATTTATTTTATTTTTTGAGTCAGAAAATATTTTTCTTATGTTTCAAAAGTATCCTTTTAAATTTTCATTGCACATATGTGTACATAATAAAAATATAAAATACGCATGTATGTAAGTATATGTGAGCTCTTTGTAAGAATATATAAACATATATATATGTGTATATTAGTGTATTGTGGATCGTTGAGCCATATACTTTTTTTTACCATGTATGAAACACAGTTACTTGCTACTTCCACTGTTATTATTTCGTTTTCAATTGGGCTTTTTATTTTTTTAAATTTTTATTAATTTTTAATTTTTTAATCTCTATTTCGTTATACATTTTTGAAATGACCTTTTTTTTTTTTTTCTTGTAAGGATTGTGTTTTATAATAACTTTTTTTTTTTTTTTTTTTTTTTTTTTTTTTAAAAAATTCACTTTTTTTTTTTGTTTTTTTTTTTTTTTTTTTTTTTTTTTTTTTTTTTTTTTTTTTTTTTTTTTTTTTTTTTTTTTTTTTTTTTTTTTTTTTTTTTTTATTTTCTTTTTTTTTTTTTTTTTTTTTTTTTTTTTTTTTTTTTTTTTTTTTTATGTAGAAAGCGTCGCACCGTCTTGCCAGTAAAATTTTGCCATCGAAAATATGTCAAAAGAAAAAATAACCCTTTTGTTCTGGCATATTATTCTTATTGTGTTATATTAACCTAATCCAATAAGAATGACTAAACAATTTTCAAAGGTATAAAACTATATTGGGTAAAATTAGATTCATTCGTTAACTGATTCTTTATTTTAATGCAAACGGGACGAATAAAAACAAAAACATCAAAAAAAAAAAAAAAAAAAAAACTAATAAATTAAACCAGTGAACAGATGAACAAATATTCAAAGATACATATACACAAATTGACTAATTGATTAGTTAACTAGAACATATATATGTACATTCGCATATATACAAGAAAATACTATTATTATGTATATGTGATATTTTTTTATTGTCACTCAAAATAATGACATGTCTCAAAATGCATTTCCACTTTTTTATAGTTATTTTCTTCTTTTTTTTTTTCTTTGCAACATCCCTTTGCCACCCAAAGATGAACAAATGCATATGCATTTATGGAGGTTCTTTTGATCCAATTACTCATGCGCATGAAATGGTTCTCGCTGACATTAGCAACTTAAATTGGATTGATGAAATATGGGTGGTTATTTGTAGATGTAGGGATGATAAGAATATATCAGAATTTGAACACAGATATAATATGTTTTCACTAATAATGAATAATACTTCGTCTAAAATGTCAAAAAATAAAATTTTTTTAAAAGATATTGAGTGCAAAGAGAAAACAACTCCAACTTATGATTTGTTAAAGGCTCAAAAAGAGAAGTATCCTAATTATACTTTTTATTTTGCTCTGGGTTCTGATCTATTAAAAGACATTTTTTTTTGGGATAATGGCGAAAAATTAGTTTCAGAAAATAATTTTATAATTGTTGAAAGGGGCAACTTTAAAATAGATGAAAATAAACTACAGAAATTTCCAAGTTATTATTTAATTAAAATTGAAAAAATGTCTTTTATTAATTATATTTCTTCAAGCGACGCAAGAAAAATATTATCCAAAAGGAACAACTCAGAAGAATTAGAGAAATATATTCATCCTGTTGTTATTAATTATATAAAGGAACATAACTTATATCATAACAATTTGGAATAAGCTTAACATTACGTTCCATGTATATTGTCAGTTGCTGTCTTTGCTTTGTGTCAAATTAATTTTGTGCATTTTATTTATAGGGGGAAAACGGTATTCACATATGTTTGCTTTTGCTAACATACTGTGGGTCTACATCATATGCTATAAATTCAATGTTACACGCTTTGAGCCCCAGGTCACACGTTATATATGTGTATATATTCTATGTTTATTACTATCCATAGTATATAAAAATGCGCACTCTTCTTTTATTAAAAACCATTTTGAAATAATAATTAAAAACTTTCATATAGCATTTTTATACATGTGCAGGTTTATTTTTGAAAATAAATACATGGTGTATTTATTACTATCTTTTTTTATCAAAATGCATGTTTTTTTGTATGCTCTTTTTTTTGACAAAAAAATAAATAATGAATGAAAAAAGGAAAAAGAAATTCTTCACATTCAACCCTTTTTAGTTAGTTATTTCCCTTTTTTTTTTTTTTTTTTTTTTTTTTGGTATTTTCTCAATATTTCCTCGTTGCACACTTTTTTATGCGTGTAAATAAACTTAGTGTGTTTTTATTATTTACCATTACACTATAGTCTAAATGTTTTTTTTTAATTCTGTTTTCCCCTTTTTTTTTACCTGTTCATTTAATATGATACTTATGTAGCAGTTGCTTTACAGATTAAAAAAAAAAAAAAAAAAATCCTTTTTTTTTTTTTTTTTTTGTAATAATTTCAACGTGATTGAAGTAATAATAATAAATGATCTTGTGATTATCAGTTGAATATCCTATTAATGCTTGAGGCATATGCATGCAAATCTCCCTAAGAAGGGTTTGTGCATTTTTATTATTTAACATTTATTTTTGTTTTTCCACCTTTTTAAAACTCCTCCAATCTCCTTTTCCAATCTATATACTTTCTTATAAATTACATTTTATTTGCTCCTAATTTTAAATGGGGTTATTTAATTCAACTTTTTATCTTTTAAATTTATTCTTAATTCTTGAGCTTTGTTGTGATGAAATTGCACCACGTTCTTTTACTGCATTAATTAAATCACATCATTTTAGCATCCCTCTTAACAGATTCTTCTTGGTTGTTCATTTCTTCACAGAATTTTAAAAAATAGTCATCTGATTCTAAGGTATTATTCATATCATCCGATTTGTTTTTATGTATTAATGTTTGATAAGGTGCGAATGACACAAGAGCTTTGTATTTCACACCATTTAAATCATAAAAGAATTTTCCATGCTGTGTTTTGATGAATTCTTTTGTTTTCAAATCATCCTTAAAGGATAAATACATTCGTGAATATATTATATCATCAGCTGGATTCTTTGGTATAGATCCATTAACATAATAATAATAATCTAATTCATCTTTGAGGTTAGTAGAGAAAGAATCGAAAAAATTGTCTTCACTTAAAGTTGGTGGTAAATGTCGTATGATAATTTTTTTTTTATTTACACAAGATTGTTCCTTTTTTAGTAAACTTATCAATATATTTTCTTTTTGTTTTAATAAATTTTCATTTCTCGATTTTTCATCATGTCTTAAATGTTCTTTGTTATATTTTTCAGAATAGCTATTACTGTTTATATTATAATTTGTTTTATTCTTTGTTATTTTATCATGTCCTTCTGCTTCTTGTTTTTTTGAATTAATAAATTTTCTATTGCATTCATAATATTTTATGTCTTCATATTTTTTTTTCCTTTCACTCGTGTTTTTTTTACTATAATCTTCGCGTTTTGTTGGTTCTTTGCTTGCTTCACTGGGTTCTTTTTTGTGCTTATCCTTGTTTTCATTTACTTTCACCTTTTGTAATATTTTATATGGTCTTACACCACTTGAATACATTTTTTTTTATTTTAATATTTTTATTGGTTTCCTTCACAATGACGAAATGAATTATACTAGGGGTATACATGTGTTTACGTTATTTGTATATGTTTAATGTATACGTAAGTATTTGTATTCTTATATATACAATTAAGTCATCCCTTCGAAAATCAGACTACAAAAATATGCGCCTAACTTACATTTGCAAAAGGCCTATATTATTATACATACATGATGCATTTTATTTCTTTTTATTCATTTTTACAAGCGAACATTTTTTTTTTTTTTTGGGGGGGGGAAGGAGGGTTTATGGGGTGGAACAGGGAACAAAATTAAAGGAATTATGTATTGTGCGTCATTGTTCTTGCTATAACTATTTACATGCCCAATTATGCGACAAAAAAATATCTTTTTATTTTAGTGCAAAAGATTGTTAAAAATGTGTATATATATATATATATGTGTGTATACATAGATGTATATATATTTCAAGCTGTTTTGCTTGAAAACATGTTTTCTAAGCAGTTTACTGAAAATAGATTAATTTCAGAAACAAGTTTCATGCTTACAAAATGTTTTTTACTTTAAACAGATCTATAAAAAATGTTATGGAAAATGCTAACGTTCATTTTTAAAATGAAAAATGTTCAAGTGCGAAAAGGTATAAGCTATACAGAACAAGAATTAACTTATTTAAAAAAAAAAAAAAAAAAAAGGAAAAAAATAGTATGATGATGATGCAAATCAGTGGAATTACTTGAGAAATTCTCCTTTGTGCTCATTTTTTTGTACTCATTATATTCGTATTTATATTATATGCGTGTTTTGATTTATATTTTTTAAGAGATTTACAAATACATACATTTTTACATGATAAAGTGATTTAAAAAGAAAAAAAAAAAAAAAAATATTGAAAATGTGAGAAATTGCCACTTGTAGAACGGTTACATACATGTTGAACATATATATGTGTTATCCACATATGTGAGACCTTGGTACAATCTTGTGAATATAATTCCCGTCCTGCTGTCTCATCAAAAAACACTTTGCAAAAAAGAAAAATGAATTGCATAAAAGTAGTAATTAAAATAAGGAAGGGTGCTCTATAATGATAGCAGCACACTTTCTTTTTTTTCTCAACTTCAAATGCTCTTTTCTTTAAGACACATCATGCTTATCAATAAAGGCATATGGATCAAAGTTTTAATTTGTTCAGCAAATTGTGCTTATATGAAAGATTGTGAAACAACGTATTTACTAAAAACACACCACTGCAAACACATTTTTTGCACAAAGAGAGTAATTTTATTTGTTTTTTATAAAAATTTTTAAAAATAAAATAAAACAACTTTTAAAGGATAAAATAAATTATTTGTGAAATATTTTTTACCCACCTTTTCACATATTTCACCAATTTTTACATGAATAAAGGAAAAAAAAAAAAAAGAAACACTTAAATTATTTCCCAGCCTTTCCCATCTTAAATAATGTTAACATTCTTTATGTTCAGTAACAATAGCAGCCAACTATTGAAAAAAAAAAAAATTTTTTTTATTCCTTTTTTCATTTCACTTAATATCATATCAAACGTACTGTACATTACAGAGTAAACAAAATAGAATGTATTATAATTATGATTTTACACCATATACAACTGCGTCACCTGAATTTTTTTTCTTGTATAAACAAATCCAACGCTTTTTTCATCTGTTTAATTATTATCCATTCATAAATAAGATTCGGAGACATTGTTATATTTGTTTTAAAAAACTCACAAAATGTGTCACCTCCCATGTCTTCACACACTTAAAATAACTATGGATTACATATATACATACATATATATATATAACCCAATTATGCTGTTCAAAAGGAAGAATTTCACATGCACTAGAAACATTTGTATATAAAGCACAAGAAGTAATTTAAAACGGCTCTCATAAATTGAAACAAGTTTGTTAAATAACTCTCTAGAATGTGTAAGTATATGACATAAAAAATGTGTGCATAATCATTTAAGTCTTACATATGCAAGAATATGAGTACACTATTTCGCACACCTTACCTGTGTAAACAACTGATAAATTGATATTTTGCTGATATAACACATAGTTGTTTTTCTAATTTTCACCATTTTCTATTATCCTAAATTTGTGTGAAAGCCAGCAAATTTAAAGTGCACATTGTTCGTACATGTGCATGATGTTACATGTAATATAGTAATAAATTGTAATTTAGTTTTCGTTTTCAAGTTGAATAATATAAAAATAAATAACATTTATACTAAGTTACGCTATCACCGCTGTATATTGTTTTGCTCACGTATTTCCTAAGAAAAACGCAAGTTAACTCCATTGTTTTCGCATGCTCCAAAAAATAGAAAAAAAAAATAAAACAAAATAAATCATGGTCATGTAAAGACTACAAAATTGGTAAGCAATTTGTTGACATTTATAACTTAATTCTTACATAAACACAAAATTAACAAATATGTAAAATAAGCAATTTTATCAATTTTTTTTTTTCGTTAAAACATATATAATATGAAAACCAGAACAAATGGAAAACCCTTTTTTCTTGCATGAACACTTTTAAAGTAGTTCAAACAGGAATAATAAAAAATATGTACATGAAAGAATTATTACATCTAGAATTAAAAAGGGCTAAAAGAACACAAGTGATTTATGTACGCCAAAACATATTGAACCTTTCACCTTATATATATATTATGTTTAAAAAAAAAAAATTCTACTTTTTTGAAGCTAAGAAGCATAATGAAATTTGTCAATATAGAAAGTTAAAATCCACTGAGGAAAATACCAGAAATACATGGTAACCCCAAGTTAAGCTAATTAAGAGCACTTACATAATATTTATTTACGTTCATGTAAATAGTTTCCAGTACCCTTCATAGACTTTTTACAACGTAAAATTTTAAAAATTAGTTTATTGTGTAATAATACATTACAATAATGATATACAAAATTTATAACAATTATTCCCGGAAGCTTCATGAACACAGCGATAAATTTATAAAATATTTAATTGATAAAAATAAATCTGTAAGCATTTATCAAGAAAAAATTCAGAAAAGTGCATATTCCTTACACGAAACCTCAAAGCAGAGTAATTTTAATGAATACCCAATAGTTTTGAACTATGAAAAGCAAAGGCACAATGGCAAAAGAAGTAATACGAAAGTTAAAGCGATTTTATTTGCCAATATATTGGGTTTAACTGTGCATTCAAAGAAAGACGAAAATTTAGAAAATAAAGATATGATTATTAAAAAAAATGAGTTTAGTTTAATAAATAATAAAGGCAAACTGTCTACAAATATTAAAGATACCAATAACTTAGAATCAGATTCTGTGAACACAGGAAGGAACATAAAAAAATCAAAAGATGACAAATATGAATATTACCAAGAATTAAGTGAATATAGCAACATGCAAATATTCTCTAGCAATAGTCACCATGAATTAGCAAATGAAATATGCTCCAATTTAGGAATAGGCTTAGGTAGAGCTTATGTCGGGAAATATAGTGATGGAGAAATAGCTCTTCAAATAATGGATGAAGTTAGAGGTAGGGATATATACATAATTCATTCAACTCCAGCGGGTGGGAAAGATATACATGCACGTTTAATGGAATTATTTTTATTCGTTTCAACATTAAGGAGATCTTCTGCAAAAAAAGTTACCGCGGTTATACCTTATTTAAATTATTCTAGACAAACTAAACAGTTAGATGATTTCAATTATGTTCATTCATTGGGTGCACCAGAAATAGCCATTTTGTTGCAAGCGTGTGGTGTTGATTCAATTATTTCAGTTGATTTACATAACCCGCGAATCGAGGGATTTTCTACAGACGAAAAACTTTTCCAACCCCCATTAATGAATATTAATCCCCAATCCTTAGCTGTGGAATACTTTAAAAAAAAAAAACTACAGAACCCAGTTATTGTATCGATTGACAATGATGGAGCAGAAAGGACAAAGGAATTCTGGATTCGAATGAAAAATCATTCCATTAATGCAGGTTTTACAACCATTGTTTCTAGTTCACACAATGAAATGAATAGTAGAGAAGGACATCCAAGTAATGTTGAAAATGAGCTCAAGAACACTTCCAGCAACAAATATATGAATATATTTAATCAAGAAAAAAAAAAAAATAGTACCACTAACCCCCTAAAAAATTTAGAAAATAAAAATATGAATCAAAAAAATTCAAATTCATTTGAAAAAGAGAAATTTACCATAGTCGGAGATATTAAAGGGTGCGACTGCATTTTGGTAGATGATATTCTTGATACTGGTGAAAAATCTAAAAAAGTAGCCGCTATTTTAAAAAATGCTGGAGCGAGCAAAATATATCTCTATGCTACTCATGCTATCTTATCTGATGGATGCATTGAAAAGATTAATGAATCCTGTATTGACGAAGTTTTAACCACAAACACTATACATATTCCAAGCAATATATGCTGTGAAAAGTTGCACATTTTGTCAGTTGCCAAATTAGTTGCTGAAGGAATAAAAAGAGTTCACAACGAACAGTCGAAGAATGCAATGGAAGATTTCTCAGATGGGGAAGTAGAAATGCAAGAAAAATAACTTTTTATTTTTTTGAAAAAAAGGTTATATTAACCTAATTTAATTATATAAGAGCCAAATAAAGGTTAATATATAACTCAACACACGATTACTTTTTTTTTTCCTCGTTTAATTACAAGTATTCTTTATAAAAAGAAATACATACCCCCTTTTACACCATTGTAATGTACATACTATAATGTCTATAATTAAAAGACCATTTAAAAAGTTACATCTAATAAAGCAACACATTTATTTATTTTTACTTGTATATGCCCCCTTTTTATTTTAAAATACACTTATTTATTTGTTCTCTATTTCATATTTATATTTACATGTGTATTAGTTTATCGTATTTTGCCGTATTCATGAACAAAATTATATGTTTAATTATTCAAATAATAGAAACAAAAATTTTAACTTCACAGTATGAAAACAGCCCCTAATTTTAATTACAAAATTAAACAATTCAAGAAATTGCTAAAAAATTCAAAAGACTACATTTTTTTCATAATATTATTTTTATAATAAGAATAAGTGAGGTGTTATGAAAATATATTATTGTAATTTCCATTTTTCATAATTACATTTGTTTTCATATGAATAAATTTTTTTGTCTCAATTTTTTTTTTTTAAGGAATAGTGCACTTGCAATTTTTAAACTTTAAGCTTATACTTATTTTCCAAAATTTTATAATACACAAGTGTTAATTGGCATGAAATGATTTTTTTTTTTAACACTTTTACATGATTTTATCTTAAACATCTGCACTGATATGGTTAAATACTGTCCATATGCGAAGATATGTTCAATGAGCGTGTATTTAATTTGGCATTTATACGGTACAAATAAAAACAGTAAGTACTTCTAAATATAGGACAGTAGACGTTAACATCTATTTCTGCATGTTATATTTTTTTTAAGTCAAATTTTTAGCTTCATATATTTATGAGTCATAATATCATTAAATCCGCTAGTTCAAATGAATTCTCATTTAAGTAAGACAAATTCGCAAAAAATGTATGTATAGGAATCTCACGTTTTGCATTTCAATTTAGTACACTATCATTTGTAATAAATTTGCTTTTACGTTTTATGTAGTTTATTTTAAGAAACGAGTGCTTTTATTATTTCACCACATATCCATTGAATTGAACTATTATTTCTCTTTAATCTATACCATATACAAATGAATTTTGACGATTTTGTTAATATTGTATATGGAAAGAATGTATTTGAGGATGAAAATTCACATTACATTAGGGAACACATTTTTCCCTATTTACTACCTGTAATTACCTAATACCATGTTCTATAATGAAGCATTAATTATTTCCCATATTTAATTAACATTATTATTTGAGACCACTTTAATTTGTTTATCCCTCCATTTTATAGGCGCTAGAAAGAGTACTGTAAAGGATGCTTAAATAAAAATTTGTGAATCAAGCTCTTGAGTAAAATACAATTATAAGTACCCCCTTTTCTTTTTTTCTTCTATATATATATATGCAGTTACTTGCTTTAATAAATAATGAAAAGGAGAAACACAAGAATTCTGATGTATTCTATGGGTGTGAAGAAAAAGAACCACAGCTGACTATCTTATACGGAGAAAAGTAATATAAATGTATTCATATAAGAATCTTATCTAATGGATATTATTGATAAAAAGTGTTTATGTTTTTTATAACAATTTTCCTTTTTTTTTTTTTTTCTTTGTTCCTAGGACTGACAAAATATTGGTGAGGAAAAAAGATGTCTATTTGCTTTTATAACTTTTCCAGTTGTGTGTATAGTCTCAACATAATGACTTCTTTTTATCATTTTATACTAAATATAGCCATGCTGTGCATTAGAAGATATTTTAATTTGTTTAAATTCCATTTATTACTGAATTCACTGTATATTGTATAGACGAAAACTTTATAAAAATTATATTACATAAAAGCATGAATTTATTTAGCTGGCTAACATGCTAGTTGCACACCTGAAAACTGTACATATTATTAGAATCATTTAATATTACATTAAAGCAAAAAAAAAAAAAAAAGAAGTGTAATAAAATGAGCACTTTTCCCTTTAAATAAATGCATAGAACAAATAGATATCCTCCGCGCATAAATATAGAAATTCTCGGATCTACAAAATTACATGAAAAGAAGCAAAATTTAAGTTTTATTTTTATATTTTTCGTGTTACATTTGTAAACAAAATTTCACAACTAATTTAAGTTTTCATTTCTCCTGTTTTTTGAATACATTCATAATACATAAATTGTAATTGTCGGACGTGCTTTTTTGTTATGTAGGTTCTGAAAAAATGCGCAATGATCAACCCTATTTTGGTACTTCGTGAATATATTATAGAAGAATACAACAAAAAGAATGAAGGTGAAAAAATATATGAATAAAAAAATTACTAAAATTATTCTCCCCAATAATATATGCAATTAACTTCAATGTTTTGCAATTGCATGTGTAAGAAGTGACTGTTATAGTAGCTCTATATTTACTCCATTTGATTATTTAATCATTACTGTTGTTACACATTCTCTGTTTACGAAGCTTTATTTTTACATCATAATTTTTACAAATCTTAAAAAAATAACTAATTAAATGTAACTTTAGTAAAAGTATATGTTATATAATAATTGTCAAATTTTCTTGGGGTTTATTGAAAATTGTATGATATCTTGCATGATATTTATTTCACCAATTGAAATATCTAAGCTTTTATAAATCTTTCGAATTTTTTTATATATAGAACTTAGATAGTTTGCAATGAATAATTTACAATCAAATAAATTTGCACTTAAAAAAAACCTTTAATGCTGTTAAGTTTTACAGAAATATATATTTTATACTATGTTTTTTTTCTTCAATATTATTACTTGTAGACATATGTACAGCATTTTCCTTATTTTAAATTTTCTGCTCGTTTAAACCATTCTATATTTTATGTAAAATGTTAACATGTTTTTATGCGTACAAGATACAATATGGTGATCAGCTGTATTTTATGAGTTTATTGCTAAATATGAATAGCATTACCCTAACACCTGGATTATATGAATATAATTTAACTGTGTTCTGTTATCTAGGATATTATAAATTGTGTGCATAGAACTAAAGTAATAAAGAAAACTTTAACACATGTTCTTTCGGCTAAAATTGTCTTCTTAAAATGCTCAAAAATATCATTGGTTTTATAAAATTTTATTAAGGATACCATAAATTTTTACGGGATTAAAACTTAAATCCAGAGCATTTCATTCCATTACTTTACCGAGTTTTCATGTAAATGTAACGACTGCTGTTTTGGACGTTACTACATTGTGTGGTACTTCATAAAATTAATTTTTTACGAAAAAAACTTTATGTTGTTGTGAACTCACAAATTTACAATTGTTATTGAATGGAAAAAGGATGAATCTCATAAGATACGCTACGATAAAAGCATGGGAATTATGTAATATAATGTTCTACAATTATACTTAATAAGTTTATTTTTTAGAATGTCTAAATAAAAAAAATAATATGCAATAACTACATCGTCTAAACTTTATTAATAACATAGATAATCATTAAAGATACTTTTAATCAAGCATTCATAAAAAAAATTAATAAATGCGAATTAGTGTATGAAAACTAATTTACTTTAAGCTATTATGACGAAAAAAAAGAACGCAAATTATATATAATGTTGCAGGTAAGTGATAATAGCATCGTGGTTCCTTCCCCCTTTTAGTTTACAGTAATAATGCATAGAGATGCTTTTTTAAAGCGTCATTTACTTGAAAAATGTGAATAATATACGTCTTTTGTCATTTAATATAGATTAATTTTATGCCATTTCATTGAAATAACTTTTAAAACTTTGTAAAATCAATATTTTAATATTATGCCAAAACTTTATGGTTTTTAGAAAAATTATAATGATATAAAAAAATAAATCTATAAATAAAAAATACGGAGAAATACTAAAATATATATTTATAAAATTATAAGTCCAAAAAAGTTATTGGAAAAATAATAGATAAGAAAGAAAAAAGACATGTTAATTAAAGAAAAGTGCCAAATGATAAACATGTTGTATTAAATAAATAAATATATATATATATATATATAATAAATACATTAATTTAATAACATTTAATTTAATAAGTAATATATATATATATATATATAATTTAATAAATATTACTTAATTTAATATTCAAATAATATTTATTAAATAATATAAACATGTTTAATTTAATAAATAATAATATAAATAATATTTAATTTAATAAGTAATATATATATATATAATTTAATAAATATTACTCAATTTAATATAAAAATAATATTTATTAAGTAATATAAACATGTTTAATTTAATAAATAATAATATAAATAATATTAAATTTAATAAAAAATACAAATATAATAAACACATTTATTAATTGTTTAAATAAATATTTTATAAAATAAATATTAAATTTTAATTTAGCAAACGTAATTAATAAATAAGATATACCACATTAAAATTTAAAAATTAATCTTTATTATTTTTAAGTATATATATAATAATTTAAATTATTAAGTAACTATTAATAATTTTTATAAATATATATATATATATATATTAATTAAATTTAAATTACTTAATATTTTAATAATTAAATATTAAATAAATAAATAAATGAATATTTTTTAATTATATATAATTAAAAATACAACTAAAAAATATATATGTGATAATATATTATATTAAATAATTATAATCATCTTATAATTATAAATAAATTAAATATTTATTAATTCTTATATCTTAAAATATAAAAATAAATAATTATATTATTTATGTGTTTAATAAATTAATATATTTTTTAAAATTATTTAATTATTTACTTTAAAAACACATAATTATTAATAAATAACTAATAATATTTTTAAATTGTATATTATCATTTCATTTAATTAATATTTTAAATTATTGTTTATAATATAATTAAAGAATTGTTAATAATTATTTTTAATTTATAATTATATTTGTTTATATATTAAATATATTAAAATTAATTTAATTCTTAAATATATATTAAACAAATTAATTTAATTATTTTAATTATATATTATAAATGACGTTTTAATTAAAATAATTTATATATTTTTATTTTAACATTTTAATTATATTCATTATTTAATTAAATTATATTTATATATTACCTAACATTTATTACGATTACAAATATTTATTTTATTAATATTTTAAATAATTTTTATTAATTTATCTATTGAAATAAATAATTGCTATTATTTTATTTAATTATGAAATATTTGTTCTTTTTTCTTTTTTTAATTATGTAATTATTATTTATTTTATTATTTATATATTGTTTAATTTAATTAAATTATTTTCTTTATTTATTATTTTAATATTATTTGTACATTTTTAAAAAATTTATATTTTATTAAAGAATTTTCTTTATATTTTAAATTGTTTTATTAATTAATTATTTTTATTTAATGCATTTATTTTTATTTAATTTATTTTATTAATTAAAATATATATATATTATTTTAATTTCATATATTTATTATATGAATCATTTAATTTATTATATGTTTAAAATATAATTTATTTATTTTATTGTAATACATTTTAATTTATATTATATTAATTATTTTTATTTTTAAATTCATTAATAATTTAATTATAATACAATTCATCTATTATATTAATTTATTTATTTTTAAAATTTATTAATAATTTATAATTATAATGTAATATGTTTATCTTTTAATTGATTTATTTTATTAAATTAAATTTATTATATTTAAAATATTTTTTATTTATTATTTAATTTATTTATTTCATTATTTACAATTTATTTATTATATAATTTAATATATTTTATTCAATATATTTAATTAGTATATTAAATTATTGTTTTAAAATTTATTTAAGTGTTCGTACTTATCACAGGTTTATTTTAAAATTATGTATTTATATATATGCTAAAAATAAGCCGTACTTTGAATTAAATTAATGTTCTTAGAAAATAAAAGCTCTATTTTAAATTATATTTATTTTCGTAAATATACTTTTATTTCATCCTAATTTTAAAGGCTAATTAAAAACATGAAGCATTTTTTTTTTTTTAAATTATATACTTTATATAAATATTTTATTTCCTATATATAGACATAATTTATGAATAACGTGGCATTTATTTTTAGAAATAAAGACTTTAATGATTATTACGGAGAAAGGATTAAAAATGTGGAAAACCACATCTAATGCTCTGTATAAAATTCTAAAATAGAAATAAATCAAGTTCAAAAAAAAATGATGAAGATGTGTTTTTACAACAATTTCACAATTATTTTAACAGTAACAAAGTGCTTTTTTTTTTAAATTTGTATTTATTTATATTTGTGGTAGTTTCATACTTTATCTTGCAATCAGAACACAACACAAAAGAAATTCATTATAACTGAAGGATTCTTGATTTATTCTTTTACTACTTATTCATTAATACACAGCTATGCTATTTAGTGCTTTAAAATCATCTTTACATTTACAGTTTAAAAATATTTGAGAAAGTTTTTGCATAAAGTATGAACTCTTACATACAATGCATTAAATGTTAAGCTGTTGTCTTTACTACACATTTTAGTATTTATGTTCTACATTTTTTGTGGATGTTATGGTAGTAATTACATATATAAACCCTTGAGGTAAAATACTCGAAATCATTAACAAGGGGTCCTTTACATAAATTTGAAAATCCAAGCTTCATTTTTCCACGTTCAGATAAAGATTGCCTTTAATTTCTCAAATTAGAGAATTTTAATTAACGTAAGAAAAATACCTCTCAAATGCATAAACACATTCTCAGTAAAAACTTAATTATCATAATGAGTAATGCATGTGACAAATAAAATATACACAAATTTAAAATTAGTTACATGCTTCTTTTATGTCTATATAGCCGATTAAATCATGATTTATAATCAGCAATATGATGATGTATTCAGGGTGAATATATCCTATGTTACAGTATTCTTATCGCATGTTAACATTTTTGAAATGCATAAGATGAGCCCCATTTAAGAATTGTTATTCAATTTTATGATAAGCTGTCAGGTTAAAAGACAAATGGTAAAAATACTCAAGCTTTAACCTTATTATATTTCTCATACAACTTAAGGTCTATACGTAAATCTTTATGTCAAAAATATTATACCAAAAATCCATAACAATGACAATTTATGATTAGCATCACTTTACATTTTTTACGAAAAAAGTTTACTACAAAAGCAAAATTTAATATAGAAAAGTTAATGCATATGACAAATGTATAAATAACAAAAATAAGAGCCATGAACGTTTACAGCAGCTTTAAAAATATGTTCACATATGACTTAAAATATATTTTTTCATTTATCATATATGTCTAATTAATAACTGTTTTCTAGTTATTATACTTTTTAGATGAAGTGCTTTATTTGTTCAAAGAGTGGGTGTATAAAACAATATATAAAAAAAAAACTTTAATAAAGAGCTTAATATCTATATAGAGAGTTATCTTTGCACTTAAGGTTCTCTAAGCCTATTATTATATTAAATTTTAAACATTGTAAAAAGTTCATATTGTTATGCATTATGCTATACTAGGAATCGGGAAGTCTTAAAACGCTAACATTTTTAACACAAAAATGGCGTGACGTTTTTACGCTTGTTTATGTTGAAACACAAAAAATATGATTTCTTCACACACCTTCGTTTACTATTATCTACCTAATACGTTAAAAGATTGTGAACAATGCTGCCTTAAGCTCTCATGAAAAAAAGCGTCTCAAATTGAGGAGACAATAAAAAAAAGTTTTTTACTTCTATAAAATGCTTGTCTGGAAAATTAAAAGCATATATTTAAAAGGTCGATTGTCAGATATTTCAGTTACTTTTTTTTTTTTTTTGCCTCGTAGATTGTATTTCTCCTTTATTGTATAAAAGTCTCATACCTCTTGCTTAACTTTATCCGATCAAAAGCAATATTCTTAAATGAAAATTTGTACAATATATATTTTCCAGAATGTATGTTAATAATTTACGCAAGACGTGCTTGCGTTTTTTAAAATATACTTTTACTATAAAATTATGTAAATTAAAAAAAGGAAAACATCGTATATAAATTATTAAATATGTCCATTTATTACCAAACTGTAATTACATAAAGATATTCAATATAAAGGGGCATATTTTATGTAATGAACGCTTTGGGAAATCAATTGAGTGATTTTTATTATCGCTATCAGCAACTATATGTGATGAAAAATGCAGCATCTGTTATTTTTACATTTTCATTCTAGCATTTGTTTTCTAATAAAAAATGAAGAGTTTACTAATGTTTTTAGTCTGTCAAACTCTAACCTTTTATGCAAATTTAAATGATCACTTCTTCATCATATTATGTAGGAAAAAAATTGGGAAGCAAAAATATAATAAATTATTTTTGGGGTGTATTTAAAAAAATACTTAAAATAATGTGTACTTTACGAACTAGGAAAAAACATTTTAAAAGTTATTAGTTTAACTATTTACATAAACTTTACGCTAAGTTTATCTATTGCACGATTCCTAAATAATACAAATTATATATTTGAACATAAGGGATTCTGTTAATAATATGTATTGTAATTGTCTATGTGACTTAACATTGTTAGGTATCTTACTTTATGCATTTTCATTTCTGTTCTTTCATTGAACAAATTTACCTTAGGAACATACAGTTATCACCTTATTACAATCACCCTTTTAGTAGAAGTATAAAAACACTATAAAAGGTGTCTGTTAGAATTATTCTTTTGCATATAAAAACAAAATTAACAAGGGGATAAAAAAGGTAAATTCTTCAGATATCTATGTAACATATTTTTTGGAATGTGCTGTAGATACATCGTCATTGTAAAAATCGTAGAGGTAACTTTACGTAAGCTCTTTTACTTTTTTTGGAAACATCAAATTTATTCGATTAATTAAAATCGTCATGTTTTACTTTTTTTTTTTTTTATATGTCAGGTTGATAAACTAAAGCAAAATAATGATCAATGGGTAAAGAAATGGTATATTCAAAATGAACCTTTGGGAAATGTGGCGCACCTTATGTTTGTGTTTCATGTAAATTTCAATGTGTAAAGGTTATTTATTCATAAAATTTGCAGGAGATGTGTATCTTATGTTGAAGAGAACTATTTGTTTTTACCTTAAAAGGAATAATTTTCACATGACAGTCAATTGTAGAAAATTAGAACATGTTTCATTAGAATATGCCACTATCACCCTCTAATGTAAAGTTCAGGCTAAGCGTTAGGATTTTTTTTGAACAACATTGACCTTCAATTGAAATTATACATTACAATTTAAATTTTGAAAAAGCGAAAATAAGATATCTTATTTTGTCGAAATGTGTATATATTTAAATTTTTTAAGTGAAAGTATCATTATTCATTTATTTTTAAACTTTACATTTTAAGGATGTTTTTTTTACGTCCCTTCAAGAAAATAAAAGAGTGCAATTTTAATATAGCACAAAAATTCTTTGTTTTTGTGAAATCTTTTAAACTCGTATTAATAGTGCTTGTTGTATTTATGTTAAAATAGCATGTGCCAAAATGTAAAAAAGAAAGACTGGAAAAATTATGTATAGCATATATATGCAGTGAAACTAATAGGTGAGTGAAGTTTACATTTTCCTATAGAGATAAGAACAAATATAACACCTTTTTAAAAAACTTACAATCTATATTAATTACCTAGCACATGCGGGGATTTATCATGGCCCTTTTCACAAAATTGTCTCATACACGGAAGCACGTGTAACAATAATTGATATGTAACAATGCTTACATACGTACATATACTATAAGCGTATTTCAAGTGTAATCATTTTGTTATTTATTCAAATTTAAATTTTAAAAGGTAGAAAAAAATGTTTTTAGCAAACAGTATTCAATATTGTTTTTAATAAATAAATAAAAATATATATCATACATTGACTTAATCAAGGAAAAGAAACTACTTGAAATATTTTATTAATTCATAATACAGAAAAAAAAGGTATGGGCATGTCGTAAAAAAATGTATATAAAAAAAGTACATGTACGTATAAAAATATGCACTTTTGCAAAAATAACAATAAAGAAATTTGGGGTGCGCTTACATAATCATAACAGAATACATGATTAATAATTTAAAAATGTCCATGGACTAAATATTAACAAGGCTTTTGCTTAAAAAAGAAAATACAGGAAGGAAAAAAATAAAATAGTGCAAGTAAAAGGAGAAAAAAAAAGAAAAGAAAAAATATGTATATATAAACACGAATAAAGAGAGGAAGACCACAATTAGTTCATTCTAAGACCTATAACATTTTAATGTTATATTTTTGCGCTCCCATAAAATATTGATACATTTAATTAAGGTTTGAACATAGATAATGTTGTAAGAATGCATGAGGATTATTTTATTCCCTAGTTTTTTTTTTTTTTTTTTTTTTTTTTTAAAGCCGTTTAAGTTTTTTTTACGTATATTTCTACATTTGGGGGACATATTTTACCCATTAAATGCTTTTTTACTTTTGTCTAGAATAATTTTTTAAAAACAGAGGTAGCCATTTTGAAAGCACTATACGATGAAGTTTCGCTTGTTCTGCTTGAAGGAGGTTCTACACTTCCCTTATTGCAGTGTCCTTTGCTATTTTCTGAATACTCAATAGATGTGTTGTCATCTTGGCATATTTTATTTATATATCTTCTAATTTTTCTATTTTCATCAATGCTAATGTTGCTATTGCTTGATCTTTTGGAATTAAAAGTGCTTGTCGAATTATCAGTATTTTTCTTTTTCGAATGAAATGACATGTTATTTTGAATTTTTTTTTCTAGCATATTTTTTTTATCAATGTTTTGTTGCGTTGTCTTTAGTGCGTTCATGTCTTCCATATCATTTCCCATACTTTTTTGAGGTTCTCCAGTGGTGCACCCATCATTCATTTTTTTTTTTTTTTGTGTTGTAAAGTAATTTTCCGAATTTTTATTGAGAAAATATTCTGCTATGATTTTTCCGCTTTTTCTATTATCACATTTATTTGAATTATTTTCATATTTGCATTCAAAAAGGTTATAATTGTTCTGATTGCCTGTGTCATTTTCATCGCTGTTCTTATTGTCATTTTCGTTATGGTTATCATCACTGTGTTCTGCACGTGTTTCTTTAAATTTATTCATATTTTTTTCTTTTAATTCTCTTGTGGGTAATTTTTTTTTATTTTGTTCCCAAATGTTATGTTTTGATAAATTGTTTCTAAAAATACTATCATATTGTAGTTCATTTATTCCCAACTCTTTGCTCGAGAAGTTATTCATATTCTTTGAAGAAAAATTTATTTGGTCCATGCCATAATAACTTTTATCTACAAAATTTTTTTTAGTGAAAGGTCCTCCTATTCCTATATTGTCATTTCCTTTATTCCCTATATTATAATCCATACTAGGAGTGCTGTTGTTATCAGCGTGATTCCTGTTTTGGTTAAAATTTTGTTCATACATTCGTATATTGCTAAATATGTTCATATTCACATTACTATTCCCATTTCCGTACTTGTTCCCCCCTATGTCCATATGATGAAAAGGTTGCATGAAATCACTAATGGCTCCTTTGTGAAAAAAGTTACCGCTTTTGTTTGAGAAGTTCTCATTAATCCTTGCCATGTGGCCCATGCTGCTATTTTCATTATTATCATTGTCATACGTTCTCAAGTCGTATACATTTTTTGTGCACTTGAATTCGTATATACCGTTGTCGTGGTTTTTGTTGCTGTTGTTGTTGTTGTTGTTGTTGTTGCTGTTGTTGTTGTTGTTGTTGTTGTTGCTGCTGCTGCTGCTGTAACAGGTGTGCTCATTCATTTGAAGGTTTTTACGTATCCTTTCCGAAGCACTGTCCAGTTTGTCCATTTCCATTCCACTAGTGGGAACATATGTTGCCTCTGCTTGGTTTTTGCTTCTTATATTATCATCTGGTGGGCCGAATGTGCCTTTATGAAAAATAGAGGTGGAATCATTTCCTTCAGCTGAGTCTCTAGAATCAAAGCTATTCAAATTGTTGTTATTGTAAATATTGTCAGAATTAATCATAGAAGAATTTAAGAAATAAAAATTATCTGAATTCTTAACAGACTTTTTAATCGAATTGTTTTTTCTTGTTTTTTTCGGAGATGCAAAAAATTTAATAGTATTGTCCTTATTTTTAATGTAATCATATGCTGTGTTACTACAATTGTATTTGTTGTCTATGTTGTTCCTATACAATGATGTATTCACAGTCATAATGGGTATAACATCATCTTCGTAATTTTTGTTATGATGCACACTCTTCTTTTTTTTTGTTGAAAAAATATTAGGATAATAGGAGCTATCGCGATTATTTTTCTTAGTTTTGAGCGCGCTTGTGCGCATGTCCATATTCATTCTCATATTCATATTCATACATGGATCATTCGAAAATTTGTTATTATTCTGAGAAGATGAGTACACATATCTGTAGGCGTTTTCAGAATCCCCTTTCGTTTCCATGTGCAACCCGCATGATGATGCAGCAGGCTTTGCATCTGCACTGTCCCCATTGTTGTTGATGGAAGACATTTTATTTTGCTGTCTCAACATTTCATCCCTCTCCTTTAGCATTTTTTTTTTTTTTTTTAAGAGTTTTTTTTTTTTTTTGGACAATTTTTTTCGTTTCATCAAGTTCTGATGAAACATGAGATGCTCACATCCGCTTGCTCTTTTTCTAAAGGAAACTTGCTTATCTTTATTTTTCAGCTCAGCGTTATTATTAACCATAAATCTATCTTTAACAGAATGGCTAGTTGGTTCTGCATCTTCTTTCGACTTGTTGTAACATAAATTTGTGTATATAACCCTCGAATCATTCCATGCGTAATACGAACTAGGGTCCAAAGTTGGGCAATAGCAAACTTCAATATCTGCAACCTTATCAGTCATATTTAGGTATTCATTATTTGTGCTTAAATACCATTCCAGTTCTTCATATAGTAGAGGGTCACATGCCCAATTCAATTCTATGTTGGTTTCTTTACTCCATCTTTTTTTTAAATAAGAATGTACTTGTGGCCATTCTTTATCCGTTATTTTGTCATTAAGGTTATTAATTACTTTCTGTTTTGCTAATATTCTTAGTAATGAATGAGATTTACGGCTATTTCTTGACACAAATTTGTTATATACATCTTTATCAAAAACTTCATCAAAATCTAGTAAACTTGGTGCAGACCCGAATATAGTAAAGGGATTAAAACAACTTTGTTCTTTCAATCTTTCAATTATTTTTTTTTTGCTATACCATTTGGGATGATATAATTTTATATTTGTTACATTTGTTATGTTACTTTTTATGCATCCTTTTTTTGTGTCATATATTGCACTATGTTGAACAATTTCTTTATCTCTTAATATGCAAATATTTTCTTCATTATTTAAGTCTCCTCCATGTTTTTGTAATAAATATAGGCAAATATCAAAGTTGTTTGATCTATTTTTTACTGGTAACGGTTTTAACACCTTATGTAGTAATGGTATTTTTCCATTGAAATCTCGTAATATCTCTTCATATTTTTTTTCTGTAGATTCTAAATTATCAAAAGAATTTAATGAATCTTTTAAAAAATTCATTTCATTATCTTCATTTTTCAAATCTTCATCAGAATCAAAGCTATCTTCTCTGCTTAATCCATTCAGAAGGACATTCTTGAAATCGTAGCAGTCTGTGTAATTGAATTTTTTTGCCTCGTTTTTATCATTGTCTTTATTTGTATACTGTTCATAATATTTTATAAAAACATCATTGCTATAGTCATTTCCTTTCTTCATATAAAATTCTTTATTTATAGAATTTATATGACTATTGCAAAATATTCCCCCAGTATTATTGAAACTACTATTATCAGTGTTTTGATAGTTTGTACTATTGAATACGTTAATTTTCATGTTATTCATAAAATGTACATTTGAATCATTAGAAATGTTATATCCCTGTTGATCCTGTCTAAAACAACTATTACCACATTCTGCATTGTTCATATAAGGTTGATGAGGAAAATTTGGATTGCCATAAGATAAAAACGTTTCCTTATGATTCTGTAAAAATTTTTCTCCAAGTCTTTTCGATTCTTGCGGAATGTAATCCGGATTTAATATCTTATCTTCATTACAATATTTTTCATAATCTTCGTTTGTTCTAAAATTTGATAAGTTTTCCTTCAAACATTTCGCTAAACATTCATTAACTAAAAAATCATGATCATTATCATTGTTATTCATTTTTGTTTCTTTATTACTATATAAAATGTTATTTATCCTTCTTCTACTTTTTACTATCAAATCAATGTCATTACTAGTTGTGTATAAATTTTGAGTATCAACTATTAGTGGAGTTTTATTGGATAATCTTTCCTTTCTGTATTTCAATTTGAAAATATAAAAAGGGCTACCGTGATTCTCCACAGAATTGGGAGCAATATATCTTGCAGTGCACTTTGGATTGATGTCTTTCGTAACATAAGAAGGAATTCTATCAAAATGGCTGTTTTGTATATTTGATACTACAGGTGTTTTTATCAATACCGAACTAGATAAAGAGTTTGTGCTTGACCTCAAACTTTTCTGATCTCCTAAATTGTTTATGACTAATGCGTGAGGAGGGTCTTCTCTTTCTATATATTTCCAATCTTCTACACTTTCTCTATCAGAAGTTTTGCTTTTTAAAGCTTCCTGAAAAGGAAGAAGCAGATTTGCATCATTATTATTGTTACCCTTTTTACCTTTGGATGTAATTAGGCTATCATTATTTTTTTCTACTGATATTATATCAAATGTGTCTTTATGATTTCTACTAATTAAACTACCAAAGCTACAAATAATATTCTTTTCATTATAATTACCTTTAAAAAAATCGTTCTGGTAATTACTCACACTTTGTATATTATCAGAATAAATATTACTTAGTATGTGATTACTTTGTCTTTCTGTATCAAAATAAATGTTACTAGTGTTTTCTTCTGATGAATTGATATATGAATCATTTCTTTTAATATTGTTCATGTTAAACACATACTCATTATACATGTTCATGGAAGTAGCATAAGTATTGTTACTGCTTTTATTAATATCATTTGGGATGTCATTCTGAACATTATATGTGCTATTATAACTAAAAACACACTCACTGTTGGCACAGCTTGTGTTATTCAAATGAATTGGTGCAAACTGAGCAACTATTTCACTACCCCTTTCTGAGGTATTTTTTTTATGCACACCAGTGCTACTACTGATAAAACTAGGGACACTATTAGCATTGCCTACATGAGAAAGCACATAACTATTATCTGCATTTTCAGAAAATTTTTTTATACTTAAATTATGCTCTTTTTCATTCAACTTATTTTTCTCATTGCTCACTATTACATTTTTATGTGTACCCATGTTTGGATGCATGATGCTACATGTTTTCCACTTTTTGTTTTCTACATATATTTGAGAAAAAAAATTCTCTGTGTTTCGAGATTTACCTGAACGTGTATTATCTATTGAAAGATCACCCTTCTTTAGTTTATCTTCGATATGATTCTCTTTTGTAGGGGTATATTTCCTGGAGTCTACAAAAATAGATGTATGTTCCTTGATGCATTGCAAATGATTATTTCCAGAGTGAAAGTTATTTTGACACTCATTTGAAAATTTCGTTACGCAAAATCCGTTTTCTTTCTTTTGTTTCATTTGCTTCATTTTGCTGCGCGTGCTGGATCCATTAGTGTTGGCGTTGGTTCTGTCGTTTTTGTGATTGCAAGTGTGTACTTTTTCCTTAACGCATTCCTCCTCCTTCTTCTTCTTCTTCTCCTCAATATTTGCCAATTTCCTATGTTCATTTCCCCTTTTGGTATAACTACCTCTACGCACTTTCTCCTTGTGCAAAGAGGATTTAGAATTAATAATTTGCTTACTTGTTGTCCTGGTTATGTAGGAATTGCTCCCTGGTTGTTTTTTCAAATTTGGAAACTTAAAAGGTTTGATAAGATGGAGAAAGTAAGTCTTTATTTTCTTTTTTTCCTTTTTTTTTTTTAATTCTTCTGAAAAATAATTATCCGAATAGTGACGTTTGTATATATAAAGTGAAGGTATTTTTTTTTTTTTTTTTTTTTCTTTTTTCTCATCATATATATGTTTACTATTTTCCTCCTTACAACTATTCGATTTACGTCTAGTATCATACTGAATGTTATAATCACTATTATAACAATGTGTGTTACATGAATTATTATTCCTATTTTTATGACTGTTCTTATTTTTATATTCAAGGTTTTTAAATGATTTTTTAAAATAAAAGTTAGATGTAACATTGTATTTTTTTATAATACTTTTTAACTCTTTTATTTCTTTTTTATTTACACTACCAGTAAAATCATAATGAAAATTATGACTATTCAAAGTTTCATTTACATAGTGAAATGCACTTTTATCATATTCATATTCCAAGTCATTTTTTTTTTTTTTCTTTTTTTTTTCACTTGTCTTATTTAGTTCATTTGATAAATTAATAATGGAATCTATTAAACTATTTGTTCTCAAAAATTTCTTGCTGTATTTACTGGTAAATGCCTGTTGTGTTAGATAACCGTTTACATACGAACTAGGAAATTGTCTATCCCTGTTGACAACCAGTGTCATCATGTCTAACGCAAAATTATTTAAAATTTTGCCATTTAAATCTACATTATTTATTTTTTTGTTATACAATTGTTTACTTATTGTATCATTTTTGTTAAATATTTCAGGATGGTTTGTATCTACCTTAAATTGAAAAATGTCACTTAATGGATGCAGATTATAGGTCAGTTTTCCATTTATATCTTTAATGTTGTCTAATGTGATTTCTCGGATATTTAGGAAATCCTTTTTTGAATTTCTTTTATTATGATATTTCTTTTTTTTGCCTTTTAAATGTGATAAAAAGGAATTTGTTTCATGTTCAATATCTTTTATATATGAATTTTTTAAGATAACATTATAATTAACTCTTCTTGCTATGACCTGATTTTTCTTTTTTTTACTTTTGGAAAACTTTTCTAAATGGTTGAGATTTCTTTTTTTCTCTACGGAAAAAAGTTTTATTTTCCTCTCATGTTTTCCATTGCCTATATTTTTTCTTCCATATAAATATTTGTACTTTATATTATCACTTTCCTTTATGAACTTACGTGTTTTTATATATTCCTTTCTGTCCTTTGTTGTTTCTCCACAGTATGGGGTAATTCTATCTGATATGACTTTCAATTGAGTGCTCTTTCTTTTGAATGATGCCCTGCTATTTCTTGGATACTGTGTGTTGTTGGCTTTTTCGAGTGCGTTTTCTGTAATTACAAGCATGATTCGGTCGTCATTTAATTAGCAGGAGAAATTGGGGTTGGATAACAAGCAGATATTCATGTGCATTAGTATAAACTCCTTCAAACATATACATATGCACATACTTATTCAGGTGCGTCTATCTTAACGCATTGAACTTTATACATTTTCAATGGTTTAGCATTCTAAAGCACCATCTTTTAAGTCTCATACATCCTCTTATTGCACAATTGGGTGACTGGTTCGCTTTCTGGCTACTGTTTTACCTGATTTGTTGTTTATTTTCCACTCAGTTAAATCGTTTATCTGCTCCACTTGTCTACTTCTCTCAACAATTTGTTTAGCTTTTCGCGTTGTGGGAATGATAGGGGTGTTCTCACATACACAGGAAAATATTCTTGGAGACACAAGTAAAGAGGAACCGGAATAAATAGAGATAGCTTCCAAAGTATGCAGCGATCATTATTCAGAAATTCTATATTCATCAAAGCAAAAGTAAGGCATGTATTTTTTTTTAATTATGACGAGCATCGGTTAATAAAACGTAACTTACACACGTATGTGCATATTTGTACATAGAGGCATAGCACATATGTACACATATATATGTACACGCACACACTTTGTAATATTTCAAAATTATATAAAGTGTATACTGAGATTAAAATAATATATTAAAGATGGTAATGCTTTAAAAACGCGTAATATGCTATGACTTTGAATTAATTCCATAAAGATTCTTAAGCATATGCATACACAGTAAAAAATTTATGAATTAATTATGCTCATATCACTTAAGTAACATTTTATAAATAAGGGTTCCAGTATTGTGCATATTTCCAGCTCTTCTTTTAAATGGCAAAAAAAAAGGGGAAATTTCCTTTTTTCATTTTATACATATGTAATATAAACATGTTATATACATGTATGAACCATTATATGCAGAAACGAATACTATTTCAAATAGAAGAAGGGTTAATAAAAAAAATAAGAAAAAAAAAAAAAAAAAATCTTATTCATTATATCAATTAAAAAGAACAAAAAAGATTTAGACATTTCATTAATGAAACTTTTTTTATATTTTTTTTTTTTTAGAACTCTTGTGGGTACATTCAAATCAAAATAGAGGATGTATTGATATGTGTACATTATACGTATGTATATATATATATATATATATACACATACATATACATATAATACATATGTATATATGCATTGCTGTTAATATGAAGCATTTTTTCTTAATAATAAAAAAAAAAAAAAAAAAAAAAAAGTTATTTTTTATATTATTTTTAATATACACCTTTTATGTCAGTTTTAAATGTGAAATGAATTTTCTTATTTTTCTTTCTCCAAAATGGGCAATGTCTTTTTTTAGTGCTCGTTTTTTTTTTTTTTTTTTTAAGCATTGCAAAATCAGAAAAGAAACATAAAAATGTGTAAAAAATATGAACAAGTAATAGAAAAGTCGCGAATTTTTTTTTTTTTTTTTTTTTTTGGCACAACCAACTCACACGTTAAGTTTACAAAAACGGCTGACTGTTCATAACCTTCTTTTGCTTGAGAAACCAGAAAAATGTTTGAAATAATTTTTCGTTTAATAAACCTAACTTATAAAAGCACACTTATTCCATTGATAAATGAGGTACTTCAAAAATATAAATAACGCTCAAGCCATGGGAAGCAGTGAAATTCTTTTTTGGGAGACAAAAATGTCAGAGTTTTGTAGAGAAATGTTTAAATGTTCGCATACACACACATGTGTTTATAATGTATACATACAGTACACACATACTATATATGCACCTATATATACATATATATATAGGGTCACCCTTTTTAAGCGCACAACAAAAGGATAGAAAAAGATATGAACGTTTAACACCAAAATGTGTATTTGTACCTACAAGTGTTTGTGGTACTAGCATAGCACAAGTTGTGAATTGCCCTATCTGTGAAATTCTCACAGTTTTTGTTTTCTTTGTTGGACAGCTCGCCACAGTTTCGTGCATACTAAAAACCCGATTGAAAAATTTTAAATGGCAATATTATGCCTCACAAACGGGGAAATTTATTTCATTTTTCCTTGCACCAAGGGTGTAGGTTCAGTCGATAATTTATTTATGGGCTTTCCTCAAACAAGCACTCAATTTTACATCGTTTATACATAAGATATCTGCAAGGCACAAATAAAAGCCGCACTGTGTAATCATATTTAATAACACCTTAGGGTATTATAAAGAAACTCTCATATGGGCACACACCCGTTTGTTTTTATGGTTTTCATTCAGCTTTACAAAAGATATCAAGTTTAATTTTCAATAGAAATAGTTCAAGCTACATCCTTGCGTATACATGTGTGTGCCAATCGGGGATGATAAGAATTCATACTCCAGAAAAAAAAAAAAAATATAAAAATAAAATAAAATAAGGAAATCGATAATGCATAAAACATTATTTATAGTATACACTTTCTGAATTTAGGTTGAACAAAAAAAAAAAATTTTAATCACCGATTAGCAATTGCTGCAATGATTTACATTGCTTAAAAAATTGCGCCATTTTATAATTTGCCATGATTTAAAAGGGCTTTCGTTTTCATCTTTCATTTTGGTTTTCATTCGGAACTCCCATTTTTCAAGGCCCATTTTGCATTTTATTTAACAATGTATATGCCCGATTTGACGGAACAAGCATATCACGTTTTAATAAAAAAAAAAAAAAAAAAAAAAAAAAGAAAAAAAAACATTCACGTGTACTCCTCACGGAATGTGAAATCGCTGAAAACATACATTTCGAACGAGTGAACATAATTGCCATATAAGGAAACATTTTTAATACTTTGATAGGAGAAATACACATTAGTAGGAACTGTTAACCACATGCACAGCTTTGTTTTCATAAAGTAGGAACGGAACTAATATCATATGAAGAGTTGCAAATTAAGGGCGTAACAGAGGATAATCATTAACACGTTGAGCGATACTTTCATAAAGACTGAATTGATAGCTTTTTGTTTTTCCTTTTCCAATTTGGATAACTTCTTCCCGGAAGAACGAAGAATACACATAGCGATAAACAAGTCTTCAAAAAAAAAAAAAATTTCTCTCTCTCTATCCCCCTTCACAGATATTACATACTACTTTAACATAAGATTTAACACAAAAATGAAACTCGAATACATTAACGCACTAAAAGAAGAAAATGGAGGATTTAATTTTGAAAATTTAAAGAGAAATGAAATTTTGGAAGAAAAGGGAATAACATTTCCTAATTTTCGAAAAACAGGAACGACCATATGTGGATTGGTATGTCAAAATGCTGTCATTTTGGGAGCAGATACTAGAGCCACAGAAGGTCCAATAGTTGCAGATAAGAATTGTAGTAAATTACATTTTATAAGTAAAAATATATATTGTGCCGGTGCAGGTGTAGCAGGAGATTTAGAACACACCACATTGTGGTTACAACATAATGTTGAATTACATCGATTAAATACTAACACTCAACCGCGAGTAGCTATGTGTGTATCTAGACTAACACAAGAATTATTTAAATATCAAGGATATAAAGTGTGTGCAATTGTTTTAGGAGGTGTAGATGTTACCGGTCCTCAGTTATATGGTATTCACCCACATGGATCTTCTTGTTTATTACCCTTCACAGCTTTGGGTTCTGGATCCCTAAGTGCCATGACTGTGTTAGAAGCAAAATACAGGGATAATATGACAATAGAAGAAGGAAAAGAACTTGTATGCGAAGCTATATGTGCAGGTATTTTTAATGATCTTGGTTCAGGTGGAAATGTTGATATATGTGTTATAACAAAAGACGGTTCACAACATATAAGACCATACAAACAACCGAATGTTCGATTATATCATTTACCACATCCAACTGTTTTTCCAAAAGGAACTACTCCTATATTATGTCAAAAAATTGAAAATATAAAAAAATATATCACTGTAGAAGATGCATGATTTTGTCTTCTACATATAAAAACGTTTTTCTATTTAGATATAGTAAATGGAAAAAATTGCTTTAATTTAGAAGCCATTAATCTATTATTTTGTGCACCTAGTGGTCCACAGATTTTTTTCTTTTTTTTATAACTTTATACACATTTTGAAGTTGTAACAGCTATATTCAAAAAAAAAAAAAAAAAAAAAAAGAATATTTTTAGCAAATTTTTTTTCAAATATGCAAGCATAAACCGACAAATGCACCATATGTTTGAAAATAATTCACACTAATTTTGTTACGAGCAAAACACGGGATTTTTTTTTTTTTTTTTTTATTATTGACTAGGTCCCCAAGGGGTAAACGCACTTAATAATTTAGGGCCAAGGAATTGGAAATGTTCGTCCAAAAGTGTAGAGATAAACACGAGTGTTAATTATTTTTTTTTTGCAAAAAAAATGAAATGTAATGAGTAATTTAGTCTGCTACTTTTATTTCGAAAAAGTTGCTCATGCTTTAATTTAAACCGAAGCTATAACTAAAGTATGAGTAGGCAATTTGTTTTTATTTTTTTGATGGTTTACTTGATGAAAAATTATAGAAAAAAAAAAAAAAAAAAAAAAAAAAAGACAAAATGTAGGAAATATCAAAACGGTTATATTTAACAAAAAAGTGCACTAATATACACAATATAGACAGTTATAATTTGTTCTTTCGTTTGTTACGTTATGATATATTTGCAATTTTCTCCCATCATCATATACACAACTACAAAAAAAAAAAAAAAAGTTAGGAGTCTTCTAAAATCAAATTTGGCACATTGCAAGAAGGCCTAATTCATATTCACTACTGAAAATTTTTGTTCGTTATGTGTCTTTTTTTGGGGTGGGAGAATTTAACCCTAATAAAACATCATTAATATATGAAATGTATGAACACATTGTGTGTTCATCTTTTTTTTTTTTTTTTTTTTCAGAAAAGAAAACTTGACAATGTACAAAAATGTCTATTAAATGATTATGTTTCTGTTTGTATAAAACGCTACAATTACATTCTTTTCTTTTATATGTTCTGTGAGTTAATGCTTAAAGAGAAAAAAACAATGTGAAGTAGCATTTGCTTGAGAAAATTGCTTTTTCTAGGGAGTATACCCCAAAAAAAAAAAAAAAAAAAAAAAAAAAAAAGCGTTCATTGTTCATTGTATTTTTTAATCTTTGTATTTTTTTTTTTTTTTTTTTTTTTTTTTTTTCTTTTCATTCAAAAAGTGAACACGCGTAAATGGTTACTTGTATGATAATGGCATGGGTGTTCTTAAATTGACCGGGTCAGGGAAGAAATCCACCACCACTCCCCAAAAAAAAAAAGGAAATGTCAAAGACGAAATTATCAAAATTGTAAAAGGTAAAAAACAATCGGTGATAAAATTTCGTACAAGTTACTTCTCTAGAAAAGGGGAAAATACATCCCCAGGTTCTGAATAAATAAAAATTTTTCTTTTTTTCAAGTTTTCTCATTAAACGTTTATTTATTAACAATTTGTCAAAAGGGAGAGAAATTCAAATTTATATAATTCCAAAGGTAAATTAGCATACATGAATAAAAATTTCAAAATAGAAAGGTGTGTATTTTCATCATACGGAATCAAAAGGCGAGAAAATACAAAATGCTTTATATCGGAATGAGAAAATGTTGAAAAAGTTGATGAAAAAAATACAAGTATTTTTTACCCAAATGGAGTAGCACCACTATGAAATAAAGACAGGTGATGTGTATTCACCACTCGAACAGTGGTGCGTACGCCTTTTAGTGAATTTTGTAAACTTTGACATGCACGAAATTGAAGAAAAATGAATTTTATTTAATTATTACTATCGGTATTGCCAATATCGATAATGGCAGTATCGATACTACCATTATCATTAATACCATTATCATTAATACCACTATTATTACTACCATTAGCATTAATTCCAATACACTCACTATGACTATCGTTACTATGACTATCACAGGTATTATCTTCACCATTATCATTGTCGCTACCACCATTACCATTGTTATCTTTTTTCTTTATCCACATTTTTTTTTGCTTTAAAAAAAAAAAAAAAAAAAAAAATGGTCAGTAATGCGTTAAAATGAATAGCAGGAAATTTATTTCGAACTTGTCTGTGAAAGATAATAATATAAAAGAGGGATGGAATACATGTAAAATGTATAATTCTAAACATGGGGAAAATAACAATATATGTGTGCACATTCATAATAATGTGCATATTTTTTACAACTCTTATGATCACTTAAGTAACATCAATAGTATTATAAACGCGTCTAATAATAATATAATTGATTTGGGTATATTTCAGAATGATCAAAACAATGTGAGAGGTATTAAACCTGAAAACAATTTTCATTTTAATAAAAGAAACGAAATTAATAGTGTCAGTGGGTTCAATAACTGGGTGAACTGGGTAGATGTTGCCAATACAAATGTTGATGGTGTCGGGGAAAAGGATTATATTCCTGAAACAATTCAGGGATACTTTAGGATGCCAAATAGTAACGTTAATGATAGTAGACAAATCAATCATGTCAACGACACCCACAACAACAACTTTGTCTTACAAAATGAATCAAGCACTTTAATGCATTCCAACGAAGGTAGGCATACATTTATGAATGATAAGCAGAACTCGTACAATAGTGAAAGAATATTAGAAGATATTAACGGTTCAAGTAAAATATACAAAAAGCAATGTTTCGAAAAAGACCATTCATTTAATCAAATGAAAATTTATGATAATGATTTGCATTGGAAAAATGCAAAACTGATGGACATGCGTTATCCATTTAATAATAAGCGTGGTGGTAACACAACTGCTGTTTTGAAAACTAAGGACACAAATGAAGAAAACTTCAAAAATTTATATGATAACGGATCACACAACAAGGGAAATCATAAACGAATTTCTAATACCCATCCTAGAAATTATATTCATAACAGAACCGATGACACAATGTTGAAATTCCAAAATATGAATAGTCATTTAAGTTTTAACAGTGCTATCGATGCTTTCATGAGTGAAGAATATGCTAGTTGTGAACAATTTCATTACACTGTGGATGATTTATGGGAAGACTCGAACGTAAAGTGGATTGACAATGCAAAAAATGACATTGAATGTGCTCATAACTTTTCCGACATTGGGGGATCCACTTGTACTTTTCGAAAATGGGTAGATAGTCAACATAACTGTGAAAATAATAAAATTACACGACGTAGTTATTCTAAGAGGGAAAATTGGGGCCAAAGAAGGAATACACATGAACAGGAGAAAATATTTTCCTTACATGAAAGGCACGAAATTGTAAATGTGCTTATGGATGGAAATACACACGAAGGAAATGATTTAGCATGTAAAAAAATAGAGAAATGGGAAATTAATAAAAACAACATGAACAAGTATGAAAACAACATGAGCAAGTGTGAAAACAATATGAACATGTCAGAAAAAACGTTACATTTTAATGAGCAGTTAATAAAAAGTGTGAATTTGTTCAGTGCAGAGCAAAATCACATTCCGAGGGAGGAAAAGAAAAAAAAAAATTTGCAGGACGTAGGCAGGGAGTCTTACGAATTAAATGATAAAAAAAAAGAGAAAAATGGGTTTATATGTGATGTCAAACTGAAGGAGAAAAATAATACGACAGGTGATATAAACAAAAAGTCAACCTATAATATGGTGATTAGCAGTTTTGAAGATGATGATTTAAATTATGACAGTGTGTGCAAATTTTATGATAATAAAAATGACCTGAACGTGTCAGGCAGTGAGTTTCATAAAAATACTGAGGAGGGTTCATATAAATGCTTTCATCCTAATGTCCCGCGAGGAAATGGAGAAATCTGGAGTTATTGGGAAGACACAATTTGCAATCGTAACAGGGAGGTATACCCAAATGAACATATTACATATGAGGATGAAAAAGAGATAAATTCAAACAATGTAATGAACTGTAATCACAAAAGATTGTTACCTATAAGGGGTGAAGTATGTTTTGAAAAGGGGAAAGATGGGTGGAATGAAAGCAATTTTTACCTGAACAGTCATAATTTTGAGCATATTTTTAAAAAAAGTACAAATAGAGAAAATACACTTATTTGTTGTGTAAAAGACGTGCACAACAATTGTTGGTCGAAAAGAATGCTTTGCAAAAATAAGGAGCATAATTTGAATAATAATATGTGCGAAAAAAACACTTATTTGGAAAATAAAAAAGAAAATATATGTGGGGGGGAGGGAAAAAAAAAAAGTGCACAAATGGACATATTAAAAAAATCAACAGAATATAACCAAGTGTCATTATCAAATAATATTTTAAGTGATGTCTACATAAATAAGAAAATAAATGAGGTTTTTGGAGATTGTAAAAAAGACGATAACTTAAGTGGAGATAAAATTGCAGAAGTAGTTCATTGCAATTTTGTAAAGGAACAAAGTTTCATATTTCCGAATAAAACTGAGATGGAAACCGAGAAAAAGGGACACATTAAAAATAACTCCTCGCCGATTTTGGCAAAAAATCAATTTTTAAAAAATAACTTGAACCAAATAAATCATGACCATTCAGTAAAATTAAATGGCAGCAATACAGACACATTAACGTTTAACATTTCACAATATTTCTTGGAAAATAATGGTCATAACGATTTTTCATGTAAAAACACTGATTTTGAGTCACACGAATGTCCTAATTTTACGATTGCTACTGCTACTACCAGCACTACGACAACAGAGCAGAGAAATGGTTTATATGAATTTTTAGAGTTTTGTGATAACGGTGAAATTAGGAATAAACCAAGAGAGAGGGGAATATATGAGTTACTAGAAAATTACGAGAAATACAATAATTCCATCAATCCAGTTGAGCAAGAAAAAAACCAAGATGAATTTGTAGAAATTTGTCATAAAATTAGCATCAAGGGAGAGAACAACATGAAAGGGAACATAAAAGGAAAGATGAAAGATGAGTTTTTGGAGATTTATCATCAGGTGGAAAATGCACACATTCAAACAGTATATGAAGCCCCACACATTCATGATAAAATAGGAAATAGCGGGAATGGAAGTGGTAGTGGTTTTCAGCAGGACGAATTTTTAGATATATACGATAAAATTGTTAATACAAAGAATGTTCAAGTTGATGAATTTTTAGAAATCCATGATGATTCGGAGAAGTTTCAAAAAAAATATGAGCTTGAAGATTGTCCAAAGTATGAGCATTCAATGGACATAGGGGACTACAGGGAGACAAAAAAATTTAAGCAAAATGAAACTATCAATTTTTTGGAAGAATATCACGAGGAAAATAAGAGCTTTGGGGGAAAGAGGACAAAAAATTATTCCTCATTTACATATGCTTCTGGGAAAGAAGTGAAAATTAATAAGGACGTGTTAAACCAGATGAGGAAAAAAATATTTAGCGATGACTACGAGGAAGATATGATCATAAGTAAAGGGGAAATTCCAAAGGAGGGAAATGTCGAAATGAAATTTAACAATAATAAAAATTGTTCATTTAGAGAAATGAATTTATTGAGTGAAAATGATCAAATGAATTTTTTCCATTTTGGCATGAAAAATGAAAATGTGAACCCCAAGAATAGTAAGGAATACAAATCATTTACCTACGCATCTGGGAAAGAAGTGAGTATAAATAAGAACCTGTTAAACAAAATGAGTGATAGACTGTTCGGGAATGACAGTGTGTTATATGGAATGAGCACAAAGGGCGATGCTAATGAGGATGTTAATAAGGAGGCTAATGAGGATTCTAATAAGGATTCTAATAAAGATTATAATAAGGATTCTAATAAGGATTCAAATAAGGATTCAAATAAGGATTCAAATAAGGATTATAATAAGTATGGTAATAAAGATGATGATCAGAATGACAATAGTATGAACGCTGTGAAGGAGCTAAGCAACAGCTCCTTTGCGTACGCATCTGGGAGAGAAGTGAAAATAAACAAAGACGTACTAAACCAAATGAGGGATAGACTATTCGGAAGTGACGATTACTGTGATGACAACATTGGCTACATAGACAATATAAAAATAAGAAAAAAAAGAGAAAAAACAAAAATAGACACCCTTTTTGGAAATGCTGATAAAATTATGAGCAAAGTCAAGGAAGAAATAGGATATAATACCTGCACATTAACACGGATATCAGAGAAGGAAAAAGACAAAGACGAGAGTGAAAAGGGAAAAGATAAAGGCGAGAGTGAAAAGGGAAAAGATAAAGGCGAGAGTGAAAAGGGAAAAGATAAAGGCGAGAGTGAAAAGGAAAAAGATAAAGGCGAGAGTGAAAAGGGAAAAGATAAAGGCGAGAGTGAAAAGGAAAAAGATAAAGGCGAGAGTGAAAAGGAAAAAGACAAAGACGAGAGTGAAAAGGGAAAAGACAAAGGCGGGAATGAACAAATGGAGAAACGAGTAAAGGAACTAGAAAATAATGAACCCTGTGTTTGCAATACTAACAAAATTAATATTACACTGAGTGCTTCAGGGAATGGAGAAAATATCAAGCTGCATGATTATATGAAATTGCAATCGAAAGGCTCCAAACCAAAACAAACAGTAAAGGTTTTTCCATTTGGGAGTAAAGGTAATATGGAAGATATCTTTCTGGAAGAGGAAATTTCTAAAGAACAGGAATTACATGAATCAGAAGGTAATAACGAAATTGGAAATACAGAATTGAATTTGCTACATAAAAAAGAAAATGAGTGTATATCTATAAATGATAATAACATTTTGAAGAATAAAGTAGGAAGGCAAAAATTAAAAATTGATTTGAAAAATAAAAAAGATTTTGTTAATCCAAGGAAACGTAAATTAAATAAAGAAATAAGTGAAACAAATAGGACAAGTGAAACAAATGTAACACCAAGTGATGTAAAAAATAAAAAACTTGATTTAAATATTAATTTGAGAGATCATTTGAAATTAATAAGAGATATATATACCCATTTAGCAAGGAAGAAAAAGTTAAAAAGTAATAGAAAATTAAAAAATACTTTCATGTATGTAAATGAAAATAAAAACGGATACATATTTAACTGGTTCAATAATGATTACTTGTATTTTCTAAAAAATGAAGAAAAAAATGAGTATTACACATCTGATATGAATATAATGTATGAGTTGTTCATATTATTAACTAAACATTTGAATATCTTTCATTCATATGATTTTGTGTGGTTCTCAAAGAAGTATAAATTGATAACTATGGCACTCGTTCGTAAATATACAAAAGTGTTACAAAAAAGATATGAATCGATGAAAATGGACATAATAACGAGACATCATTATTTCACGAGTTTGAATAACTTTGTTGATAGAAAAGATTATTATTATAAAACTTTTTTATGTGAACATATCAATCAAGAAATGGGAACCCTAAAAAGGAAAAGTAGAAATGATGAATATACACAAAATGAAAACGATAAGATTAATATGTCCCTTGTTAGGGATAAAAGGGAAAAGAATATACCATATGAAGAATTTTACAATAACCATTTTGCAGAAAAGCATAAATATCGGGAGAAAATATGTCAAAGTCAATCTGTACAAAATAAATTTCCTACATATGATCACTCTGAATTGGATAATGAAAAGTCAGGAGGAGGAACGTACATGAGTAGAAATATAGATTATTCCCATATGAATGGAATTATGTTGAAACTAGATTCAAAGGATTGTATATCAAGTGAGTACGAATCATACGCAAGGGAAGAGTGGAATAAAATAAACACATATAATCAACAATGGATGCTGATTAGAATCATTGATGAAGTAGAACCCCCTTCACCAATCGAATTTATGTTTAAATTGTTAAAAAGGTATATAGAAGAAAAGAAAAAGAAAAAATCCATTTTACAATTGATACAAGATAATACATTGTCTTATAAAATACCAGTAAATCTACGAGTGGAACAAGTTATAAAAAATAAGGATAATGAATTTGTTCTTATTTTGAGTGATAATTTTGATTATATATATTGTATGACAAAAGATATATATTTACAAAATTTACTTATATCACATAAAATAAAACAAGGAAATATATTAAAAATTAATTCTCTAGACTTGTGTAACAAAATACAAGAACAAAATGAAAATCAACATTGTCATAAACCAATTATGCATTTTTCCCTATCTAGTAATGATTTAATAGAAATAGACAAACAGAATAATCTAAAAATTGGATTGTCAAAATATAAAGCCAAAAAAATTAGACACATACAACATTGGGGAAATACATGCTGTTTTGTAGATGTCATAATTATAAGTAAAAGTGATTTTTCTTATGGATTCTACGATCCTGTAAAAAAAAAAAACTACATTCTACATGGTAATGTGTACGAAAAAATAATCTACAATCTAAAAAATGAAATGAGCAAACTCTTGCATGAGGAAAATTTCCAACAAAATCCGACATACATAAAATTAAAAAATGACTTGAGTATGTTCCTTGAAGCTACCACTTTTTGCGCTCTGCAAGCCATAGATTTTGCTTCTGCCGAAAGGATAAGGGAGACAAATTCATTGGAGGACAAGATTGAGCATATCATCAACTCCTTGTGCCAGATTAAGATGTACAAGGTGAGTTTATTAGATCAATTTATTCATTTGTATGCGTTTCCTTCTCTCCACTCGCTTGTGGGAAATTCTCCACAGTGTCACAATGTCTCACGGTGGATAAACAGCCTACAAATTTAAAGAGAATAAACTTCCCCACGTTTTTTTCCCACGTTTTTTTCCCACGTTTTTTTCCCACGTTTTTTTCCCACATTTTTTTCCCACGTTTTTTTCCCACGTTTTTTTCCCACGTTTTTTTCCCACTTCATTTCCCACAGATGGACATGGAGACGTACGAAAGCTTAAGGAAAGGAAACAGGATCCAGCTGTTTAACGTACACGTTCAAAAAACGAATAGAAATAACAAATTCAGCCAGATGTTAGAAGAAGATGTAATGGAAGAATTTATTTACGAGACATTTGAAGGGAGAAAGAAAGTTAATCATATGAAAAAGCCAATAAATTATGAGGTATTCGAATCCCATTTTTTTAATGAGGACATGGAAAAAAAAAAAAAAAAAAAAGAAATTATTCAGTCAAATGATTTTGATGATTCCTTACAATACACTCTCATTGGTTCTTATAGGAGAAGTAAAAAGTATACTCCCATTGTTCTCCAAGCCATCAGTTCAACATATATTAATGTAGACGGAAAATATAGAAGCAAATTATTTGAGGACCTTAACAACTTGTTAACCATACAAAATAACACAGAAGGAAATACAAATGAAAATAAAACTAAAATCAAATCTACGAAAGAGGAGGAAATTTTATACCCATCATTTATTTACACGAACATTTTTAAGATTCCAGTTTTGTCAAGGATCCATTTTAATATTTTGAAAAATTATGTAAAATTAAGTGCAAAAGGGAAAAGTTTCTACTATGATTTAATTCAAGGAAATTTCTACACCATCTCAGGACTCATAGTGCATTATACGGATGTTGAAACAAAGGTATAATGGGGTTGTGTGTGTGTGTGTGTGGGAAAAGGACATACCAGCCTTGTGGCAGGGGAAAGAGATCAAAAGCTAGTTTTACATCTACACACGCATACAGACAGACACGCACACACACTCTGCCCGTTTTCTGTCTCTCTATATATATGTACATGGACCGATGCAGATGCACATCTCGTAGCCCACACAACAGCGCTGCTCGAGTTTTGCACTCTGCTTTTCAAAATTTCCTTGTTACGATTTTTACATTTTTTCCCTTTTACATTTTTACATTTTCATAAACATCTCAAAGACTTTTTTTTTTTTTTTTTTTTTTTTTTCATTTCTCATGGCTCCCCTTTATTTTAACCCTTTCAGGAAGTAGTAGACTACAATTGTGATGGTGAAAAGAAGAACATTTTATTCTATAAACTTTTTCTATTAACATCCAACGGGAATTTATGTTGCGTAAACATTTCTATGATTTCACCAGATTTCTTAATTTCAATATATAAAAAAGATTTTGAGTGCAAGGAAAGAGAAATGCTTAAAAAAATGATTCATGTTCAGCATGTAGAAGTAAATGAGTTTCAAAAAGTTGAAAAGAAAAAGAGACAAACAGGGAGTAGGAACTATAATAATAATAACAGCAACAGTAATAATCACCTATATAATTATTTGTATAAAAGAGAAAAAAAGGACAGTGACAATATTGCCCAAGAGGACTTAGTCAGCAAAAACGTCGATGTTTTTATATTCTTTAAAGATGTTGAATTCATAAATTATGATGAAAAATATGACATTTACAACTTCCGATCGTACAACCATCCGGTAAGAGATAATATACGTATGACTATACGTTTAAAGAGGTGTACAGATGCATTTACTGATGGGCATTTGCTCATAGGTGTTCGTGTCTAAATTGATACAACTGCGTGGAGATGGAAATGTGTCGAGGTTTCACGTGATTTGACTTGTAGTGGGTTTTCATTTTTCTGCATCATATGCTTTACGCTAATCATCTGCTTTACGCTAATAATCTGCTTTACGCTAATCATTTGTTTCACACGAATCGTTTGCTTCACACGAATCGTTTGCTTCACACGAATCGTTTGCTTCACACGAATCGTTTGCTTCACACGAATCGTTTGCTTCACACGAATCGTTTGCTTCACACGAATCATTTGTTTCACACGCATCATGGTTTCCTTCTTTTGCTTCATTCCCCCTCGTAGCACTTCCAAACCCCAAGGTTGTATTCGAACGAGTTCGAACATACAAAAAGAAACATAGCCGAATTAATAAGAGGAAAGTACATTGAATCCGAAAAAAATAGACTTGTTGTAAAGATATCCAACAACTGGAAAATAAAAATTGAAAAAGATAATTTGCCATGCATGCACTTTCTATATTTGTTAATCTATTCAAAATGCAAATCCATTGAATTGACCGGAGTTAACCTAAAGAATAATTATTTGTCTGTGTTTTTAAAAAACATATGGAATATTTTCATTAAATGATAAGTTGTTAGCATTAATTTCTTACCTTTTTAGCCAGCGAAATGCACCATTCCCCAGCTTCTACAATATAGCATATGTTTTTTTTTTTTTTTTTTAATTTTTTTTTTTTGCCACACATGCTGAGGATTATTTCTTCAGCATATAACATAGTATAGATGTTCTCACAGTTTTTTGTATAAGTCTGGACAATTCTGTAGTTATCAATATCTTTTGTAGATTGTTGAGAAAACTGTCCAAAATTTCGAGAACTCTATGAAAGCACTTTTTTTTTTTTTTTTTGCCTTGCAGAGAAATAAAACACGTTTTTTCATGATATATATTTTATTTCCCCCATTGATGACACGTTGTATGCATATACAAGCACAGTTCATACCTCATTTACAATGTCTTTGTGATTTTCAAAAATCACTATTTGTTTTTATTTGTTTTCATTTGTTTTTAGTTCCTTGTTTGTGGAATGATTTTAAACTATGACAATAAAAGTTTATGATATGACATGCTCATTATATCTCGTGAATGTGTGCAAATATTTTAATCCATCATCTTATTATTAACCATTTTATACTAAATACCAAAAAAAAAAAAAGAAGAAAAAAAAAAAAAATGTCCCCTTTCTTTAAGGTAGAAAAGTTTAAAGTATGCTATAATTTATTTTGCCCATCTTTTTGAGGTACGTTTTTTTTTTTTTTTTTTTTTTAAATTGTACATAAAAAAATTGCGACATTTATTAATGTGAAGCAAATAAAAGGCTCTTTTTGTTGTTCTAAATGGTAATTAATAGCTGTATGCCTGTCCGTTCATACAAATATGTATATATATATATATATATTTTTTTTTTGGACTGATTTTCCTAAGTTATCCTCAAATGACAGAATTAATATGTTCGTGTATGTACACACTATTAAAGGGACAAGAATTGATAATCCCCCCCACTCCCCCTCTCCCCAGGAGTTTATATATTATATGTTTTATTATGCTTCATGCACATAAGCAAGCATGCGTAAAAACATATATGCATAAATATACATTGGCTTAAACGAAAATGCTTAGTAAATGATAATAATAGAGATAATAAGGTACAAAATTTTAGGGTAGCTATAACACAAAGTATGTTATTGATCTTTTTTTTTATTCACTTTTTGGGCAAGAGGAAAAAAACAAAATAACAAAAAATAAAAATATTGTGTGCATGTCTCTTTTTTTTAAAAAAAAAAAAAAAAAAATGTAAACATGATGAACAATAACAATGAGTAACACTTAAAATAGTAGTATTACATATTCTCAATGATGTGTAGATTTATTCTGCACACACAAGACAAGGAAAAAAATGAAAAAGGGTGTGGGGTGTTGCTGGAGGGAAAAAGTTACATCAAAAAAGGACATACATTAACAAGTTGCACACACACTCACATGTACACACTTATGTGTATAAAACGTATGTAATAACATCCACATAAGCACATTTACAGATGATGTCAAAAATATATAGCATTACATAAACAGTTGAATGTACTCATGTGGTAATCCCTTGTTGAGCATATTAACAAGTATTTATAAGTCGCAAAAAAAAACCGTAAAAAAAAACTATACATGTATATATATATATATATATATATATATTTTTATGTCACGCATGTAAGCTTATTTGCACACATGTTAGGAAAAGAAATGGAAAGAAGCAAAAAGTACTGACATAAAGCACTAACAAAAAGATGTTATATAATGATATAATGTCAGCAACGTTAATATAAAGTGATGTCAAAATTATGGGAGCAAATTTTAGTTGTTTTTTTTTTTTTTTTTTTTTTTTTTTCTTTTTTGTTTATATATTTCGCTTTTCAAATTAAAAATATTTGCACACAGATGAGCATTTCATTAAAAATAATGATTTGCAAGAATGTTGTAATTTTATGGATTGTCATTTGTGGCATGACCTGTCTATATGTGTGTGCGGGAGGCAGGAAGTGTGCATATAAAGCTTGGGATTTTGTAGATAAGCCATGTGTGCATGCATATACATACTTGGCCACATTTCGCAAAACTTTAGTTGTTCTGTGGAACTCTTTTCACTTTGGTTACAAATATATATATTTTGTTGGGCCACATATATCTCACTCCCACAAGATGGGGTGTGTGTGGGGTGGGTCATACATACACATGTAGAATACACATATGTACACTTACACATATATGACTCTTTCTTTTTAATTTGCTGCAAATTTTCATATTTTGCGAATTTATGAAAGGATAAATAAAATACCATTTAAAATAATGTGAACAGCAACTAAACATTAAATCAGAGTTTCAAATATTTAGCAAATTGGGGGAGAATATGAATGCGTTAAAAATAATGATGACATGATTTTTTAAACAAATGTGAAAATATTTAGTGAAATTGTAAGAAAAGGAGCAAATATGAGTATGCATATGGGTACGGTCATACATTAGCACAATCTGAGAATGCAATGCAGTGGTATTAGTTTTCACCTATGTCAGAAAGTTCGATATCACTACATAAATTTTCGTCAGTATTTTCATTTTTTACTTTCCTTACTTGCCAATTCCATGACTCAATACCTTCACCTGCTCTTTTATTTTTTAAACAAATGTAATCTTTATCACTATGTAGTTTGGCTAATTCACTATATGTGAAGGATTTATCTTCGTATTCTTCTATTGTCATTTTGTTGGTAACATATACGGTACTTTCTTTTTCCAAAAAAATTTTGTCATTCTTCATATTTATTATACCATGTATTATACATAAAATAGAGATAGCAGTAAAAAACATAAGAATTAAAATGATAAATAAAACCGTGAATTCTGTATTTAATGGTTTTAGTGCTTCTATATATGGCTTGATGATGTTCGATTTCATCATCGCATCATCTAGAAGAATGTTAATTTTGGTATTCTGGTGCGAGAGAAAAAAAAAAAAAATTATAATAAAATAAATAAAGTAAAAAAAAAATAAAAAAAATTATGATGGTGGGGAGGTATGAAAAAATTATTTCCATGAAGCAAACGGTGCATTAGATCAACAGGGGAATACTCTCATGTGCATGCATGCACAACGACCCGTGCACATTCGCATCAATAATGTGACTTTTCTTCACAACTTACTATTAACTCTACGGTATTCATTAGATTTTTGAAAGCTGGCACATCTTTTATCATGGCAACAAATTGTAGTTTCAGCGTGCTGATGGTCTTTATTATTGGATGGTCTTCATCTAAGTGTAGGTGTAGAATTGTAACTACAAAGGGGAAATGGGGAGAATAGTGCAGAAGTGTGTGTAATGAGTTACAATTGTCGCGCGAAACGCACAATGTGTAGTGTGCTTGTGTTTATTCTTATTATTATGTTTATGCGTGTGCGTGTTTTTTTTTTTTTGGGGGTGATTCAAGCATATGGAAATTAAATGCTTTTCCCTAGAAGAAGCTATTAGTTCGATAGTCCTTTTAACTCTCGTCTTTTTCCCTCTTGCTAATATGGATACCTATTGCTATGATTATGTATAGCACGGCCATAACATTTGAAAGGATGTTCATTTCCTCCTCGTTCGCTTCATTGGGGCCTACGTGAAATTCTTCCTTTGGACATGAGTCATGAGTTTCATATATTTGGGGTATATTTGTATAACAATTTTCATCTTTTTTACTGTTACTGTTACTGTTACTATTGCAACTGTTGTTGGTGATGTTGTCTCCGGTACCCTTTGTACCGATGAGGTTGTTGTTGCTTTTCCCAGTGTGTATTTTTAACTTTTTTAAATTATTGTCCTTTTTGGATTTTTCATTTCCCTTTTCATTAACCTTTTTCGTTGATGATTTTGTATATGTATTGCTATCAAAAGAATCGTTGTTCAACATTATATCATCACTAAAATTTTCAATTGTTTCCATTAGTTCAATTTCTTCTCTTGAATTTCTTTTAATTTTGTAATTTTCCCTAAATAGAGTTTTGTTAAGGTCGTTCATGTGCATTTTATTTTTTACCGACATTGTGTTTGAAACAAAAAAAAAAAAAAAAAAAAAAAAAAAAAAAAAAAAAAAAAAAAAAAAAAAAAAAAAAAAAAAAAAAAAAAAAAAAAAAAAAAA